TATTATTATTATTATTACTATATTTCCATGCTTTTCTTTGCTGTATGTTTTGCCACGTTAAATCCCGGCTGGGGTTCTCACATCAGAGTACTTGCCCCAAGCTTGGGTCTTGGCTTCCAGGATTTCCAATCTCTATCTAGTCATCAGAATTCTCCTCAGGCCATACACTGACTCCTCCTTGGCCCTGCTATGCAGCCAAAATGTTTTTGCTGGAGAAGAATGTGTTCTTGAACTCTGATAAGGTCTCTTGCTTGTCTGGTGCGTGGATAGAGAGGGGTGTGTGAGTGTGTGTGGAAACTAGCCTACTGCACAAAGGTAATATCTACACCTGCTGCTTTGCCCCACCCACCACTGGCATGTGGTCCTAGGAAGGTTGTCCAGAATGGAGTGTGGCTCTCAGGCAGAAAAAGGTTCCCCACCCCTGATGTGGGTGATAGATAACATGCACATTCAACAGGGCTTAGAAGCAAATTAGGAACTAATGAAAATGAAGCAATATCAGAATCACATGCTCCAAAGAAATAATAATCATAATTTTAATATTTATACTCCGCCCATCTGGTTGGGTTTTCCCAGCCACTCTGGGTGGCCTACAACATATATAAAAACATAGCAAAACATCAAGTATTAAAAACTTCCCGATACAAGGCTGTCTTCAGATGTCTTCTAAAAGCTGTGTAGTTCTTTATCTCCTTGACATTTGAATGGAGGGTGTTCCACAGGGAGGGTGCCACTACCAAGAAGGCCCTCTGCCTGGTTCCCTGTAACTTAGCTTCTTGCAGTGAGGGAACCACCAGGAGGCCCTCAGAGGAGGACCTTAGTGTCTGGGCTGAACGGTGGGGGTGGAGACACTCCTTCAGGTATACAGTGGTACCTCGGGTTAAGAACTTAATTCGTTCTGGAGGTCCGTTCTTAACCTGAAACTGTTCTTAACCTGAGGTACCACTTTAGCTAATGGGGCCTCCCACTGCATGATTTCTGTTCTCATCCTGAAGCAAAGTTCTTAACCCGACGTACTATTTCTGGGTTAGCGGAGTCTGTAACCAGAACCATCTGTAATCTGAAGCATCTGTAACCCGAGGTACCACTGTACTGGGCTGAAGCCATTTAGGGCTTTAAAGGTCAGAAAGAAAGAAAGAAAGAAAGAAAGAAAGAAAGAAAGATCCTTTGTGATTATCAAAGTGGCTACACCCATACAATACATTTAAAGCACTATGATACCATTTTAAACCTTCATTGTTTTCCCCAAAGAATTCTGGGAGCTTTAGGTTGTTACGGGTGCTGAGAGTTGTTAGGAGATTCCTCATAGATACAGTGCTCAGAATGGTTTAACAATCAACTCCTCTCCACAGGGAACTCTAGAAATTGCAGCTCTTTGAGGGGTGTAGGGGTATCCTGACAACTCTCAGCACCCAAAACAAACTACAGCTCCCAGGATTCTTTGAGGGAAGCCATGACTGTGTTAATGTATGGTGTGAATGTGGCCAATGTTTGAAAATCAGTGCCATGAGGCAAGGTGAGGCAACCACCTCAGATGGCAGGATCCACTGGGGCAGCAGATCCCAATGTTGACCTTTCCCCCTGCTTGTTCCTGACGTAGATATTCCCTCTCTCCTTGTTCCCTGGCAGGGAGGGAAGCACCATTCTGTGGTCTGCCTCAGGTGCCAAAATGTCTTGTGTCAGGCTCTGTTGAAAATGCATGTACAGTTTCAGCCTTGTTCTGGCTGCTACTCTGTCGCTCCGTTGAATTGGGACCCATTTTGTGAAGAATCAGGAATATACCCTGCCTATGTTTCTTCAGTGGTTTGCAAGTACTGTATAGAAGGTCCCCGGTTCGGTTCATGGCATCTCCAGGTAGGAATGAATCCCTGGAGAGCTGCTGCCAGCCAGTGTAGACAATACACTGGACCAATGTTCCAGTTTACAATGCTACTTTTAAGGTAAACAGCCTTGCCAAGGCTATTGTCCTGAAAGGTGGCTTAGAAATATTTGAAATAATAAACATAGTAAAGTTTGACCTTAACAAGATTTCTCATGAAATAAAGAGAGGTAAGCCCATGGTTGTGACCTTTTCTACATGTTTCCAAAAATAGAGCAATGGCAAATGTATTAATATAGACCTGTGTTATCATAGTTTAGTTTATAGACCTTTTCCTTGTAAAGGAAGTGTTATTGTTTTCATTACTATACTCAAACGACTCTCTTGCTTTCTCTTTCGGGAAGTGGTCAAGGATATTGTTTCATATTTTCAGTGTAGACATCTTGGTTCCAAATTATGAACACGGTTGCCAAGGAGACATATCACCACCAGAATGCATATTTTCTTGTATTTAGCATTTACTGTGCAATCCAAACCCTGGACTCTCTCCAGGTCAGAGGGAGTTTCACTATGGTGGAATTCCCACCTCAGTGATAGAGAGAGTCCATGTGGGTGGAAATTCCCTGCTGCTCTTGGAACGCCCTCCTCTCCCCATGGACAGCCCAACTGATGGGAGATTATGTCCACTGTCAATCTGCTGGGAAGGTCACCCCCAAAATGAGGTTTGATGGAGGCAGAGAAGGGCCATGCCAATGGGGGTGTGCCTGGCAGCACATCCAACCCCCTGCAGATGACAGCCACACCCTTACAACCAATTGGATCCTATACCAATGAAAGGGTTGGTGGAAGGAGGGCTTTCTCAGTAGGAAACAACAGGTGGGCCTGATTCAAGAATTATGGGCTGCCCCCTTTCCTGGCTATGCCCATTCCTATGCTGACACAGGAGCATTCTGGAATATGGCAGAGGCTAGGTGCCACATGACCACGGCAGGATATACTGTAAATCCTACATGCACCAAATGCAGTTCATATGACACCTCATCTGGTGCAGGATTATGCCTTGCACACTCCTGGTGCAGGGACTTTTGATTGCATGAAGGGAAGCTCTGGGGAAGAGGTGCCGCTCTCAGGAGCACTGAGTGCAAAGCTAGCAAGGTTGTCACCCAGTTAAATAAATCCTAGTTCATGTGTCTAACTGACAGATTCAAGCTGCATAATTTTGCAAATGGGAAAGCACCCAAAAATTCTAAAGAAAAAGCCTGCTTCCTTTGTTTGCTTGTTTTTTTAAAGATTTTGTGTGTTGCAGCAGGCATCATTTTAGAAGATTCTCACACAGGAAGTACTGTCTCTTGTAAGGTGGGGCTTACTATCTGCAGGTTGTAGGTGTGTTTTAAATAAGAACTATTATTTAAATTTTTAGTTATAAAAATATTATGACTATTCATTAATTGAGTAATCTAAGGGGATTTAACTTCACCAGGCCCTGATAGCTATCTCATTCAAAAGCACAGAAAGATACCATGCTATCTGGCAACCATATCTGAGCTCCCATTGACAAAATAGACCATCCTGACTTATTAGCCAAGAATTTGCCTAGCAAAGGAATGGTCCACAAGGAGCCATAACAATGTATCACTTAGAATCCCAATGCTTTATAGTCATTTGGAGAGTTCTCAGTTCAGATCTCACCTTAGGCATAAACCCAAGTGTAGATCAATCTTATATGCATCTAAAATATAAGACCCACTAAATTCAATAGGACTTACAGGTGAGAAAAGGAGCAGTCGTAGCCATAATTTTATGCAAAACACTGTTCTCTTAGCCTAACAACATAGAAAATAAGATGGGCTGACCTCTGGGAAGCTACTGAGATGTCACTGTGATATTTACAATGCAGTCCAAGGGCAAGATGTGTGTCTAGATGCTGGTTTTGGGGAAATCTCATGTAAGAATCCTGAAGATTCATTAGGAGCTATATTCATGTATCTAGCTTTTACTTCCCTCCCACTCCAGGTTGATAGTTCTAGTTATATGAAATCAACAAGGTTCAGAAAGTGGCAACCAAAACGACCAAGGGGGCGGAGCAACTTTCCTATGAAGAAAAGTTGCAGCAATTTGGCCTTATTTAGTTTAGAGACAAGGAGAGTAGCAGGTCACATTGTAGAAATGTATGAAATTATGCATGGCACAGAGAAAGTGGAAAGAGAAATTTTTTCTCCCTGTCTGATAACACTAGAACCCATGGATATGTAACGAAGCTGAATATTAGAGCAGTGGTCTTCAACTGTTCCACTTCTTGACTCCTAACCTACAACACAGAACCCACTTTCACATATTCACTTTTCAATTTATACTTAACATTCCTTACTGTTGTTTATTAGATTCATATCCTGCCTTTCCTCCCAAAGGAGCCCAGGGCAGCAAACATTACTATGGAATTGCCAAATGGGGGAAGGACCCCACAGCCCTGCTTTGTGCTGAATTTGAACGTATTTCCTGACCCAGCACCCTCTTCTTCTTCTTCTTCTCCTCCTCCTCCTCCTCCTCCTCCTTCAATTTATTGAATTTATACACTGCCCTACACCTGTAGATCTCAGGGGGGTTCATAGAACAAAATCAAAATATAAAACCACAAAATATATAATCAAAATAAAAAAGCCACCCAATAACCCCCCCAACCACATTTTAAAAGGGGATGTCCCTGATGACGCCAGTTCTGCCCATATGGACATTTTGGAGCGGTTGCAGCACCGACATATGTTTAAGATGTTTGCACTGACGGTGACCGTATCCTAATTATTTTTGCTCTTGGCATTGCTTAAATACTATTTTTCGTTTTATTGTCTGTATATTCCTCTCTGTCATTTGTTAAATATGTCCATTATTATTATTATTATGAATCTGACAGCTAGAGAGAGCTGTGGCTGCCATGCCCTGAGAAGAGAGGTAGGAACGGGAAGAACTCAACCCGCCCCTTCTCCCCTCACGACTCGGCCAGAGCAGCGGCCGTCCCATGATGCTCCGCGGCAGGCGGTCACCTCGGCTCGTCTCGGCCTGCGTTCCCGGCATGCCGCGCGCGGGCCCTCGCCTCAGCCTGCTGGAATCAGGCGGCAGCAGCAGCAGCAGCAGCAGCACTACTAGCAGGCGGGGCCGCCGTCGCTGTCGTCGCCTCCTCCTCCTCCGCCTCCCCGCCTCCCGTGTGAGACAGCAGGAGGAGCGCCCGCCGCCTCAGGAGGAGTAGCCACCCCGCCGAGCCGCAGTAGCCGCTCGCCTCCATTACCGCCGCTCTTCTTACTGCTGCTGCTGCTATTATTGTTGTTATTGCCTCCTCCTTCCCCTGCCGCCGCCGCTTCCCCGGCCGGCCATGCCGTCTCGGGCAAGGTAATGAGCCGCAGAGCCCCGGGGTCTCGGCTGAGCGGCGCTTCTTCCTCCGGCACCAGGCAGCACTATCACCCGCGGAGCTGGAATGACTGGCAACCCAGGTGGGCGAGCGGGCAGGCGGGTGTCTTCTATGGCGGAGGCGGCGCGGCCTAGGGTCTGAGGGCAGCGTGCGGGTGCCTCCCTCGCTCCCCTCAGCCTTGGCAGGGGTCGGGCGAGGGAGGAGGCCCTGAGGCAGGAAGGGAGCCGGCCGCCCGGGGTGGGGTGGGGGTTGAAGGAAAGTTGCCCTCTCATGCGCCCACCCGCCGCCACGGCAGGGCTCGCCTGGCGCGGCCTAGCGCGGAGAGGGAGAGGCTGGCCGCTTTGGCCCGTGTTGGGGATCGTCGGAGCGGGAAGGAGGAGGTGGCAGGAGACGGGGGAAGCCCTTGCAATTTCTCTCCCTCGCGGCCTACGAGGGAGGGAGGGAGGGAGGTCGCGGGGTTTCTCCTCCCGCCGCTTCTTCGGGTTGGTTTTGAGGCCTAGGGAGGTTTAAAGCGGGTGGGCAAATGTGTGTGTGGAATCCCACCCCATTTCTTCCTCTGTTCCTTTCTTATGTCTGTGTCTCTCCGCCTCCACCCTTGTTGGCAGGGCCTCCGTGGAGATACTGGTTCCGGGTACGTGTGTGTGCGGGGAAGTTTGCTTTCACTCTCTCTCTCTGCATGTGTGTGACAAACCCAGTGCGCTGGTTGGAGGTAATAGGCCCCGTGCGTGGTGGGGTTTTCCTAATTCATAGACCTTTTTTTTCTGGGGTGGGAAAGAGGATTTGGCATGGGGTGGGTGGGAAACTTGTATATTGGGGGGAGTTTTTGTACTAAGAGGTCCTGCCTAGGAGGTTGAACTCGGTGGCTTTTATGTACCATCCCATCCAGATGTGATTCTACGAGTGGGTGGGATAATTTATAGAGAGGCACACACCCCTCTTTGCCAGTTGAGGAATAATAAATATTAATGGGCTCTGCATGAGCTGATGCCATAACAAATGCTGCAGTAGAGCAAAAGCATGAAATACAGCATTTATACCCAAAGTAGAGGACTTTGGGTTGGGATAGGTAGCATATGGCCTTCCAGATGTTGCTGGACTCTCAACTAAAATGATCTCTGGCCATGCTGGCTGGAGCTGATGGGAGTTAGGATCCAGCAACATCTGGAGGGCCACAGCCTTCCCAGCCCTTGCGCCAGGTACCGTTTCTATGCACGTTCCCATCCTCTGCTTCTGCTGTTCTCCTTCCTATGATTGATGGAATTTGAATTAATTGTTCATTGGATGCCTTCATCCACTGGGTTAATTTCACAGGACTTTGGAGTTGCAACTTTGTTGTCTAGATGGTAACTTGTTGATACTGTCTAGACATAAGGAAGGCCTGGTGACTTGTGTCAAGGGTTTAGTGTCTAGTTCAAAATGCATTTACAGTACTTGAAAGGGTTTGTAACTATTAACTCTTAAATTTGGGTTTTTTAGATTGCTTATGAAGCTGTTAGATTTTACATTGAATCTAGTATTTTAAATGGGTGATAAAATTAAATCCTTAATGGTTCGGATTTTCTATTTTTAATTTTAAAATTTGTCATAATTTGGTCTAATATGTTCACTATACTTAGGTACTCAGGACGTATCTTTTCACTTGTGGCACATTGGTGACATCAAAGTGCATGTAGGCTGTGGTGCTATACACACTTATTTGAGTTCTGTTAAACTCTAGGACTTCGGAATAGATGTTTATAGGGTTATGCTATTTGTATCGATGTTAAAGAAATGGATGTGAGGTGATAATGTCATGTACCTAAATGATGATAATATTTATTTATTTTATTTATTCCACACCATTTATATGCTGCTTGTTTGTTTTAAGACCTCTAAGCAGTTTACAAAAAATAAACATTGGTTCTGTTCCACATTTTCAGGTATGTAAAAATAATAGTTCAGTTTTGCTTGTCAATAATATTGAGATAAATCATTTGACACCTCCATAAAGGGCAAATGAGTTTTGTACTGCAAATTAGTATCCAAGGAACTACAGTGGTACCTCAGGTTAAGTAAGGTTAAGTACTTAATTTGTTCCGGAGGTCCGTTCTTAACCTGAAACTGTTCTTAACCTGAAGCAGCACTTTAGCTAATGGGGCCTCCTGCTGCTGCTGCGCTGCCGGAGCCAGATTTCTGTTCTTATCCTGAAGCAAAGTTCTTAACCTGAAGCATTATTTCTGGGTTAGTGGAGTGTGTAACCTGAAGCGTATGTAACCTGAAGCGTATGTAACCCGAGCTACCACTGTACTTGGGCATGGCCAGTGTGGTTTTTTGAGCACTAAGAAGAGCAGGTCCCCATGTCATACCACAGTCTGCTCATGAAAGTCCCCTCAGTTTAAAAAATGATTTGCTATGTGACATGTGGGGTTACTGTTAAAAAGAAACATGTTAGGTTTTTTCCCCTTCAAAAAAACTGGATACTTATCTCTTGGTCTCTAATTTTCCCAGTAGCATTTATTTAGTGGTGTAGTGGTTAGAGTGTTGGACTAGGACTAGAGAGTCAACAATAGAGAGTGCAGGACATGAGATTGCTCCTAAAGCCAACACTGCTAAACTGCAACATAGAGGGGTTTGTTTGTAAGGCAATAACAGTGTTAAACAGAATGTTGCTAATCTTTTTGAATAATGGAAAGAGAGAAGTTATAAATTAATGATGAGAGGCTAAACTGAAGGCACTGTATAAATAAAATTGCCTCAATGTCATAATCGCATTTGAGAAAAATCACTTAAAATGCATGTTGGCAACAAGCTTGATGTAATCGGTCCGAGAACCAACTTCATCCTCCAGTTTGAATGTATTGTAAATGAAGTACAAACTTTCATGCCTCTGTCATTCAGGATAAGGACTTAAGGTGAATTGTCATAGCTTTTGTTGTGGAGGCTTATACTGTGGATGTAGATTCAATTCCAGACATCCCTAGGTAGGGCTCCAGGAGTTGCTGCTGTCTGAAACAATGGCAAGGTGTTTGATAGTAGATGTTAGTGACTACTAGGCTGGGTGATATGTCAGTAAAACTGGTTTGAAGTCCATATCATGATACTGGTCTCATAATTTTTGACCTGGCAATATACATGTGTCTGTGCTATGCAAAAATCACAATGTGGGGAAAACCGTGGAGCCAGCCAATGCAGCCCTTGTTAATTCTGTCGGCTCAGCTCTCCCCAACCTCCTGCAGGGGGCAGCAAATCACAGGCGCAAGCTCTGGAAAAATCACAATGTGGGAAAAACCAGGAAGCCAGCCAACACCTCTACATAGCTCCATTCTTATTTCAGACATCGTGATATATTGGTATATCACTCTGTTTAGGTGATGATATATTACGATGTTGAAAACCAGTGACTACATGAAATAAAGATATAAAAATTTATAAATTTTGAGGCTGTGGGGAGGAAACTTTCCCCAGGAAAAAAATAGAAATTTTGGGAAACATTGAAATATGTGCAGTACTTTCTTATCAGACTTAAAGGTAGTTTCCTGTTTTAACAAAACAAAAGGTATCATTTATTATATAAAATTATTGTAATATTAATTTATTGTATTTTAAATTATGTTTTATTACATGTGAACAACCTGTCTGTCTATATATGATCCACTCTTCTTACTGGAGCTTATGCCTAGTAAGCAAACATAGGATTGAATCCTAAAAGGATAAATACCTTAGTTTTGCAGCAGGGTGTCTTCCCAAGAATCCTTTGATGGTAGAGGTGAAAAGTTGACCACAAGGGAGGGAAGAAGGACAGCTTCCTAATATCTCCAAATTAGGTCACCAGAGAAGGCAAGCAGCAATTCACGAACAATGTAGGCCCTTTATGTTCCTTTCTTGAAAAGGGCAGCATCTTTTAGATGCAGAAATACGTATTGGATTTCACTTGACTTGTTGTAGACATCTACAATCTTCAAAGAAATTATCAGTCTCTAATCTCTTCATACCATACACTTTGAGTGGGTAAAACATTGTCCTAGGCAGCCTCCTAAGTTCTGCTCAAGCGAGAAATACTAGAGAATGCTTCACTTGATATGGTTGATCTACATGTTACTACATTGATAGAAGGGTCTTTGGGTAATGTTGTGAAGAGGGCCATTTGTGTGGTGAACTTTTCAATAAACTATTGATAACTCACCATAACCATTAACCATTGAAATTGCATTCCCACTAAAGGCTCTAGCTTAAATTCCAGGCATTTCCAGGAACATTTTAAGTTTGCTACCTTTTTGCTGGCCCTGTTTCTTTAATTGCAGCCTGGCACAGGTTATACAGGTGAAGTTTTTCTTAGAGTGGAGAAAAGCAATGGGAAAAGCTTCTTCTGCTAGTTTCCTAATTGTCAAGCTGCTGTCAAAGGCACAGGAGCAGTACCAGTTAAAAAAGAAAGAAAATGGTAATCCTAGTAATTGATCCTCATACATAACTCACTACTACTTCTTCACTCTGTTATGCCTTATTACATATCTTTTGATGTCCTCTGTTCCTGCCTTCCTCTTTTTAGCAGCTTCAGGAAAGCCTTTTTCATCTAGAAAATTCAGCTGCATGCCTCTTGGCTCTGCATATGGTTTCCCTCTTCTTTTGCAATCATGGTTGTCAGTACAATATTTGCTATGGAAGCACTTTTCCTTCTTCCATAGATAATTCCTGTCCATATAGTAGCTGTGCTGGATAAACATTTTTGTAGCTTTATTTTTCTGTGTGTGCGTACTGTATTTTTGTAGAATAGTAAAATTAAGTTTCTACTTTAAAAATCCTATTTCCTTGGATATGTTTATAGTAAACCGAGAGACAAAGCCAACCTCCACTCAGGCTGTGACTTTCCCTTTTTAGTATCTTTGTGGGTCATATGATGGTGTGAGGAGTAGCAGGGGTTAGGGTAAACATATACTTCATTTAGGAACTGTCACAACTTGCTCTGCAGCATAGCAGCACTTAGAATGGAGTTTTATCATTTTTGAAGGCAAAATGTCATGTGTTAAACCTGCCATTTTTTAACAAACACACCATTTAAAGCACAATGGTTGCATGTTCTTCAGAAGATGCGGTCTCAAAGCTTCTCTTTTCAAGAGAACATGTAATGACTGCCACTGAAGAATACATTTGTTCCACAAATTTTAGACTTCTGAACAAATTCTCCATCTAGCACCAGTTTGAGATCATCTTGAGATGTTCTCCTCTCTCTTTTCCTTTTAAAATAAGGAGGGTCTCCTGGGTCTGTCTTATGGATGGGTTAAAAACCTAGATGAGTTTGTGCATCAAGGAAAAATAATCACTCTTCTAGTAATGTTGAGGTTGTGTCAAATATTACTTTCAGTTCTCCACAAAACTGCTGTTAAAGTGGGTAGTATTGGCTTCCTGTTCTTACTATGTTTGCAGAGCCAAGGATGTAGTATGGTTATGATGTTGTAGCTGATGTGGTGAGCTCTAGGTGTTGTGGACTGCAACTTCCATCAGTCCCAACATGGCTAGTGAGCATGAGCATGGATGATGGAAATTGCACTTCACAACACGTGAAGGGAAGTAGGATATCCCTGGTCTATAATAGCTCAATATCATATGTAAAATAAAGAAAGAATGGAAGTATCAGTGTGCTATAGTTTAAACTGTCAGTGTGACAGTTTAATGAGAGAAATAATAATAATAATTTTATTATTTATACCCTGCCAATCTGTCTGGGTTTCCCCAGCCATTCTGGTCGGCTTACAGCATATATAAAACATAGTAAAATATCAAACATTAAAAGCTTCCCAATACAGAACTGCGTCTAGATGTCTTCTAAAAGTTATGTAGTTATTTATCTCCTTGACAGCAAATCTTACATGTAGCTAGAGGGGGAAATTGCATTATAGTGGTTCAGTTCATTAGATGGCAAAATGCGAATTATTAACTACAGTTAGAAATAAGACATTACTGAAAATGCATGGCAGTTATTGAAAATACATTGTCAGCTGCTCTTTTCAACTCGCTTTGTGTGGGGGAAAAAGAATGGATGATATCAGATGTTATGCAAGAGGAAGAAATGGGAGTTCTTTCCCCTGCAGCCCCTCCAAATCTGCTCTGGAGGGTCCTCTAGCACTCTAGAGCAGATTTGGAGGGATGGGGGTTATGGAGAGGAAGGGGAAGTTCCATTGCTCTAGAGGAAGTCACTTCCGCTCATGAATGGGCAGAATTGAACATCCCCCAATGTGTGCCTTAATGCCTTCACTATTCCATTCTCCTGTACATGGCAGCCAGTGAAGTTGGTCAGGGAGAATTTGAATAAGATGACTTGTATCATTTGTTCATTTTGCTGCATGTTGTAAGAAACAAATCCAGGGAATTGAGCGCTATCACACCATCAATGGCTGTCATTTTTGTTGTCTCTTGGAGATTGAATGTGTTGGGTATTAAGATGCACAAGCGAAAGTCTTACATGTGTTGGGTTGTAGCTAAGGTGCCTTGTGTGGGCAGATAGGACTTCACCTTGTACAAGGCAATCCTCCCTGCACTCCTGTTTTGGCAATTCTTCACTCCTACTGGAAGCCCTATTCTGCAACTTTTCAGAGTTTCTGGTTGGTTGAATATTTATATATGGTAGATGTGTGTTTTGTCTACCTCTAACTAAGGACACTGTGGGACATTACTAATGTGAAATTGACTTGGTTTGTTTTGTATCCTATTATGTGTTGCATTATATATTACAAGAGATCAAATGAGTTAAGGTGAGCAGTTTTATTACAAACAAGGAAGAGTATTGTGGCATTTAAAGACTAACAAATTTATCATGGCATGAGTTCTTTATTATTGTGAAATGCATTCGTGAGGAGAGGTGAACTGTGCTGCTTTGGGATTTTTCCTCCAACAAAAGAATGCTAACAGATACTTGTAAAATTCAGAAGCTTCAGTTCTAGTGGTCTCTAGCAACCACAGAATTTGGTTTGGATCCTCATTTGGCATTTGGGAAACAGCCTGATTTTGTTCGAAGCAGTTTGGAGACTATCCAATTTGGCTTGCAGTCTGAAGTTGAATCAGAGTTGGATGAAATTTGCAGGCGTTGTAGCCCCTTCTGAGAGGACGAATCCTGTCAAATTTCAAGGGCAACCTTTACAATTTTAGGGTGATTAAAAAGGGATTCACCTAATTTCCCCTATTATAGGGCAGTTTCTATGGAAATAACATACATCAAAGAGGTTCTTCCTAGATAAGAAACCTGCCAAATTGCAGACAAAGCGGTCTAGTGGTTTTAAGGTTGCTTTTTTAGTGGGGGGGGTAAAATATCCTCCTCCCTCCCTGTGGTTTACGAGCAACAGTTTTACTCTGAATATGGAACATAGATCTTAGAGGTGTCACTATGAAGGCAAACTGCCAAATTTCAGGAGGATGGTTGCATGGGGTAGGGATTAAGAACTCAAAAAACAGCTTCAGGCATGTGTTCTGCTCAGTTGGTACCAAAAGACGCAGAAACCAAGTGCAAACAGATTAGATAGAAGTGGATGTGTGAGCATGTAACAGACATAGAATGACTTGAATGCCCAGCATTTTCCAAGCAAACGCCATGAGCAGAACTAACAGAGCACAGAACAATCAAGAAGATACCTTTGCCAAAGCGAAGAGCCCTGGTAAAACCATTATCTCAGAGTAGAAGCTAGACATATCAGTCTTATAAGAGACCTCTCTTCACTTTCTCCTCACTTTCTGTTTTCTTGGCAAGCAGGCTGTGGGGAAAATGTTTCTGTTTCTTCAGATATGCTGTCTGCAGCTTTTTTTTTTTTAAGCACCTCTGAATCTCTGAAGTACTCAGAATCAATTTCGTGGTCCTCAGTTCAGGGTGCTTTGAAAGATCCAGTTTTGGGCTCAGATAAGCCATGAATCTGTCTGAAGTGGCCCGCTTTGGTCTTGTAATTCATCTGAATCTGATGCATAACCCAGTGTTGGGTATTGAACACTTTAAAAGGTGAAGGTTTACTAAAGTGTCAGATTTGATCATCATTTGTATATATTTTGTTTTTAAGGTTGATAATGGATATAGGATTCTGAGAGAGCAGCTCTGCTAGATGAGAGCTTACGACTACTAAATCATGGTGGCACTTAATCAAAATACTTTTTGTTAGTGGGCAGAGGGGGGTATGGGGAGCTGAGGAACCTGTGATGTCAAACACTGACACTGGGGAGCTTTTTATATTGGCCACGTCTGATGTTGAAAGTCCTTCCATGCAGGGTGGAACTGTGTAAACTTCCATGTTACATCACTGATGCATGTATTTCACTGGCCTAAAGTGTGGTGGAATAGATATGTTCATCATGCTAGGTCAATATTTGGTTTTTAAAAGGCGTTTCCCATATGGGAATGCATCTCACATAGCTGCATAATATTTGAGTCTCCCTTCTCTAATAATAATTCATAATTTTCTCTGTCTCTTTTTATATGGTGAAAACTTGAGGACTGTTGATAATTTGACCTGACTTGTTTAGGGAAGCTTTTAATGTTTGATGTATTACAGTATTTTAATATTTTGTTGGAAGCCGCCCAGAGTGGTTGGGGAAGTCCAGCCAGATGGGCGGGGTATAAATAAATAAATAAATTATTATTATTATTATTATTATTATTATTATTATTATTATTATTATAGCATTGAGAAGTTGTTAGCTGTGGGCTTTCCTGTTAGCAAAGCATATAAACTTAGGTTTCTGCAGGTTTATCATTTGTAGGCGCTCTTTAAGTTTTTACAGGTTTTACTCCACTGAAAATTAGTTCTTAACACCTAGTGCTTTTGCTGTGTCCTTGATGCACTTTTAGCTGATGCCGCAATAAATTAAATACAGAAATAGGTGGTGCTGACCTTCTCCTCATACAGGTGCTTAACTCGCTTGTTACCTTGATGAATTTTTCACTGGGCCAGAGATGTTTTATCAGCTGGGACTCCGCTTATCAGATTGTTAAGCCACAGGGAGAATTCATATGTTCCACAAGCTAGTGAATACTTCTCCACCCTTCCAACCTTTCCTATTTAGAGATCAGAAATTCTAGAAATATGGGAATAGTAAGGGCCAAATCGGAGCAGAGCACTCGCTTAAAACATTTCTCTTTTTGCAGAACTGACAGTGTATCAGCTGACCAAGAGAATTTAAAATACTCTTCATCCAGAGACCGGAGTAGTTCTTCTTATGGATTACAATCCTCGAATTCAGCGGTGGTGTCTCGACATAGACATGATGATATCAGAGTCCCCACTGACATACAGAATGAAGAAAAAGGTACATAATTTATCTTCATAGGTAAAAAGGAATACTGCCAGTGGAAATAAACTAGTTTGCAGTCTAGATCTGGGGTGGCTGACTTTTTCAACCCCATGGTTTCATTGAGGGTCAGCTGCTCCTCTGGAGCTGGTTGCTAGCAGTGAGCATGCCGAGTGCAATCTTGCATGTGCGTACATTCACCATACACAGGTTACACATGCATCAAGCACACGTATTCACACAGCTGGGGAGTGGGGTTGACTTACAGAAATGCAGCAGGCTCTCACACAGAGTTACTCAGGCAGGCACATGGGGCAGGTTACAACACTTAAAACACAATATTTGCATTAAAGCACAATATTACACAATGTTAAAAATGGTTTAAAACAACTTAAAATTACAGAAATAGGGTGGGTACTAATACTACCTTCTCTTTTGTTGCCATCAGCTATATAAGTGATCTCCAAACCCTGGTGGTGGTGTGAGTAGCAGTTATGGGACTGGCTTTTTGAGATCAGTGTCACAGATTCGAGGGAGTCCTGTATGTTATTATGAAGACTTGTTTCCCTATTGAACAGATATATGGGTACTCCTCTCCAAGTGTCCCCTGTGGAGAGCATGGCTGCCTCCCCCGACCACCTCTCTCATGATATGCAACCCCATGTTTATGCTAGACTTATTCTCTTAAATGATGGTTTAAAAAACACCCATTGGCTCAAGCACCACAAAAGCTGAGAAACTGGAAAGTAAGGTCTCTAATGCCTTCACAGATGTGCCCCGTGATGATGTTGTGCAATGTTACAAACTATGCTTGCTTACATCTTACCCTTAGGCCAAAAAATTCTTGCTTCAGTTCTCTCTTTGCTCTTACCCTGATACAACATGAGAATTGCACTGTGCATGCTTAACTTACGTGATAAGCCTCTTCATCCTGGGCCTCTTTACAGCTAATTAAGAAATAATCACCAAACTAAAAATGTACGCTTTGGTGTGAATATCCACAAAAAAGCATTCCTAGGTCTCTAATGTCTCTTAACTCTTAGATCTTAAGATAAACCAGCTACTGCACCACACTACCTCTCCACTTTGGACAGGAGCACTGTGATGCTGGCAGTGTGGTCTAATGGTTTTACATGTGAGTCACAGGATACATTGCCACAATTACTACCATATTTTTCCTTGTATAAGAGTAGGTTCCCCCCCCCCCAAATAATGTCAAATATTAGGGGGCATCTTATACTCTGGGCTGTCTCCCCCCATTTTCGTAAATCTGAGTCCCCCAAAACAGGGGGCATCTTATACATGGGGGGCGTCTTATAGACAGAAAAATACAGTATCTCTCCACATGACCTACATCACTGGGTTGCTGTTAGTATGATTCTTTCCAATATTTAATCCGTCTTCCTAGTGAACATTCTGAGGGTGTTCACTGTGTGGGAAGAGGTTCAGTGTCAGGCAGTGTGTATGTGTTTCAGTCTAGGGTGATTGTGAGTGGGTAAGCGGGTGTGTGGGTGTTGTGTGGAGCAGTGTGGGGGGTGGCTTTTAAGTGTACAGTTTCAGTGTTTAGAGTTTCAGTGCAGGGTGGGTGTGGAGGTCTCAGGATGGGGAAGGGATTGCGTGAGCATTTTCATTTATTGAGTTATTTGTCTGGTTAAACAGATGGCATGCCACAGTTGCTGTCTCTCTACATGACCTAGTTCAGGGGTCTGCAACCCGCGGCTCCGGAGCCGCATGTGGCTCTTTTACACCTTTGCCGCAGCTCCGGGGTGGATACTAGCGAGGGGAGGAGGCACATTGTGCGCCCCGACACTCCCCACTGTGGCGGGCGCTGTACTGGCTGTGACGTCGCATGGGGGTGGTGCGTGCATTAGTCACGCACCGTCCCAACGTCACCTTCCCGCCCGCCCGCTACATTGTAAGGGGCATGTACGCTGGTCACTGCATTGAAAGGGGGCATGTACGCTGGTCACTGTTTTGAAGGGGAGTGAAGAACACACACACACAAAAAGGTAACTTGTTAATTTAACGTTTATTTCTATGAGGAGGAGTAATTCTGAGGGGTCAAACAAAGAAATAATTAAAAAAAGTGACAAAAAAGTTATTTTTATAATGATGAGTTTTGTGGCTCCCAGTTTTTTTTTCTTCAGAAACGGGTCCAAGTGGCTCTTTTTGTCTTAAAGGTTGCAGACCCCTGACCTAGTTAAATGGTAGTTGTGAGATGAAATACTAAAAGAAACTCACTGTTGTCAGACCTCCTGTGGAGACAGTTTAGTGTGGGATGGGATATTTGTGAAGAAGGTTTCAGTGTAAGGCAGCATATATGTGGTGTTCACCATGGGGTAGGGCGCATATTACATTGCCATATGAGGAAAATAGTGGGGTGAGTGCATGCATGTCTATGGGGTGCATCGTCCCCCATGACAGTTTCTAAGGTTGTCAGAATTATTTATTTTATTCATTTAGTGCATTTATATCCCACCTTTTTCTCCAAGGACATCAAGGTGGCACACATAGTTATTCCCATCCTCATTTAATCTCCGTCACAACCCTGTGAGGTAGGTTAGTCTGAGAGGCAGTGACCAGCCTAAGCTCACCCAGTGAGCTTCATGACTGAGTGGGGATTTGAACCCTTGCCTCCCAGGTCCTAGTGCAGTACTCTAACCACTATACCACACTGGCTCTCAAAGCCATATACTCCCAAAAGTTTGGTGTCCCCCTGTGTTGCTATTGCATCACACGGTCACATGAGGTATGGTAGTTTTACAATGGGAGAGCATGTATATTAATGGGGTGTGGTCTTCCATGAGTTTCTTGGGTTCCAAATGTGCCCATGGCCCCAAAGGGTTGACAAGCCCTTATTTAACCAATGTTAAATAATATGATATTTCATAACTTAAATGAATAGGTAACAAACAGTGATTCATAAACTTAAATACCGTATTTTTTGCTCTATAAGACTCACTTTTTCCCTCCTAAAAAGTAAGGGGAAATGTGTGTGCGTCTTATAGAGCGAATGCAGGCTGCGCAGCTGTCCCAGAAGCCAGAACAGCAAGAGGGATTGCTGCTTTCACTGCGCAACAATCCCTCTTGCTGTTCTGGCTTCTGGGATTCAGAATATTTTTTTTCTTGTTTTCCTCCTCCAAAAACTAGGTGCGTCTTGTGGTCTGGTGCGTCTTATAGAGTGAAAAATACGGTAAATAACCGTCCCTGCTAAATGTGTCATTCAGCTGAGAAGGACAGGTAGCTCTTAACCTTGGAAGTTTTTCAGAAACCCACAGTGCATGGCTGTCAAGAGAAACTAACATGGCTCTGGCACCTTTTCTTCTAGGTGGCTACAGTGTCAATGGAGGATCTGGGGAAAATACTTATGGTCGGAAGTCGTTGGGGCAAGAGCTGAGAGTTAACAATGTGACCAATTCTGATTTTACCAGTGTTCAGCATGGGAATCGTGCTTTAGTCACAAAAGACATGAGGAAAACACAGGGTAAGTGTTGTGTTGTCCTGAAGAAAAAGGGAAATTCTGTTTTTCTGGCAAAAAAAATTCCTGTTGCTACAGTAGCACTAGAGTCATTGCTCAAAGTAAAGTAGAGCCCTATTAAATTTTTGCAAACTCAAAATCTCTAGCATTTTGTCATGATTACACTTTAGTTTATATAAATTGGGTATACTTTGTCTCTGAAAGTACTGCAAGAAAAGGCTTTTTCAATGGTAAGAATCCTTGGTCAATTGTTGCAGGTTTGGATTTGCTTCAGGGCTAGAAATCTTGTACTAAAATTACTGCAAGTTGTGAGGTAAAGATGAAGTAAGCCTATTGCGTATATGCTGCTCCTTGGTAATTGTTCATTTTATACTTTATACTGGGATAGAAGCATGCCCATGTGTAATATCTCAATTTTAGAGCGATCATTGTCTTACTCTGATGAGTCTCGACTGTCAAATCTTCTTCGGAGGATTACTCGGGAAGATGACAGAGACCGAAGACTGGCTACTGTAAAGCAAATGAAAGAATTCATTCAGCAACCAGAGAACAAACTGGTTAAGTATCTTCTGTTAGCAACATATTAATACTTTATTTCTCATATGATCTCTCTTGGGGCAGGTTTCTGGGTTGTAGGGGCAAAGAATGAAGGTTTGTCAGCACTGTCATTGGTTGCAGGATAACTTTGGCTCCGAATACTCTCAACCCTGCATATAAGCTTTCCTCACTGACTATATCAGATCTGAAGGAGGGAGCCAGCTGACTGTCCCCACAACTTTGATTTTTTTGGAGAGCAGTTAACTGGCCTTTCACCTTCCTTCCCTCCTTTGATAACGAGAACCTTCCCTGTTCATCCATGTCCCACAGATAGGAAGCAGTAGCAGCTTGCTTGCCAGAGGGAAGAAAGAATTTCTGGCCAGGTGACTTCATCCTGGTGTGACTGACTTTCCATGTTGGAAAGGAAGGAAGTAAAGATCAGCTGTGCTACGGATAAATGAAGGAAAGGGACTGGTCTTGAGGGTCCCTTTTCCTTGTAGTAAGAAGTTACACTGAGAATAATATACATCAGCTGGCAGGCAGTGGGAGGTGGGGGCTGTTTTTCCTTGGAATGGGGAGGGTGGAAGGGCAGAGCAGTTTTCAAATACTCCAGTTTTTTCAGTCAGCCAGTTTTTTCCAGAGGGAAATTAGTTTCCCTGTGTTCACATAGTCACTCTTTATGAATAATTAGTTCTAATCTGAGCCTCCTCAGGCTACTCTACAAATCTAATCAAATATTAGTTTAAAAGATCTGAAAATTGTTTGGCTTGAAGTTGTTGATGTATTTCAATGATGTGTTAATACTTTAGCCTGGAGGGCTGGCTTCTGTTGAAACCAAGATGCCCAAGGACTAGCTTGTTGGGTCAGAGGCAGAATGGCTATGGTGATAATCTCTTTATTCATTGCCTTATGCCAAGATGGTCTCAAGAAATAAGAAATAAAGTGCATACCAATATAAAAAGAAATTAACTTTTATTTCTTAGTGACCATGTGCAAGCCTTGACAGTAAAAAACCACCCCACATATCCGGTGCAGGCAGTGCTGTATGAGCTGCTGCTTCTGATCTATTGGGTACCCCATGTGGAATGAGAATCCTCTGTGACTTGAATAGGGAGGAGAGCCTAAAAGTGGCATGGACAAGGCAAGAAAATACTGGGCATCCTTCCAGGGTAACATCTATTTCAGAAGGGATGGGGTGGCGCAATAACTTGAATTGTGGGCCATCACTTGACTGTTGTTGATTTGATTAACAAAGTTTCATCACAGTTCGTAGTATAATTGTATTTGGCAGCTATATTTATCAAAACATATTTTACCTGTATAGCACGAATCTTGTGGTTAATGCAATTTGCTTGGACTATTTTCCAGTAGCTTGGTTTGATAGTTGTATCTCTAAAGAGGTGTTGGGCATAACTTCGGATAGACTTGCACTGAAACTTAAGAAAAATGGGACATGGTTGCATCCAGTTGCTAATATTAACAGAAGGTGTTAAAAGCGACCTATAAGTGAAACAATGACTGCTTGCGCTGCACATTTTTCATCAAAGTCTTCATGGGTATCATGAAGGATGTTTTTAGTGTATCTAATGTATTCTTCATAAATTAAGCACTATTGCACTCAACTTCCAGTAAAGCAGTCACATCAGTGCTATGAACAACCAAGAATGATATATAGTAGCACTTTTTGGGGGGGACAAAAAATAGGATGGCAAGCAGTGGTTTTTAATCTTTCAAATGACAGAACAATCTGAATTTATATTACAATAGCAATTATTTTAAAAGGTGTATATGTTGGCTGTTGCAGGTGCTTGTTAAACAACTGGATAATATCTTGACTGCCATACATGATGTACTTAATGAAAGGTAAGTTGGGCTGATGCATTCCTGAAGTTAGTGTATTTGTGGCCAGCAAGCCAGGTAACACCTTCAACCTGGAAGCTGCTGCAGGAGGGACAAAGCATGGTTCATATAAAAGGGAAACAAGCAGCACCCTGCTTGCTTCTGACCAGCCTAGCCCAAATGTCTCATGATTACTTTTGGAAATCAATAACTGAATTCTTAGTTTGACATCAGTGGGAGCATACCATGTTGTGAACCTGTTGCTAGGCCAAGACAGATGTCATCAATTCGTTCAGGATTGATGCAAGCTTAGCACTCCTGAAGCAATTAAGAGGAATTGATTTGGATTTGGTATTGCCCCAGTATCGAGGCAGATGTATGGCACCTCTGATTTGCTTTGGAGATTGGCTTGAATTCTAGGAAGTGTACTTCCTTGCATGTTTCCTCTACGGTCAAACCTCAGTGACTGCTTTGAGGAGTATGCTATCCATTCTTGACCCCCAGTTATTGTGGGTTGGGTTCAGAGTGAGCTAAGAAGTGTGAGTCATAGAGCTGAGTCTGATGGAGACCAGTGAAATCTTATGGAGCATTCAGAATCTCAGTAACTGCTGCTACTAGCCATAGTAGTTCCTGGGCTGATTTAGAATGGCAACTGTGGCAAGAAATTCTGAGCTGCTGAGATAGGGGAGAGACAGAAGGTAAGGGGAAGAGTCCTTCCTACCTTCCTCCTTGTGTCTCACATTGAACCAAACACAGCACTTCAGTGTATAGAGTCCATAGAAAAGAGCTTTCCATGCTCCTGCACGTTCTCACGTTCCTGCTTGTATGTTGGTACCCCACAACCCCAGGCAATATGCTACCAATATGCTGGCAGGTATCCATGAATAAGTAGATTTGTGTGAACAGAAATATTTGGGTTATGTGAATGTTCATCTGTATGAATGACGTTTTGATTTCCGTGTGAGAGAGCCTTTGTGCTTGTAGATGGAGGGGAAAGCACAGGACAGAAGGGAAGAGGAGACATTTCACCCCTTTTGCAAATGCCTTCAACATGCTTAATCTTTAGGTTACCACCTGTGAGTTGGATGGAAAGAGAAGGGAAGTGGAAGGAATTGACAGCAAACCATGTGTTTCCACATTAATGGAAAGTGCTAACCAGATCATAGCCATTTATTCAAGTCTTTATTGTCATCATTTGCTAAATGTCTACTTTTCATGACTGAAAATCCTTACGACTGCTTTTTCTTTTTTCATAAATGCAGTAGCAAATTGCTTCAAGAACTCAGACAGGAGGGAGCTTGCTGTCTTGGACTTCTTTGTGCTTCTCTGAGCTATGAAGCGGAGAAGATCTTTAAATGGATTTTTAGTAAATTTAGCTCATCCACTAAAGATGAAGTTAAACTTCTTTATTTGTGTGCAACTTACAAAGCACTGGAGACTGTGGGAGAGAAGAAAGCATTTTCATCTGTAATGCAAGTAAGGATAAAAGTTAAATTGGGGCATTTTGGCTTTTCAGATACTGAATCATTTTCTGAAATGAAGAAGCTGAAATTTAAGCAGGCTAGCATATTAGCACATTGAAACTTCATTTTAGATACTGGGCATAATAAACAGTTTCAGAACTTTGTGTACCTGAAATCCGTAAGTGTTGAAATGTAGATTTGATGCATATTTTAATGTGCATTTTATAATGTTTATTTTTAAAACTGTTGATTTTATTTTTTATATATATTTAATGTAAATTGCTTCCAGGTTTTGATGATAAAGCAGCTTATGAATCTTGTTAAATAAATAAATAAATGTGCTGTAGTAGTCTGCTATAACTGATTGGTCTCCTAGCTCAGTATCATACCTTTTCACTGCTAGAAGCTGCCAACAGAATTTTAAACCAATTGTGGAATGCTCCAAACCTATTGAGACTACTTTCTGATCTCAGAGCATCTCCTTAAAGGCGTGTGATGTCCACATTTCTGTTTAACCATGAATTAAAATTACTAGAGTTGATTAGTGTCTGGAAATGATGGTAGAAAAACGGACATGATGGGCAGGAATTATTCAGTGGTGGAGACTGAAATTTAGAATTGGGGTAAGATGAAGGGGCAAGTGGGTTATATAAAATGAGTGGAAAAATCTAATAGTAGGAGCAACCCTTTGTTTTCTCTCAGTTGGACTGAGGTTCATTAGAACCAGTATCCCTCTTGCCAGTCCATCCAGACCCCTCTCTCCACCCCTGTAAAGCATGTGTCCAACATAGATTGAGAACCAAAGCAGTGCTACTCGAAAGCAGTTCTACTACTTCATCAGCAGGCATTTCTACATGTTGTTAACAAGATAGATTATTTATTTAAATAGTAGTTATTGATACACTTCTGTAAACAGTGTGGTTGTTTTTTTAAATATATAGCCTGAATAGTTTTTGTTCAATATGGGTTTTTTGGGTGCACACTTTTTTTTCTTAAAGCTCGTCATGACTAGCCTGCAGTCTATCCTTGAGAACGTGGATACACCAGAATTGCTGTGTAAATGTGTCAAGTGCATCCTCCTTGTGTCCCGATGTTACCCTCACATTTTCAGCACTAACTTTAGGGTGAGCACCTTTGCTTCTCTTTCTTGGTTTTAGATCGGTATTGACACATGTGCTACAGGTGGATTAATTTTTCTGTATTGCTTTCCAAGGACACTGTTGACATATTAGTTGGGTGGCATATTGATCACACTCAGAAACCTTCTCTGACACAGCAAGTGTCTGGTAAGTCTTAAAAAATAAAATTTCATGTGATGACCTTAATAGATGTTCTTGGCTTCCTTCTGGAAGGTGAAGTGTTACTACTAGTGTATACTTCACTTTGCTTATAGTGGAATGAGGAAATAGTATTAGTCACAGGGATTCGGTTAAAACATGAATCTCTGGGCTTGTCAGAATTTTGAAAAAGTGCTGTTAGTATCAGTGTCTTTGATTTCTTCTCTCCGTGCCCTTCTCTACGCCCCGGTCAGTCTCCTTCCCTTCCTCCCCACCCCACCCCACCCCACCCACACACACACACTCTTTGCTTTTATAAGAGGTATGGGTAAATATCAGAGTAGAATTAAAATGGACCCCTTCCTTTGTGTCCCCACAAAATCACCATCAAATTACAGCTTAACTGTGACAGACCTTACAGTAAAAATCATAAATCCGGTTCTTGCCTGCACAACAAACATTGATCTGAGGCAAAGATCCTCATGGATCTTCATGATTTTTACTTAAGGTGACAACAAAGCCACAATGTGACCAATGATTTAATGCAGGTTTTGAAGGGATTTATTGGTAAAAAAATTAATAATAATGAGGATACATGTTTTTGTTCCATGGCAGTGGTGGAAAGCACCAGAACTGGTTTTTTTAAAAAAAAGTTTAGTTAATGGAAGTGATCTGTGGTGGGGAACCCGTGAAAAAATTGTGTAACTTCAAGAAAATCTGCTTTACTGGAGCCACTCTTCTTCTGCCCTCTCTTTCACTCTGCTTCCTGTACAACTGCTCAGGGCATGATCAGAATCTTGAAAAACTCATAAAACTGAAAGAGGAAGTAGGGGAGAATAGCACTCCTCTTTTCATTTTTAGTTGCTGTTGAAGGCATCACTCCTTCAACTTCCTCCTTCAGCTCTGTATGCTTTTCAAAGCAGGAAAGGTAACTACTCTCCCCACTTCTTGATGAAGGGTGCAACGGTTGTGTGGTGAGCATGGTTTTGTGTGCGCTAGGAGAGCTCCTCAGGGGCACCACATTGGCAGCCCCAGTGTTAAAAGGAATGTCTGGCTTTCCTAAAGTTGAACATTTTTATCAGAATCAACTTGTTGAAAAATAAAATAAAATAAATTAGTGGCATCATACCACGGGAAGATGATCTGGTTTTCCCAGAGGTCTAAAGCTGGCTTTCTATCAAAATTGTAATTTGGTTTAATTTATACCTATGCTAGGACCAATAACTGAACTTGGGGCAAGGGCAGAGTTAATAAGGTGTTCTTGCAAATACGTTAACAATGAACAAGCTTGGATCATTGCCAAATGGTGGCATTCACATACAAGAGGGAGATACAGGTAGGCTCAGAGGAATTCAAAGTTTGCAGAAGTAATGGAATGGAGTATCCTGGAAAATGGCGTAGGTGGCTAGAACCCTGAACAGGAGCATTTCATATTGCAAGTGTTGCCCCCCTCCCCCAGTTGCATACGAGAAAGCTTCCTGCCCTCTCTCCCACCCACATTCCACATATAGGGCATATTCATGTTGCAACTATTTTGCTTTTTTGTTGCTGTTCATTTCATTGAGGATGTAGTTTTGTGGAGACCTCTCTGAAGTAGTGGCCAATCTTTTCCTATTTTTTAGTAATATACACCCCACCCCATAAGACCATAAAGTTGCTATGTGTCAGTAATTGTGCAGCTCCCTCAGTAGACTCTTTCGTCTTTTAATGGAATGCCAGATTCTGATAAAGCCTTCCTTCATTAATCCAATAGCCCTGAATTTCTTCAGTGTTGTATGTTGTGTCCCTTACTGCAGATGCCCCATGACCCGAGTATACCCAGCCCCAATGAAGACCAGTGTTTGAAAGTTTAGTTTTTTATTGGCAAAGCACTTGATTACACCAGCTTCTAAGGTGTAGCAGCTTCAGCTACTTCTGTTGCTGTAAGCCTATTCTTGTCCATGGAGACAGTGGTGGACGGGACAGAGGAGATTCTAACAGCCCAGCTCTCTCTGGGACTGTCACTTCCACCTATGCACCTTCCTGCAACTCTTTCCTCTCCTCTTGTCTCTGACTGCCCGTACTTTCTCTCTTCTTCCTTCCCCTGGCTCCCCCCCCCCCCCAAATTGCTGGCTCCCTTCCCCTGGATCATCTTCCTGCCCCCACCCCACCTCCTCTGCCCACCCCTCAGACTCCTGCTTGTCCCTGACACCCTGCTACAGAATGTCCTTTCTTTCAGAATATAGTTAACCTGGCAACCTCATTCAATTCTGTAAAGTTGTTTTTAACTAATTATGAAATGAAAGATACTTTATTTAATTTCCCAATATTGAGTCACATCCACACCATGGCTTTAAAGCATGTGGCTTCGCCCAAGGAATCCTGGGAACCTTAAGTTTATCCATCAAAGAGCTACAATTACTAGCATGTTCAACAAACTATAGTTCACAGGATTCTTTCGGGAAAAGCAATATGCTTTATAAGTTTATGGTATGGGTGTGGCTTTCATTAGGTAGAATTTGGCCACAAATGTTCTCTGTTGACTATGCCTGGCTTATGCATTCTTCTAAATGAGTCATCTTGCTCTGTTTTTGATTTTCCTGATAAATGTAACTGATGTTATAAAATTACCACTGTGTAGGATTTATTAGAGCTGGTTGTTTGTTGTGTGTACACTTCACTTTTAGTTGACTTTGTTTCTGAGTAAATCAAGTGTACTTTTGATCATAACTTTGTTTTTATTGGTTTGGCACTTTGTACAGGGTGGTTACAGAGCCTCGAACCATTTTGGGTAGCTGACCTTGCATTTTCTACCACACTTCTTGGTCAGTTTCTAGAGGATATGGAAGCGTATGCTGAGGTAATAAAATGTTGGTCTTGATAAGTGTTTTAAAAGGAGCAGGATATTGGGTATTGTTGGATATTGTGTCTTCCCTTGCATATAAACAATAGGCAAAATAGATTAGCACACTTTAAAAGCATTGTAAGGGTCAGGGGAAACATGTTTGAACATATGAATCTTCAGTTTTCACTCAAAGCTCATTTTTGGTGTCTCCTATATTGCAAGAGATGGTGTTCTAGAGGGTTGGTGCTACCATAGTGAAGGCCTACTTCCAAAAAATCATCAGACAGCCGACCAAAGATAGTAGAAGCAAGGCCATTTTTGAAGGTCTTAAGATTTAACAGCTAAGCATCATAGCTGCCAAATTCTGCACTAACTGTACTTTCTGGAATATGCCTATGTTAGCATAGAGATACAGTATCTTGCACTGTGGGGTTAGAATACATGAAGCTTGCAGTTGTGAATTTGCATTGGGTATATGCTAACTACATTTATTCATGTAGGACCTTGGCCACGTGGCTTCTGGAGAATCGGTAGATGAAGATATTCCTCCTCCTAGTGTTTCACTGCCCAAACTGGCAGCACTACTTCGCGTTTTCAGTACCGTGGTGAGGAGTATTGGAGAACGATTCAGTCCCATTAGAGGGCCACCAATTACTGAAGCATACGTAACTGATGTAAGGGTTCCCGTCTTTCATGTTGTATACCAAAAAACCCTTTGTGGCAGTGAGCCCCAAATTGATCAGGAATCTGATAAGCTTGTTGCCTCTTCTCCTTAATCGTTGTCACCCATCGGTTGACATACTGGGTGCTCCCTCCCCAACCTTTCTGTTGGGAACATGCCTGCACCACAGGTGTGTAATTCCAGAGCATCAGATGTCACTGGATTAAAACTCACTGTTCCATACTTTAGTTTCAATCATCAGAAAAGGACCTACGCAGAATACCTCTGTGGGACACATTCCAGCCAAAATTAACCATCTCCAACCCTTGTTTATTTCAGTGGGATGAGGATGTGCTTAGATCTTTTCTGTTTAAGCCGCTGGAAGATGCAGTTGTGCTTAACTTTTGCATTGTGCCCTGTGTGCTTTCTGTACTTATGCCACCAGACTTTAAAATCATTTTCCATTTTGATGTACAGTAGTGGTTATTAGTATTTTCTAGTGAAAGCATGTGGCTGGAATGACTCCAGATGGTTTTGCAGTTTTAGCCTCAGAGGAACTTGGCAGCACTCATCTTTCAGTTAATTGTATCTCTTTTCCCTTTGTTTTCAGGTTTTGTACAGAGTAATGAGGTGTGTGACAGCAGCAAACCAAGTCTTCTTTTCTGAGGCTGTATTGACAGCTGCCAATGAGTGTGTCGGTGTCCTGCTTGGTAGTTTGGATCCCAGTATGACTATACACTGTGACATGGTCATCACTTATGGATTGGATCAGCTGGAAAATTGTCAGACTTGTGGTACTGATTATATCATCTCGGTGTTGAACTTACTGATGCTGGTACATACAGTTCTCATAATATCTCACTTTAATCATAGGTTTTTGTTCATTCATTTGACAATTTAAGATTATGAGTGAGTGGACAGGGAGACCATTCTCTAGCTTGATCTTGGTTTCTATAATAATTTTATGGCCTTGAGCAAATCACTGCTTTTCCAGTCCCACCTCTCCATCTTTAAATGAAGAGAAAGGTGATTTACCTGATAGAGTTGTTTGAAGGGCTAGGAAGGGTTTAATAGCATTTTAAGGATTTACGTACTTTGTAAATTATGGGATCACTTCCTATGTCTGTATTTTTAAAAGCTGTCAAAATGTTGATGCTTGTTCTAAATATTGGCTCTGGTGCTAGCAGCCATTGTGGGATTATATCATTCCATATCCTTTACCTACCCAGGCGGCATTCATTAACGAATGGCTTGGGTCCTCCCAATAAGCAAGGAATCATGTGACTAAGCTTTTGTAGCTGCCTGTGGCTCTTTAGGGGATGGGTAGGTGCCTATGGGGCTCTTGGATTCTGTTTGTTCCTTCCTGTCTGAATTTTTCTGGTCTCATAAGCTGCACTTCGGGTATGCCTCAGATTTCTTTTGTCTGTCATAGTTGTGGCACCCTGGGCAGAACAGATACTAAAACTTAGTATGATTCCTTGCTTCTCCTTGGTAGAGGAAGGATTTAAGCCATATGCTTTTGGATGCCTTGTTCACCCCGAGAGAGAAACCACCTTCACAATAAACACCCTGTGTACCTTTCTAAGTTGCCAGTGGAAAGAAGAAATTTAAAATTGCCATTGGCTAAATATCTCAGCAAGCTATCAATGTTTTTTAAAATATGTATTTGACTTAAAGTGAAGATTTGACAAGTAAAAGTATAATGATAAGTCGTCTTCTCTGTCTAGATTGTTGAACAAATAAATACAAAGCTTCCATCATCATTTATAGAGAAATTGTTTATACCGGAATCAAAATTGCTTGTACTCCGCTACCATAAGGAAAAAGAGGTAAGCAATAAACTTTTAGATTTTGCATTTTGATGTTAATTTCTAAATTAAAAGAAAGCACATATGTACATGCCCTTTAATTTTACAGCTGACTCACTGTGAGTAAGCTGTTCTGTATGGTTAGTAGCTCAATTCATGCATCATGCCCAATTGGTTTGCAGTGCTGCTTGAATTGACAAGCATAACTGTGGCCGTTGCTCCATCTCTGGAGGCTGTTGTGCCTAGAAACAGGAGTGGACTTAAGAAACCAAGTGCTAAGCGAATGGGAAACGAAGTCAGACAAGCAGCTCTAGAGCATGCTTGGCATATTGAGCTGTTGTACTTGACAAGGCTCTTACAGGAGTTTTGTACAAAGGCCACAATATGCTTGGAGCATGCTTTGGGTGAAACAACTTTTTTAATTTTAGGAGGATGGAAAATATTTTTGCTTGGTCTTGATTTTATTTGGTTGTTTCTGTGCTAGATATGAACGGCACTACTCATCCCCTCCCTCTGCATCTCTATAACACACAGCTTGCATCCTTTGATAGATCTCCCCTGACTCTCTGGAGAGGCTTTCGGGGGTGAGGGTGGTGATGGGTTGCAGCATGGAAGAGGTTATCGAAAAGACTGGCTACCTTTTTGCGTAAAATTGAATACAACCCATAATTGACACTCTTGTCGTGGTCCACAGGCAGTTGGTGAGCCTTCTCATTAATGAGGCTATGAATCAGTCCTGTATAAACCATGAACAAATTTGATGAAATAAATAATGTTTTAGTACTTCAACTTTTGTATGCTTTAAAATACTGTATAGTTGTGATTTTTTCCCTTGATTTCACTGTTTTATTTTTTTTTTGTAAACCACTTTGAGGATTTATTTTTTACAATCAGGCTGTGTATAAATTTTATGAGTTGAATAAATAAATATTTCCATCCATGATTGCTTATCAAGGGTTTTACGTAAGGGTGATATCCAACTTTAGCCATATACAGAGTAGACACACTGAAATTGATGAACTTAATTCCACTTGCTTCAGGGGGCCTGGATGTTGTTCTAAATCTTTGTGCCTTTCGGCAGTGCATGTTGTTACTGCAGTGTGGGCATTCACTTCCAATAACAAAGACTTTCAGCTGTGATTATAGTAATTGTGGTTGTTCTAAAGAAACATATTTTGTTTATTACTATTTTTATTTTAAAAAAAACACTGCTAAACCACTCTTCATCCATGCTGATGCCAATAGCAGCATACAGTGGGCATGGATAAAAATGAAAACATGCCACAAAGAACAGTACAGTAAAAACAATCAACTATCATAAAATTAAAGGCAAGTAAAATAAAGTTTAAGAACAGACTAAAGTGCCAGATTTATTTTATACCTGTAGCATAGTACTTACCTTCAACTGTGTTAAGGATTGTGAAGAGTGGACAAGCTATAGAAAATGTGTAATATGCAGCTCCAAAATGTCGTGACATTCTGATTTTCTCTTGTTTCTCAAGGTGGTTGCAGCAGCACATGCAGTGTATCAAGCAGTACTAAGCTTAAAGAACATTCCGGTTTTGGAAACAGCCTACAGGTTGATTCTTGGGGAAATGGCATGTGCCTTGAACAGTCTTCTTTGCAGTCTGCAGCTTCCAGAGGCTTGTTCTGAAATCCAACACGATGCTTTCAAGAACCATGTTTTCGATGTAGCGAATGCAAAATTTGTTGTTATATTCGACCTTAGTGCTCTGACTACAATAGGAAATGCAAAAAACTCATTGATTGGAGTGAGTATCTTCTACAGTGTAAATATGAATGGCAATTATATTTCTAAGTGCTTACATCTTAGTGGCTGTTTTAAATTTAAAATCTGGTATAGCATCATATATATTGTCATGTCATTCACTGTGGTACATTGAAGGACAACCACACATTTTTACTTGGGTGGGGAAGTCCTTCCTGGGTTAGAAGGACTTAACTCTGCTGTAGGAAACCTTAGCCCATCCAGATGCTGCTGAACTACAACTTCCATCAGCCCCAGCAATCATGGCCACTGGTCAGGGATTATGGGAGTTTTATTTCAGCATCATCAGGAGAGCCAGAGGTTCCCCATAGTTACGGTAATTAATTAAAATAGACATTATCTTTGCTTTATTAGCTTCAACACAGGGTCGTATATAAGTACACAGTGGGGAGGAACATACAATTGTCTGTTTTTCCTCTCAGTGCTGCCACATATGAAGAGAGAGTTCAAACACTAGCTGAAGTCACTTTGCTCTTTTCTGAATAAAACTATTTAAGATCACTTTATGGTGATTTCAGTTGTGGAAAATGTCCACAATCCCCTGTCCCATCCCCTTTTGTCCTTGCATCACACTTTACAAGAAAACTTCTCGTTATTGCTCAAATGTTAGTTTACTTCTAGTTTTGTGATTAGGTAGCAGTTGTGAGAAAACATAATCATGCTTTTTAAAAAAACAAAACCAAATGAATATAGGACTGACAGCAATGTAATTTTCATAAATACTTTGTTCTTTACTATTGCTTGCTTTGCCAGATGTGGGCTCTATCTCCAACGGTGTTTGCATTGCTGAGCAAGAATTTGATGGTTGCGCATGGTGACATAGCAGTTCACTTTCCTGCAGTCCAATATGCAGTGCTCTACACCCTCTATTCACATTGCACCAGGTGTGAAGGCATTCATTCCATAATGTAAACGATAAAATAGCGATATATCAGTTCAGGGACCAAATGCACTTGGTTGTTTTAGTTGAACAATGGAAGGTACTGTTAATACCTTATCAGTGTACTATGTGCAACACAGTAGGTGCTATTGTACAATCTCCATTCTTTTTAATGGGCGTCCCCTCACAAACCACAGTCAGATAATGGTGGCTGTGTTAGAATATATCTGTTGTATTGTACTTTTTTTATGAGTGATAGTGAAACCTCTGCTCTTGGCTGAGGTAATTTCTTAAAATGCTAAAAAATATATATCAGAAAGCTACAGAGTAAAATGGGCAGTATGGAGTGTTCCTAGTGAGTCTCTTTAAGAGAGAAAAAGAAGTGAGAGGCTTGGGTTACTGGGACTAAAAACTTTTTCTAGTTGCAAGAGAACCCTAGATTGGCAAGCCTGAATGAGAAGCGATTCTAGGAGGCAATGAAGCAGGGTGGTTTGGGGTTTTTTAACATTATGAAGCTGCAGCAACATGTGACGTTAACCCTGTGTGTAGTCACCAGATGGTAAACATTTAACTTTGTGTTGATCTCCAGGCACGACCATTTCATATCTAGCAGCCTCAGCTCTTCCTCTCCTTCCTTGTTTGACGGGGCTGTTATTAGCACTGTAACTACAGCTACGAAGAAACATTTCTCCATAATACTAAATCTCCTGGGACTTTTACTTAAGAAGGATAACCTTACGCATGATACCAGGTAACTAGTGCTTTCTCCCTGTCCAAAGAAGATGTGTCTCTGACAGAATGATTGGTACTAATTAAACATCAGCAGTATATTTATACATAAAAATGAGGGAACGTGATGCATTTATGTTTCTCATAACAGTTTGTGGAATTAGTTATGCCTTGCCAGAAAACAGTTTCTTTAAAAAAAAAGTTACACAGTATGCCTAACTACTCCAAAGCAACTCTAAAACAGCCAATTTTGTCTAGTACATTCCACATGGGCAGTTTTACTTTATGTTCGTTTACTCAGAAGCAAGTCCAGATGTTTTCAGTGGAGCTCATTCCCTAGTATGTGTTCATATTCTATGTAAACCGCTTTTAGAGGTTTATATGATTCAGCAGTATACAAATGTGTTTAAAACTGCAGCCTGCCTTTGTAAGTAACATGCATTCTACTCAGTTCTCCAGTGATAAAATTAGATAAAAGTTTCTTGCATTACTAGTGAAGTGGATATGTCCGATATTTTATGTACCAGGTCACTCAAACCTTGTGTTCTGTGTGTCATCTTAGAGTTGGATCCAGACTTGTCCTTCCATAAACATACAGACCCCTTCAATTTATGGAATGGACTGAGATCCAGCGGAAGTGGGTAGGGAAAGGTTCCTCTTTCCCTTTGTAGCTCTGCCTCCTCACATGCTGCTAGGGGGACGGCATTGCAATTGAACATAGGGGGGTACGGGGGGGGGGAGGGAAGAAAATGTTAAAATCTCCTCACCCTCCAGTGGGAGCAGAACTCCTTTCATGACAAGCCTAGATCAAGCCCAATAGGATTAGAAATGTTAATTTGTAATTATCTAGAGTAACTGTTGTGTAATGCATTTCTAGGAAACTACTAATGACATGGGCTTTGGAAGTGGCTGTCCTAATGAAAAAATCAGAGACATATGCACCACTGTTCTCCCTCCCATCTTTTCATAAGTTCTGCAAGGGACTCCTGGCAAACAGTAAGTGGTTTATTATTCCGCTTAGCATAAGAAATGGGTAAAGTCAAGTCCTTCCAATTCTGTTGTTCATGCTTTGGCTAAACCCATAGTCAACCATTTTTCCAGTCCAGCCTAAAATTCATTTGCTAAATGGCAAATTCCGGAGGTGTAGCCATCTTAGTCTGTTTTGGCAAAACCAGTAAAGACATCTGTGTGCCACCTTAAAGACTAATACATTTTATTATGCTTCGGTGCTTTTGTTAAGTTTTTAGGGTACCACACAGGAGTCTTGGTTAGTTAAATGCCCTTGCATGAAGTGACCCAAGCTGTAGAATTGACTGGGCATGGTAGTGAGAACTTGATGCTTCACATGGCTCTAAAAGGATAAGTAATCCGACAGTGCGTTGGATTATTGTGCTGTATGTAGAGCAATTAAATTTCTACATGAAGAAAAGGGGAACAAAAAATCCAATGAATTTCGGAACTCATGTCATGAGCCTAAGAGGTCATGATGCTTTTTTTTTTTTTTTACTGTACACTCTCCTCCGAACTGCACAACAAACTTCACTTTGTTGCAGAAGCTGTTTGTGACATGGCATGGACATAAATTCAAAGAAGAAAATGTCAGCATGGGAAAATGTCAGCATGGATGACACTACATGACTCACACTCTGGAACGAAATTATGTTAATGATGCACATCATTACTTTTATTTTCAGTGGCTTTTATAGCTCCTGGTGTAATAGGCCTATACTGGAAATTCTATTAGCATTGGTGTGTGAAATTAAGGACAGGGAGTGACGTATAATATTTGATCTTGATTTTTAGAAAAACAAATAGAATTGTTGTTAGATCGTGTGAATTAAATATAGTGATAGCCTAAGTTACATGATTAAAAAAAATTAATACTGTCTCCTTTTTACCCAATACATAGCTCTTCTGGAAGATGTAAATATTTGTCTTCAGGCATGCAGCAGCCTCCATGCTTTGTCACCGTCTCTACCAGATGATCTGTTGCAGAGGTACGTTGTTAATTTTGTTTCCAGGACAAAAACAATGTTCAAATTTGTATGCAGTCCTTATTGTATTTATTTATCTGATGCAGATGTGTTGATGTATGCCGTGTTCAGCTAGTCCACAGCGGGGCTCGTATAAGGCAAGCTTTTGGAAAACTGTTGAAGTCTATTCCTTTAGATGTAGTACTAAGGTAAGTGTGTATGCATTGAATTTTTGGAACGAGGGTACTGGGTGTGTTAATCTAGTTTTAGTTAGATCTATATTGTAGTCTCTACTTGTAGCTACTTGTGAACGGAGAAAGTAGGGACAAGTGCACCAAGGGTGAAAGCGTCACAAAAAGTAATGAGTTTCTGTACGTCAATAGCAACTACACACACGCTAACAACAAATCTTCTAACTTCACACACACTTTTGGCTTCCGATTCACCTTACTGTGCTTTCTATATATTCTTTGCCTATACGTACTTCCTGTTATATCTATTGCATATATATTGCATGCTGTTCTTCTTTTTGTCTATGCTGTTTTATGTAAACTGTTTTGCAATTAATTTTTTTAAAAACAACAACAAAAAGTAATGAGTTTCTGTATTTGCAGTAACAACCAACACACAGAAATACAAGAAATCTCTCTGGCTATAAGAAGTCATATGAGCAAAGCTCCAAGCAATACATTTCACCCACAAGACTTTTCTGATATCATTAGTTTCATCTTGTATGGGAGTTCTCACAGAACAGGGTAAGTCCGTGTTTGTATTATAAAGGATAAGTATTTTTTAAGATATTTGTATTTCTTTTCTGTTGAAAAAAAGATCTGTGTTTTGCTTCCAGCAACCCAACTGCCAAGAGATTTGTAAATTTGTCTCTACGTTAAGTAATTCACCAACCAGTTTATTGCACAATATCTATTGCTTCAATAGATTTGCATTCACAATTCGTTTACTTAGCTGCTTTTAATTTTCTTTAGAACTAAATCCATGTTGAAGACACCTAAATGACTGGTCCTTTGGTATGGTGCAGAAGACCGCTTTTAATGTTGGATGTATGCATTCACTTTTTAAGCAAAATCTTGATAGCAGGAGACATCTAACAGTGTCTGCCTGCTCATGCAATGGGGCTTCCCCTTGTGCAGCTTCTGTCTCCACCCCAGCACTTCCTCCCAAAGCAGTTGGAGGGCCCCCCCAGAGAGCAGATTTGGAGGAGGAGGAGGAGGAGGAAGAGAGGGGGGAAAGTCCAATTGCATGAGTGGGCATCTGCTCCTTGGATGTCACCCATTTATTTTTTCATATGACAATAATCATTCAGGAAAAGCAGCTTCATCATGGAAACAATAGAACAATAGATTAATGTTTTCATGACTATCACTGCTCTACCATGCGTCTTGCATACACCTTCTCCCTGGGTCCAAGAGAATATACATAAATGCAAACATTAAGAGTTACACATTTGTCTTAATACCTGATTTTATTTCAGGAAGGAAAGCTGGCTTGAAAGGTTATTTTACAGTTGCCAGAGACTGGATAAACGTGACCAATCAAATATTCCCCGCAATTTATTGAAAACTGAAGCTGTTCTTTGGCAGTGGGCTATCTGGGAAGCAGCACAATTTACTGTCCTTTCAAAGTTAAGGACACCACTAGGCAGAGCTCAAGATACATTCCAGACAATTGAAGGTAATCTTAAAGAGCTTGTATATTTTTGGAAGATTTTTTTTTAAGTTTTAAAATCATGATATAACATTTCTGCCATTATAAAGGTAAAATGTATTTGGAGAAAAAGTGTTGATTTGTGTTTAGCTGCATATTGTCATTTTGGTTCTGTAGGTGACTTTCATTAATTTGAATGTTCACTGAATTGAGATTGAATGTCACAACATATTTGCATCTATTATGGTGTTAATTAAAATGTTTGATGTAGGTTATTTGTGATGCTTTCTTGAAGAGTTATTCTCAGGTTGGCATGGGATGAGTTGTGTCCTATGATTCTCCCAAGTGTTCTTTGGAAATGGCTTAGAGGCTTTCAGTCAAGTAAGCAGTACAGTTCATAAATGATGTTGAATGGAAAAAAGCAAGAACATGTGATTGAGCTGTTGGGAGGACACCCTCTCCCTCTGGTTCTGCTTTTGTCTAAAGCAGACAAGGTCTTCCTTTCTCAACTTTCTCTCTTCCTTTCTTTTCCTTTCTATATTTTTTCAAACCTCTTTGTTCCATTAAGATTCTGTTTATCTTAGTTGTGCCTCCTGTTTTCTTAGGAAAAGAATATATATTTTCCCTAATCCTTACCTGTGCTTTTCCTTGCTTATTCCTTCACTGCTGGGCCTTACTCCAACTGAAAATAAGTCTTCCAAACCTAAAAAAACTCAGAAGGCCACCAGTGCCTGGTGATCCTCACTGATTCTTCTGAAACATCTCCTAGTCTTCACAGACAGTGCCATGATGAAAGTCCATTAGAATGGGCAGAACTCCTTTTCTGAGCTGAGAAGTATTTTCCCTTGCTGACATTCCAACAAATTAAGGATGGGCTCAACTGTACATCAGGCTTCCAGAGCAGAGCTTGGTTCCAGCTGTGAAAGTTGGTCCTCAGCAACCTTAATCTACTTCAGTCAACCATGGACTCACCCTCCTAGACCTCTTCACCAAGCTGGTCAATGTGGAGCTTCTGTCTCCCCCTGCCCCCAGTTTCAGATTTGCAGAGCAGAGGCTATAGATTCCCTTACCGCTCCTTGGCATCAGGGTGGTCTGTTCAATTTTATTTCAATCCCTCTCCTGTCTAGAGTTCCTGAGTGGCCCAAGTCCTCCTTATTGCACTTCCCCAGCCCTATCATTTTGGTTTCTGGACCTCCTCCACCTAGACTTGTACTTTCTGCTGCTCAGACTGAATATTATCTCCTGGGGACCAATACTGCCTGGGTCAGCCTAGCCATGTGGACATTGAGTGGAGCCACCTCATCAGCTGTAGGCATAATTGACACCATCCTTGCATTTCATAGGCTATCCTCTGAATCTTTGAGGCTGCTTGAAGAGCCTTTTGCAGATGAGCAAGGAGAAAAAAGCATTGTTGCCTTGTGGCCTGGCATTAAAGAACTTGTATTCTTCCTTCAAGTTGGTCTCGACCAAGGCCTCTTACAGATGCCCTCAGATGCCAAACTACTACCCTCTCCTATGTCTTAACAATGATCTAATGGCAAACCCCCATGTTTGCATCCATATGTGCAGCACTTCTAGGGTGGAGGGGGTCACTAATGAGACCTCTGAGTAGTGTATCACTTTCTAGCATGGCATCTCCACACTGTTCTGCAGGCCATGCCCTATCAACCCTATCTCAGTGCATTCTTGTCTTCAAATACACATTTTCCAGAAGGACAGCATTGGACTGACCCTTCATTTGTACCTAAAGTGAACAATTCAAAGTGTTGGTGCTGACCTTTAAAGCCCTAAACGGCCTTGGCCCAGTATACCTGAAGGAGCGTCTCCACCCCCATTGCTTAGCCCGGACACTCAAGTCCTCTTCAGAAGGTATTCTGGTGGTTCCCTCACTGCAAGAAGTGAAGTTACAGGGAACCAGGCAGAGGGCCTTCTCAGTAGTGGCGCCTTCCCCTTCAGATGTCAAGGAGACAAAGAATTACACAACTTTTAGAAGACATCTGGAGGCAGCCCTGTATTGAGGGATTTTTAACTTGATGTTTTGATTAAGTTTTTAGATATGCTGTAAGTCGCCCAGAGTGGCTGGGGAAACCCAGCCAGATGGGTGGGGTATAAATAATAAAATTATTATTATATTATTATTAGGGCTCAAGATTTAGTCTTGCCCTCGTTTTGTCCAGATGTGTCCTACGGAACATCCTGCCTAGCTGGAATGACCACCTTTTATAAAATCTGTTCCCCACTCTTGGTTATGATTTTTTTGGTAGATTGTCCCATTGTGTAAATGTATCTCATGCCAACCTGAGAAGGGAACTTTGCTTGCTTACTGTGAATGGGTCTTCTAGGTTGGCATAGTGATACATCCACAGCTGCACTTTGGGAGGTTAGGGGTGTTTCCAGTGGCTGTTTCGTATTAACTCATTTCCCCCTTCTTCACTCTAGTTTATTTCATCTTCCTCGCTCAGATACATGCCCTTCTGGTCCCCAACCTTATTTCCATCCCCTTGTAGGGAGAGGGATTGTGGGGATTATGTTTTCTTGTTCTGTGTAGTCTGAACTTTCTCCTTTTAGTTTGGCCACAGACGGAACTGGAGGAGGACCCAGAGGGAGACCTCCAACAGTTCAATCAATCACATGTCCTTGCCTTAAGTGAATTATAGGGCACAACCCATCTCATGAATGTATCCATATGCCAACCTAGAAGGTCCATTCATGGTAAGTGATCACAGTTCCTTTTTGGAAATCATAGTTTTGGTTTGAAGACGTCATTCTCATTTCCTGTACCTTGAAATGTTCTGAATGGATGTTTCCAGGCATCATTAGAAGTCTTGCAGCCCACACCTTAAACCCTGAACAAGATGTCAGCCAGTGGACTACAGCAGACAATGATGAAGGTCATAGTAGTAACCAGCTGAGACTGGTTCTGCTTCTGCAGTACTTGGAGAATTTGGAGAAACTGATGTACAATGCCTATGAAGGATGTGCTAATGCACTCACATCTCCACCCAAGGTTTGTGTTCAGTAACATGATTGCAGTACCTTGCATTGGGTCTTCAGATTGTTGTGGAACATATCCATAGACCTTGTTTGGATGTAACAGTAAACTGTGGTTTAGCACTATGTGAATGAGCCAGCCTTCTTTGGAGCTTACGTGTTCTCTCTGGGTTCCTGTTTGAATTGTAACCTGTAATGCACAAGTACTGTGTTCTGAACCACAGGCCCAAAAGAAGGCTCATGGGAGTGGTTGGGTGCAGGGATACCAAAGAAGGATGTCAAAACCAGAGTGATCAGTTCTAATGCTTTATTAAGCAAGATGTAGACTTACTTAGCAAAGCAGCCTACAAGGTCTCCTAGCCTTTACAAGATGTGTAACGGATGCTGCAACAAGGAGATGACTTGTATGCACCCATGCAACTGTACATACATTCTTTATATACAAAGCAGCATATGTCACTTTGACCAGAACTGCTCATTGCTTCACCTGAGCAGATGAAGGCATAGGTGGCAGATACCTGTTTTACAGATAGTTCCCCTTTCTGTGCTCAGAGCCGAGCATCCCAAGCCCAGGTGTAGCTTTCCCAAACATTTCTCATTAAAGAACATCATATGTAGCAGCAGTGCTTCATAGCAGCTGTACAGTTCTTAAACAAATTGGAGTTGATGTGTTTACTTGAAACTGTACTTTGGTGGGAAGGAGGCATCCAGGCTTGGTTATCTTCTAGGACTGTCCAGTGTACAGACAAAGATTCTGTGACTTGATCTTTGTATGTTAGGTGTGCCTTTCACCAGCTGTATCAAATAGATATAAATGTTTAATGTTTTTAATAATTCTGGGTGGTATCAAACTAATTTCTGCTCAGAATAGACCCATTGAAATAAATTGAATGATTATTAAGGTCTGCTAATTTCACTTTGTAACTTGAAAAATTGGTAAGACTTGATGCAAATAATTTTTCAGTGTGCGGAAGAAATACTGTAAAAACAAGTTGTTTTTTCTCTCTCTCTTTCTGCTTATGAAGGTTATCAGGACATTCTTCTATACCAATCGTCAGACTTGCCAAGATTGGTTAACTCGAATTAGACTTTCCATCATGAGGGTTGGATTGCTGGCTGGACAGCCAGCCGTGACTGTAAGGCATGGCTTTGATTTACTGACAGAAATGAAGGCCAATAATATCTCTCAGGTACTGCATTTACATATAATTTCTCCCATAATATTATTGTGTCTGAGTAAACAAGGGTGAGGATGCAGGTGGCGCTGTGGTCTAAACCACAGAGCCTAGGGCCTGCCGTTCAGAAGGTTGGCGGTTCGAATCCCCACAACAGGGTGAGCTCCCATTGCTTGGTCCCAGTTCCTGCCGATCTAGCAGTTCGAAAGCATGTCAAAGTGCAAGTAGATAAATAGGTACCACTCTGGCGAGAAGGTAAACGGTGTTTCCGTTCACTGCTCTGGTTCGCCAGAGGTGGCTTAGTCATGCTGGCCAAATGACGGCTTCCTCGGCCTATAGAGCAAGATGAGCACCGCAACCCCAAAGTCATCCACAACTGGACCTAATGGTCAGGGGTACCTTTACCTTTAAACAAGGGTGGCTTTAATTCATAGCAAATAGATCTCTTGCAATAATAAAGAATGATCCATCAAAGGAAACCCACACATTCTAATAAATCCAAGTTGCTGTACATGTATTGGCTCCAGAGAAAAATAATTTGTCATTCCTGAATTACAGCTGATTGACTCCATTTTAAGTGATGCTTGTAATGGGTTACTGCAATGGGAAATGTTACGATTGCCCTTCAGAGATTATTGTAAGAGTATACACAGACATGTAAATGAGTTTAAAAGGACTTTGTGGGTTGGTGTAATCTTGTTTCACTCTAGCCTATAAATTGAAGTCTCTTGTTTTCTCCATCCCACTATTAGGGGAATGAATTGGAAGTAACAATCATGATGGTGGTGGAAGCACTCTGTGAGCTTCATTGCCCTGAAGCAATCCAAGGAATAGCTGTCTGGTCATCTGCTGTAGTTGGGAGGAGTCTTGCTTGGATTAATTCCGTAGCTCAGCAAGCAGAAGGACGGTAAGTTAGTCCAAACATACAACCTACCTGAGAGTATATGTCTGTATTTTATATTTAAGTGAAATGGTATTAACTGCCCTCCGCCCCTTGCAGTCCTGCAGTTGGGTTCTGTGCTTGTACAGAACATTTACAGAACCTGCTAGAAAGCTCTGGTCAGTAAGATCATTTCCCCATCCCTCACTTCATACAGAAATATTTGCTCTCTCTGTACATGGCTTGGATGTGTGGGTGGGGACCACATTATGTCTTATTGTATATTCAGTGTTTTTTTTTTCTGGGGGAATGTTTTCCCTAAACATTTTGTGAATCTTTGTACTTTTGCTACTTTTGTCCATTTACTGTACAGTGGAACCTCGTGTTACGTACCGTCCTCCTTACGAATGCTTCGGGTTACGAGCTCCGCTAACCCGGAAGTAGATGCTCCCGGTTGCGAACTTTGCCCCGGGATGTGAGCAGAAGTCGCGCTCTGGCTGTGCGGCAGCAGCGGGAGGCGCCATTGGCCAAAGCGCGCCTCATGTTAAGAACGGTTTCCGGTTACGAATGGACCTCTGGAACGAATTAAGTTCGTAACCGGAGGTACCACTATATTTATTTTCCCCGATTTGAACTATAAAATGCTGATTTTCTTGAGTCAAAATGAGAACACCCCTAAACATTTTTTTTAGAAAAAAAGCACTGTGTATATTAATTAAGAATCTGGTGCTTCAGTAACTCCAGTATGTTTATGAACACAATTCAAAGTGCTGGTGTTTTACTTCTGAAAAGCCTGTATGGCTTGGGACCTGCGTACATGAAGGAACATATTCTACCACATCAACTTGCGGGTGTAATAAGATCATCTGCCAAGAACCTCCTCTGGGTTGCACCTGCAGGAAAAGTCAAGAGGCTTAAGAGATATAAACAAGATATCTTCTTGCATTGCTTCTGCTTTTCCAAGCCTGGCAACAGATCAGAGCAAGAGGAGAGGGAGAGGCTGGTCATACAAAGATGAGATCATCCTTACACGCCTCTCAGATACCCTTCTGTCTCTTTGCTTTTTCTGCCAGAGAATCCCAGCTTGGAAAGTAGGAAGGTGCTGCTGCTGCTGTTGCCACCACTTCCTTGCTTGTTTTCATTGTCAGGAGGGGGGCATAGGAGTCTTCTGTCCCAATCTTAGTGGCACTGAGGGAGAGACAGAATTATCTGTGAGCATTATCCTTGTTCCATAAATCTGTCTCCCTTTGCTCTGAAGAAGACACCCAGAAGTAAAGGGAAAATGAGAACAGGGAGGGAATACTTAATTCTGCCATCCACCTGTATGCTTTTTCATTGAAACAACAGCAAAAGCATTTTAGTGAGGGATGCAGTATCAGCAGATTTAGTGAGGGATGCAGTATCTGTATAAACAGAAATGATACCTAACAGCTGACACTAAATCTGACACTAAATCTTTTTAAGGTATGAAAAAGCTGCTGTTGAGTACCAGGAACATATTTGTGCCATGACAGGAGTGGATTGCTGTGTCACAGGATTTGATAAATCTGTTCTGAAGTTGGCCAATTCCAATAGCGGCAATAATGCCAGCCCCAAACACTCTGTAAATGGTAAGTATTATTGGAGGTAGATTGTATTGATTTGAATATGAGATAGTCACCTGTTGGCCTGAGTCTGTCCTTCCTCCGCACCCAAATGTACCCCACTGCTGACTGAGTGAGATGTGAAACAATCCTAAATCTTTACTTTCATAGGGGATTCGAGGAAAACAGTACTGTCTAAACCAAGTGACTCTTCACCTGAAGTCATAAATTACCTGGGTAACAAAGCTTGCGAATGCTACATCTCCATTGCTGATTGGTCTGCTGTGCAAGAATGGCAGAATGCGGTCCATGACCTGAAAAAAACCACAAGCAGTGCCTCAGTCAGTTTAAAAGCAGACTTCAACTATATCAAGTAAGTACCATTGACTTCTACAATAGCAAATTGTCACAATAATACATGTCAGCCTGGTAAATGGTGTAGAACAGGAAAAATGGGAAGCAAGAAGTGCAAGATTTTCACAGTTCAGGTAAAAACAGATCACAGCTTTATTTAATTAGAAGACCAGATATTTGGACAATTTCAAAGCAGGAGCCAGTGCAGGCAGCCCAAGAGAGAAACACAGACTGACTGACCCATATGCAGCTTGCCCAGTCTTGGGAGGAAGATGGTAGGAAGATGCTGTTTATGCCTCTGTTCTTTGATCTGACATTCAAACTGAAGGTAGACTTCATTTTCCACGGCTCTGCCAGTATAGAAGCAGAATTCAGATCAAAATATTTATGTAAAGTGACTGAAATTCTTCTTAAACACTTATTTTGTTGCTTTGGTTAAAGCTTTCTTGACAAATAGGATATTAAATTTATCTGGCTTTCCCTGTTCTGATTTAGAATGGCTATAACATAAAATATGAAAATGTATTAAAACTTCATTGCAGGTCTCTAAGCAGTTTTGGATCTGGGGAGCTGGAAAAATGTACAGAACAACTAGAATTGCTTCCAGGGGAAGACATCAACCTGCTTATTGGAGGAGCCAAAGAAAAAATAGGTATAAGTTGAACACTAATAGATACATGAAGATTCTCAAGTTCTTTAAGCCTTGGAACTCTATTTTAATTTCCATGCTTGTACATGGGTGATGTTACTTCTATGTTCTGTTGGTGGGAGGGGAGAAACAGAAAGAAAGAGAGTATCTGCCAGCAGCTACTGATAAATCTATATGTATTGTCAACCTTTGCAGATATGAAGAAGCTTCTTCCCAACATGCTATCTCCTGATCCAAGAGAACTTCAGAAAGCAATTGAGGTTCAATTATTGAGAAGCTCGATATGTTTGGCAACAGCTATTAACCATATTGAACAGGAACAAAAATGGCAACCCGTTACTGAGTAAGTCTTTCAAAATGCTAATGCAGCACTTCCAAAAATTAGAATAGAGCACAGGAGTTTTCTATAGGCTCTCCTCCCCAGGCAACTGCAGTCCCAGGCTGAGTTGTATTAAAAGATATATAAAATGACAGAATCTAAAATCAAGTGCGGTATTACAAAAGGTGCAGCAGCAATATATCAAAATGGGGTGGTCGGAGTAATAGTAGTAGTAGTAGTAATAATAATAGTAGTAGTAGTAATAGTAATAATAATAATAGTAGTAGTAGTAGTAGTAGTAGTACAGTGGTACCTTGGGTTAAGAACTTAATTCATTCTGGAGGTGCGTTCTTAACCTTGAGGTTTAAGCTAATGGGGCCTCCCACTGCTGCTGCGCCGCCAGAGCACGATTTCTGTTCTTATCCTGAAGCAAAGTTCTTAACCCGAGGTACTATTTCTGGGTTAGCGGAGTCTGTAACCTGAAGCGTCTGTAACCCGAGGTACCACTGTTAATAATAGTAGTAGTAGTAATAATAATAACAATAATAAATTTCTTATCCCCCACCCATTTGATTGGGTTGCCCCAGTCACTCTGGGCGGTTTCCAACAAAAATGCAAATAGAAGGGGGGAGGGAAGAGAAACATACTTTAAAATCTTCCCCAAACAGGGCTTCCTTCAGACCTCTATGAAAAATTATATTCTTTGACATCTGCTGGGAGGGCATTCCAAGTGTGGGTGCGACTGCCGAAAAGGCCTTCTGCCTGGTTCCCTGTAATTTCACTTCTTGCAGTGAGGGAAGCGCCAGAAGGCCCTTGGAGCTGGACCTTAGAATTAAGTAAAACATCTCACCCTACCCCCTCCGAAAGCTTTCACAACAAAGTGCTGATGGAAGACGTACAATAACAGTGCAGGATGTACCTCTGTGGGGAGAGCATAATTAGCACTGCCTACTGTGTTAAGAAAATGGGGCTTATTTATATCTGACTGGAATGTTAATGCTCAAGACAGAACTTCACACCTTGTTCTCACTTTCATAATTTAAAATACAGGGCATTGCATAATGATTTGTACATACATTTATTTTGTGAAGTATAACTGCTTTAATAATTCTTATCTCATGCAATCTTTTTTTCAGGAACCTTGTGAAATACTTGAAACAGACTTCACGAATTGCCATTGGGCCTTTAAGACTTGCTACGCTGACAGTGTCTCAGTCTTTGCCAGTACTGAGTACTCTGCAGCTGTACTGCTCATCTGCTTTGGAAAATACAGTGTCAAATAAGCTTTCTTCAGAGGTATTTTTCTTTTGCAATAACCCAAGCGTTTGGTAAATTCACAGGTTTATGTGCCCCGACACACACATTCATGTGTGGATTGCCCTGCTATACTGTATATATTGGCACATTGAGGAGAGAAATTCCATCAGCTAGTGGCTCCACATCAGCTGATGTGGAACAGGACCAAAACTGTCAACAGTAATACTTTCAGAGGGAATAGTAACTTTCTGCCCCTATGCTGGTGTAAATTACACAAAGCCTGGTGTTAGCATTGTGATTTGTGTTACTGCCTATTAGTGCTGTTGTGAATGGTCACTGTGCTTATCTTGTGTACATTCCACATTAACTGATAAGGCACATGAACTGTGGCATCTGGATTAAACATATAAGGTTGTATCCATCTAAATTATATTCAAGAGGAGACCCACTGAAATTAACAAGCCTAAGTTATTCATGTATATTAATTTCAGCGGATCTACTCTTGAGTCGGACTAACATTTGATGCAACACAAAAATTTAGTTCAAAGAACCTGTGAAGGAATGTTTTTATTAGAAGGTTAAGGGAAAACCAGAGCTTTTTAGGCAGCTTAAAGCCCTATCAAGCACTCAACTTTTATGCTTTTTACAGGATTGTCTCATTCCTCTCTTCAGTGAAGCATTGCGTTCATGCAAGCAACATGATGTTAGGCCATGGATGCATGCCTTAAGATATACCATGTACCAGAATCAGTTGCTGGAGAAACTTAAAGGTATAGACATTAAAGTAGAAGCATCTGTGTTCTGTAGGGTTAATTTGCCTCCAATTTTTGTTATTGCTCATTACCTATGATATTCCCTGTTTTGACTCACCTGCCTATTTCATCATGTGCATGTTCCTCTGACTGTAAGTGAAGTATCAACTTATTCAGAATAACAGGTTTCATCAGAACTAGATACTTTTGGGATTATATTAGCAAAAGATTTCAGATCTTTTCACATTTAAGTAAAATGTAAAAAAAAAAAAAAGTCTATGGCAATACTATTTAAAGATAAGGAACTTTAAAAAGACTTTTTTGGACACTTTTGGCTTATCATCATCATCATTCCACACCAGTGGACCATCTTAATGTATAGCTGTGTAGCAGAATTTACGAAAGCAGCTTCAAAACTCATACTATATATACATATAAGGTTGACGACATTTCATTCACAATAAATATCCATTACATACAAAGCCCATACAGTATTCAGTATATAAGTTTAAACAGTTTATTTGATTCAGAGGACATTTCTGGCTTTATATGTACTTTCAGAGCAAAGTATTCCAGTCAGAAGCCATTTAATGGAACTGGGACTGACTGCTGCAAGATTTGCTAGAAAACGTGGGAATGTTGCTTTGGCAACACGGTTGCTTGCACAGTGCAGTGAAGTTCAGCTTGGAAAAACCACAATGGCTCAAGATTTAGTCCAGCACTTTAAAAAAGTCTCAACACCAATTCAGATGGATGAGAAATGGGGTCCTGAGCTTGAAATTGAAAAAACCAAATTGTTATACACAGCAGGTAAGTCTCATTTACATGTTTGTATTGCAAATCACTGAAATTCAGTCAAACTTTAATTTAAATGTTTAGATAAAAAAACTAAATCTGCCTTTTTAAATGTCTGGGTACATGCTAATGTTTACTATGAGGGTATTAGATCAGAATAAAAAGTTATGTAGGTTTATCAAAGGGTCTGTGCATCTAGTGTTAGTCCTACTGAGATTGAAATTAATAGACTTGGCTAATTTAGGTCTATTAATTTCAGTGGATCTACTCTGAGTAAAAGAAGGCTCCAACCTTGTGTAACAAGTGGATTTTTTGACATTGTAAACCCACATGCCCTTCTTCAAACTATTTTCCAAACTCTTCAGTTTTCAAAAGTGACTTGCTATGGGAGCGTGGCCAGGATGGGGAAGACCAACTTCTTTTCTTTTTTGAGAAATGCAAATCCATACCGCTTTGGGGTGATGGGTCTAGTAATGTGTGGGTTCTTGGCTCTTGTCATTAATCAATTCTCCACATATAACTTAGTTGGCAGTAAAAAAATCATTGGTGTTCTCTGAAGCATGCAAAATAAAAACTGATTATGCAACTAAAATGATATTAATTTTACTGGTTTTTTTCCCCAGGCCAGTCAACCCATGCAATGGAAATGCTGAGCTCATGTGCCATCTGCTTTTGCAAATCTGCCAAAGCTGAATATGCTGTAGCCAAGTCTATTCTTACACTAGCCAAATGGATCCAAGCCGAATGGAAAGAGATTTCAGGGCAGCTGAAGCAAGTCTACAGAGCACGGCAGCAACAAAATCTTGCTGGCCTCTCCACATTATCTAAAAACATCTATAGTTTGATTGATCTGCCATCTGCTAACACCATTGAAGAAGACTATCCTAGGATTGAAAGTGAATCCACAGGTATAAAAGTTCCTCTGTTAGTTTTCTGCTTTGTCTGCATACATGTTTGATATGGTGGTTCCATGCTGTTCAGTAAGAGGCAACATTAATTATAGGCCAGAGGTGAACAGCCTGTGACCCTTGGCAGAAATGTGGCCTCTGCCTAGTTTTTTGCAGCCCTTTGCCTAATTTTGAAGGTCCTCTGGCAAGAGGTACCTGTCCCACTAGGGTGGGGTGGGATGTGGAGAGAAGGGGGTGATCCTGTCAGTTGTGGCTTCTGCCGCAACCATGCAGCCCTTACAGATTGGTCAATTAGATGGTCATACCCTCGAGCAAGTACATAGGTTTAAATACCTAGGATTACTTACGGATGAAAAGCTTTCATGGAAACTCCACCTGGATGCAACCAAGTTATCTGCCCACTCTGCTGGGCAGCAATTCAGGTTCTTCCATTCGAAGGGGGAGGGCAGTTAATCAATCAAGCCCTCAAGATCTGTGTGTCAAAGATCATTGCACAAGTGCTTTACAGGGCTGAGATCTAGGAATTCTTTATTCGTCATTCTAATTCAAATTAAGTATTTGAAGTGTTGGGCTATTTGGTCCAGCTAAAGTTAATGTAGATCTCCCAAGTGTAGACTGTCAAAAACTTGAAATTTCTCTGGAACTGCAGTGAGCAAAACATAGGATCCGCTGGTAGATTGTTAGATGGTTTGCAGCAGATTGGCAATGGTTTCTGGCAAGCAACAACACCCCCCCTCCCCATTGGACTGTTAGAGCTGTATTTTTCATAGCTTTGATGTCGTTTTGAACATAAATGTGCAGGAGATTGGCTCTTTGGGTAGTTGGCTGTGCTCCTGAGGTACCATTTTGCATTAGGCTATATGTGACTTGGCCATACTTTTCATTGTTTCTTCTTGGTAGACCTCAGTAGTCTAGTAAAAAGCAAAGCAAATCTTGGCAAGCCTGAAGTTTAATCATGTGCCCAGAGGGTTATGATACCATTGTACCTTTTTGAAGCATCCACTTCATGCTTTGTTCTTTCATTGCAGTAAACATTGGTGTTGGAGAACCTGACTTCATCTTGGGACAGCTCTATCGCTTGTCTTCGGCACAAGCACCTGAAGTAGCCAAATCATGGGCAGCACTTGCCAGCTGGGCTTATAGATGGGGACGAAAGGTAGTTGATAATGCCAGGTAAATCTTACTTTTTAACACCAAAATGCACTCTGAACATGTTTCACATTAAGTGATTTTCCTACTATTATGAAACTTTCCTGGTTAACATTGTGCTCTCCTGTCAAACAAGATGGCTTGCTAATGTATGAACCTTGCTGGCTGAGTAAGATGATTCCCATTACTGAAAACCCAGGAGGTATAGATATGCGGCTTACAGTATGGCAGTGACCGAGAGCACAGTGGGTCATTTTGTTCTTCTGATGAGCCATTGGATGCTAGAATTTGAATTCCTCAGATTTATAAGGAATAATAAACTAAAGGCTCTCTTTAAAGCTGGCTGTTTGGTGGGAACTGCTGTGCAAAGTTCTTTGCAAGCCCTGTGCAGCAATTAGCTCACAGTCAAAGCTTGCTTTCTGTAGGTATCAGGAAACTCCAATTCAGCCTGTCCAGCAGCCTTTGGCTTTTCCACCTGGGCAACAGAGCTGAAGCATATTGTCCCTTGCCAATGCACATTAGGGAGCACACTTTAAAAGCTTCCAGTTGTGCATTAGGAGCAGAGTCCTCTTCCTGCTGTTGCTTATGATGTCAGGTGTTGGACAGATGGGGATGGTTTGGGGAAAACAGCTTCACGGGCCAAGATTCTGCACCTTGGTCTATACTCCCTTTCCATTCCAGATAAAGTCACTTATTTTGCCCTTCCATTCCTCTAAAGATCTTTGCAGTTGCTTGCCTTTTCTTCTCTTGCACTGAGAAGAGCCTGACAGTTAAACAGACCATATTTTCTGACTTGGTATTGTATCTGAATGCAGTCATAGCTTGGAAGTAACTACAGTTGTTGCTGATGACTCTGCAGCACTGAATTGCAACTTACAGTTGCAAGCCTTTGTGCAGAGATGATGTTTTCACCTAAAGCAGCAAGTAATTTAAATGCTAGAGTATTAGAAGTCAATGCACAGTGTAGCAAAGATATGTTAGCACCATGCTTATTCCTTACTTTCAAAGTTGATAAAATATGTGGTGTTATACAGTCAGGGAGGTGTTCGTCTACTGCCAAGAGAGAAATCTGAAGTTCACAGCCTACTTCCAGAAAACGTTACAGAAGAAGACAGAGAGAAAATCTATGGCATCCTTGGACAGGCAGTGTGCCGGCCAGCTGGGATTCAGGTTAGTATAAATTAACTTTCAGAAGTGTTTCATTTGTCAGGGGTAGCTAACATGGTGCTTTCCAGATTCTGTAGACTACAAATTGCATCAGCCCCAGCCAGTATTTTCAGTGATTAGAACTGATTATGTTTAATATGATTGGCAAATGCCACTAATAAGACCCAGCATAAATAGGCTAGATAGCATATTAGTTTTTTGAGCTTTGGAAAAAAACAAGCCACCTTTTATAACAGGTTGGTTATTTAAATGTGAGACACCGGTTCAAAGCAAAAACTTGACAAACGATTTATGTATACATGAAGAGGATTGAATATTACCATTATTTGTAAGTGTGTACGTGATGGGTAAAATTGTTTATTTTTGTTTAACTTTAATTTAGGACGAAGACATAACTCTTCAGATTTCAGAGAATGAAGATAACGAAGAAGATGATATGGTTGATGTCATCTGGCGGCAGTTGTTGACGAGCTGTCCTTGGCTTTCAGACCTTGATGAAAATTCAACTGAGGGCCTAATCAAAGTGTGGAGAAAAGTTGTAGACAGAATCTTCAGTCTTTATAAACTCTCATGCAGTGCCTATTTTACTTTCCTTAAACTCAATGCTGGTCAGGTATGCTGTACGTTTTGACTAGTGATGTAAGCAAGGTTTATGTTTTGTTTTTAAAGTCTTTGGGGCTTGTGGGAGAGCTGTATGTTCAGTGAGGTTGTTTGTTTTCATGTGTAGGTTCCTCTGGATGAAGATGATCCCAGACTGCATCTAAGAAACATTTCAGAACAGAGTACTGATGATGTGATTGTAATGGCAACCTTAAGGCTGCTGAGGCTGCTTGTGAAACATGCTGGAGAACTCCGGCAGTATCTGGAACATGGGCTGGAAACCACCCCGACAGCTCCATGGCGAGGTATGGAAGATCTCAGGCTCTTTTGAGAAGGAATCCCACAAGTTAGGGGCTGCCTCCGTCTCCACTGTTTGGTAGCAGAATAACATTTATTCCAGTTACTTGTAAATGGAGTAAAATTATGTTGCCCTTTAAAAATGAAAAAAAAAAAAGAGAGAGAGAGAGAGGCAAATGTGTTCTGTGGTAAGCTTATTTCTGTGCTTTTATCTTCATAAAGGTATTATTCCTCAACTCTTCTCACGTCTAAATCATCCTGAAGTATATGTTCGTCAGAGCATTTGTAATCTTCTTTGTCGGGTAGCACAAGATTCTCCTCACCTTATATTATACCCTGCAATTGTGGGTACTATTTCACTTAGCAGCGAATCTCAAGCTTCAGGTATGTTTTGGTAGTCATATTTATATTTGCCCATCCCAATTCCATCCTTCATGTCACATACCATTTCAGAAGATCCCCCAACCTTCATTTAACTTACCTTTCTTTAACACTTTTATCTTTTAACATCTTTACAGTTAAGAATTTCTAGTAGTTGTAGCTGAGCTATCTCACAGGTGTGCAGTTCCACTGTTGCCAATACCTGGATTTAACTTCAATAGATTAACTGGTTTTACAAAATCTACAGTTGCCAGACCTCAATTCAGCATAGTTTTCCTGTCTTGTCACGCAGCTGAGTGTGACAGGTGTTACTTAAACACACTCACAGTATTTTGAGAGTTTCCTCTTGCATGAGCACACAGAGTTTATAGATGTTGTAGTCAAAGGCAAATCGTTATAATGCTGGTCAAAGATACAGTTTTACAGCATCCAGCTGGCCTTTGTGTTTTGACCTAACCTGTTGACCTAATATTTTCTCTTTAAAACCTAGGGAGCAAATTCCCGTCAGCAATACCTACCTTTTTGGGTAACATCCAGGGTGAAGAGTTGTTGGGTAGTGAGTGTGATGAGGGAAGTCCCCCTGCTTCTCAAGAGAGCATAAAGGATGAGCCAAAAATGGGCCTAAATGAAGACCAGGCGATGATGCAAGACTGCTACAGCAAGATTGTAGAGAAGTTGTCAGCTGCAAATCCAACAATGGTGTTGCAGGTATAATTGCAGTTCAGCCAGAATTTGGGGATATTTGTGTTTGGAGTCGAATCGAGTGCTTCATGTGTTGTGTACTTACGCAGGAAGAAATCCATTATATTTACTCTGGGAATTAAATTTTGAGACTTTTAGAAGTGCAACTGCACAGTTAAAAATGCACAATTTTTTTTTGTTATCAATCCAGGTTCAGATGCTCGTAGCAGAATTGCGCAGAGTTACTGTTCTTTGGGATGAACTTTGGCTTGGAGTGCTTTTGCAACAGCACATGTATGTCCTTAGACGGATTCAGCAGCTGGAAGATGAAGTAAAGAGAGTCCAGAACAACAACACTCTGCGCAAGTATGTTTCCACCAAAGTGTATATGGATATGTGTTGCAAATGGGCAGCCTTTCCTCCTGATAATTAATGGTGCTATTTTTTTAATGGCATGTCATGATTTTTGTAGCCTGAAGAACAATCACATCATGAAAACAGCCCTATAATATTAATTTACCTCTACTTAAGATACTAAAGTGCCACAAAGGGAGTAGTAGAAAGTGTCCTTACTGGTGTGGAAAGGGTTTTTTGGATGTTCAGCAAATTATACTCAGTTCCTTTTGTTTCTCACTGTCCAAGGTTTCAGAGAACTCTGGAGACAGAATATCATGTAGTGTAAATTCTGATTCTAGATAATCTGGGGTGTGTGTGTTTAATACATTTATTTACATTCTTTTTCATGGTTGGCTTTAAAATAACAAAGTTCCTTTCATTGTTTTTGGGAGCAATATCTAGAAATTCCAGCATACTTGAAATGCAAGTGACACTTTTGCCAAAACCTTTATCTCTTTTTTTTCAAGAGAGGAAAAAATAGCCATCATGCGTGAAAAGCACACTGCCCTAATGAAGCCCATTGTATTTGCTTTGGAACACGTGAGGAGCATCACTGCGGCTCCTGCTGAAACGCCGCATGAGAAGTGGTTTCAGGACAACTATGGAGATGCAATTGAAAATGCCCTAGAAAAACTAAAGAACCCATCTAATCCTGCAAAGCCTGGAAGCAGCTGGATTCCTTTTAAAGAGGTATAGTACGTCTCTCTTTCCAAGAATACAATAACTTAGAATATTTTTCTCTGCTGTGGAAGAATAAAAAAAAAAAGGGTGCTGCTGTTGTAATTTAGAATATTAATGGTTTTGTGGGTAATGACAAGGTTTAGGTTTTAGAGAATTGAGAAAAAGCAATAGAAAAATGGACTAGAAATACCAATAGTTCTTAAATTTTCTACGCTAGAGGTTGCTTTCATTTTTGGCCCATGGGCACATTTGCAAACTGCCATTGCCACTTCAATCCATATGTTTTCTTCTCTCCCCCACCCTCCTGACTGTGCCACTGGAAAAAATTGGGCCAGTCAGACGAACAGCTTCTTCTGCCAGTGTGGTACACGGCTATATGGAGAGGTTTAAGTTTCTCATTCATGTTGCTCAGATTGGCCATATGAAAAGTGGGGAGGGAACAATTTTCATCACATTGCAGGTTTGGGTGGGAGGCCCTGCCTTTCCCACTTTCCATGTTGAGGGTTAAAATAACTTGTCCCCTACACATCTCAGCTGCTTTTCATGGATCAGCTGAGGAGCAAGGAGGGGGTGGGCAGGGAATGCTGTGTGGCTACTTTTGGGATGCAGCCCCCAACACCTTTCTGCAGTAGCTAATAAAAACCAAACAGGCACCTTCTAAGATGTCTTCAGTTTTGTGAATTCCTTTGGAATTAGTGGGTTGTATCCAGGTAAGCTCTGTTGGGAGGAGGCTCATTGAAATTTATGGCTCTAATGTAGTCATGTCCATTATTTTCAGCAGGTCTACTCTGAGTAGGATTAGCACTGACTACAACCCAGTATTTTGATAGACTGGAACCATGCAAGGGTCTGGACCTCATCTTCTTCAACCTTGTGTCTTTTAAAAATTAGGTAATGCTCAGTCTTCAACAGAGAGCCCAGAAGCGGGCCAGTTACATTCTACGTCTCGAGGAAATAAGCCCCTGGCTGGCTGCCATGACGAACACTGAAATAGCTCTCCCTGGAGAAGTGTCTGCCAGAGACACGGTCACAATTCATAGTGTAGGAAGCACCATAACAATTCTGCCTACTAAAACCAAGCCCAAGAAGCTCCTGTTTCTGGGCTCAGATGGGAAAAACTACCCATACCTTTTCAAAGGTGAGAACATTCTGTAACTTCTCCTTGTCCTAAGCAGAAAAATTTTAATGGAGGATATATTGCATTCCCTTTTCCAGTTACATTACGTACTGTCTGGTTTGCGTCTATTTTTCACTGCAGGACTGGAAGACCTGCATCTTGATGAACGGATCATGCAGTTCTTATCCATTGTTAATACGATGTTTGCTACCATAAATCGCCAAGAGACACCCCGTTTCCATGCCAGGCATTACTCTGTTACTCCACTAGGAACACGATCAGGCCTAATTCAATGGGTGGATGGAGCCACTCCTTTATTTGGACTTTATAAAAGGTGGCAGCAGCGAGAAGCAGCTTTACAAGCACAAAAGGTAATGACTACATTATACATGCTGGCACCAGTTGTGAAGTAAACTCTGTAGTTTTACATTATAATTCATGGAAGTATTAACGGTTACTGAGACAGAATCAAAATTCTGATTAAAATTCTAAGTATATGCTGAAATGTGGTGTCTTATAAGGGTTATTTTAAAATTAATTTGAGGTGCAGAGATTAATTAGAACACCTGATCATAATAATGAAATGTGTGTGTGTGTGTGTGTGTGTGTGAGAGAGAGAGAGAGAGAGAGAGAGAGAGAGAGAGAGAGAGAAATGTTGTGTGTGTGTTGAACGGTGTGTATGTGTCCTCCTCTCAGCCTGCAGAGCTGTAACTTGGAAGGCTGGATTTTGGACTGGGGACATCTATGAACTCTGCTCTAGTGTGATAACAGGACATAGAAACTCACGCCTTTAAAACGTGCGTGTGTTGTTGTATGCACAAGTTCAGACCTGCTCTGTGCAGTGTCTCTTATCTTATGTAGCTTATGCAGATATTGAGGTGCTCTTTGGAAAAAAGCATTTGCTGAGTCTGGAGTTAGAGGCACCTCCCAGTCCTCCTGCCGCCCCAGATGCAGAAATCTGAAAGAGGCAGAGATTCTACATGTACTTTGGTCCTTGGGACGATTTGCTCCTGATTCCAGTACTGCCTATATGGAAAACATGAGCATTACATTGTTTCATTGTTAAGCAATGCTGGCTATAGGAGAGTGCATATTCTTGGAGCAGGAAAGGGATGGTGCATACCAGAGCCTAGATGCCATCTTCTGTCTTGCTGTCCATGTGCAGCACAGATATAGCAGCCATGGGAAATAATAGTTGGAGCAACAGCACTTAATGCAACAGGAGATCTTGGAAAGCAGAGTGGGTGGGAAACTGGGAAGCAATATGAGACACACACACCCCGGCTAATTCTTCTTAAATTGATTTAGCTTGGAACTGCAAAAGGGTCAGTAGCAAGGAGCACCCTATATATTAAATGCAAACACAAAGATTTATTCATCTGTTGCAGACAATCTTCCAGCCAGGGTTTAAATATATGACATGTTGATTCTGTCCCAAGATATAATGGAATAGTAGTTGAACTGTGCAATTGACTTTTTTAGGCCCAAGATTCATACCAGACTCCTCAGAATCCTGGAATAGTACCTAGACCTAGTGAACTGTACTACAGTAAGATCGGACCAGCTTTGAAGGCAGTTGGGCTTAGCTTGGATGTATCCCGTCGAGACTGGCCTCTAAATGTAATGAAGTCTGTTTTGGAAGAGTTAATGGAAGTAACACCTCCCAATCTTCTTGCTAAAGAACTTTGGTCATCATGCACTACACCTGATGAGTGGTGGAGAGTCACACAGGTATGTAGAGACCTTTCCTAATAGAATCTTAATGTTTGAGTAGGTTTAGTCTAATATCTCCTTGCCTTATGTACACAAACAACCATGCTTTCCATCTAAATTTGGTGGATTCTTGTAAAAATCCTGAGTGGCTTTTCAGAAAAGTTATTTCAGAATAATTTCAACGGAAGAACAAACCATCTTGCTTTATTGCTCGGGCTGCCACTTAATTTCAAAAGTAAAATTGGCAGATGTGCTTTCCCACTAGGTAGCGGTCTGTTTTAGGGTCAGGGAGAGGCACAGCTTGTTGAGGATCACATACATACACACATACATACATTGCTTCAGGATAGGCACCTGTGATCCTTCACATGCTGTTGGAATTGTTAACATCAGCCCCAACCAGCATTGCCAGTGGACATTGAATTATGAGAGTTGTAGTCCACCAACACCTGGAGAGCAATAGTTACCTATCCCTCATTTGCTTCTTATACCACATCTGTTAGTCGGACAGTAGAAATAGAAATGTGTCCGTGCTCATTCTTCTCCCTGGCCTGGTGCTTCTCCTTGAGCATAATTAGCCTTTGTGTGAATAAAGGAGCATGTGGCTTATAGTTAAGCTATATAATGACACCCCCCCAAAAAAAAACCTTTTAGTAGTTTTTTATATAGAGTACACTTTTTAAAATGGTGGAGAAAAGAGATTTATATATATATTTTTTAATGATATTTATTAAGGTTTCAAAGAGGAAAAAAATTACATAAATAAAAAAAGAAAAAAAGACAAAAATAAAAATACAAAGTACAGAAAAAAGATAAAAAAACATTTAAAAAGAAAACACACCAATCTTTCCATGTCATATATTCATATCCTTACTTCCCTGACCTCCTCACACCTCCCTTTTTTGTATTCCAATTCAGTTAGTTAATTCAGCAATTTCTTTCCCTCTTTGTTTTTATCTTAATCCTTTAACTTAATATATTATAACTTTGAGTTCTGACCTGTTAATAATCCATTTTTCATACACCTTTATAACATTGCTGCTTAAACCACTTAACTTCATTCTGACATCATTCTAACATTCATTAATTTTGCAATATTTCTGTAAATAGTCTTTAAATTTCTTCCAATCTTCTTCCACCGACTCTTCTCCCTGGTCTCGGATTCTGCCAGTCATTTCCGCCAGTTCCATGTAGTCCATCACTTTCATCTGCCATTCTTCCAGGGTGGGTAGATCTTGCGTCATCCAATACTTTGCAATAAGTATTCTTGCTGCTGTTGTGGCATACATAAAGAAAGTTCTGTCCTTCTTTGGCACCATTTGGCCGACCATGCCCAGGAGAAAGGCCTCTGGTTTCTTCAGAAAGGTATATTTAAATACCCTTTTCATTTCATTATAAATCATCTCCCAGAAAGCCTTAATCCTTGGGCACGTCCACCAAAGGTGAAAGAATGTACCTTCAGTTTCCTTACATTTCCAACATTTATTATCAGGCAAATGATAGATTTTTGCAAGCTTGACTGGTGTCATGTACCTCCTGTATATCATTTTCATAATATTCTCTCTTAAGGCATTGCATGCCGTAAACTTCATACCTGTGAGAAAAGAGATTTATAATGATGAAACTTCCTCTCCCCCCCCCGCCTTCCCAGTCTTATGCAAGATCCACTGCAGTTATGTCCATGGTTGGCTACATTATCGGCCTCGGAGACAGACATCTGGACAACGTTCTTATAGACATGACTACTGGAGAAGTTGTTCACATAGATTATAATGTTTGCTTTGAGAAAGGGAAAAGCCTTCGAGTGCCTGAGAAAGTTCCATTCCGGATGACACAAAATATTGAAACAGCATTTGGAGTAACAGGAGTGGAAGGCGTTTTCAGGCTTTCTTGTGAACAGGTAGGCCATGGGATATTAGGCTTTAAGGAAGTCTTGAATTTCTGTGAATGAAGCTTTTGCTCTATGGGGGGCCTTTTCAGTAGTGTCTTAAGTGTGGAATGCCCCCCCCCCCCCCCCAGGAAGGCCTGCCGAATCTTGCCACTGAATGCTTTCAGAAGTTGGGTTGAAACTCCCTAACACAGGATTTGGGCTTGGTAGCTAATTGCAAGTGCACATTTTAAATGATATATGTAATACGCTTTAAAAACAGGTTCTGCACATCATGCGGCGAGGACGAGAAACCCTTCTGACATTATTGGAAGCTTTTGTTTATGACCCACTTGTGGACTGGACCGCAGGGGGAGAAGCAGGGTTTGCTGGAGCAGTGTATGGTGGAGGTGGGCAGCAAGCTGAAAACAAGCAAAGCAAGAGAGAGATGGAAAGAGACATCACACGTAGCCTCTTCTCTTCCAGAGTAGCTGAAATAAAGGTATGTTCAGTCCTTTCAAAAATTCGTTTTATATGTATCTGCTTGTTACTTTAGATTCCAGGAACAGTGTGCAAAATTGCTTGCAGGAATTAACTCGAAACAGGTTTTAGATTACAGTATTTCAAGCACGCTTCCATCTTAGTGAATCTATTTATGCTGTAACTTTAGAAATACATACAGACAACATGAGGGTTTTTTTGTTTTTTTTAATTTTCTTACAAAAATGTGATTTTTCGATTGACTTGCCTAAGATCCAGGACAAAGCGTCACCTTCTGGAAATCCCCCCTGGAAGTCAATTTCGCCTTTGAAATTCCAGTAAAGTCTGGGAAAATCCAGACATGTGGCAGTCCTAGTCCAGGGGAACTTTTGGTAATCTGAGAAACTGATTGATAATACAAAATACACAATTCACCAAAGGGAAGACTGATGATAGTCAGAACCCCGAAAACAAACAAAAACAGGCAAAACATTCCATCAAAACATAACAGACAAGAAAGTAGGCAACAAAGTAGGCAACCTTCCCAATAAAACCTCAGTTTTAAAATAAAATGGAGGCAGGAGGCTTTGATGGGTTAGGTGGTTGTTAGAAGATGCTGTAGTGATCATGAGCACCATGTTGGAGACCCAGTTTTTGCCATCCTGTCATTCAAACATTAATTTTGCTCTGAAGTTTTAAAATGTGTGACTTGTTCACCTTTTTATTTGTTTAATACTCAGTCTAATTTAGTGATAACAATGTCAGTTTCGCTCCACTTGTGATACTGGTAGAGAAAAGTGGTATCAAGTGTTATTCATAAGTATGTAACATAAATCTTGTCTACAGGTCAACTGGTTTAAGAACAGGGATGAGATGCTGGCTGTGCTTCCTAAGCTGGATGGCAGTTTAGGGGAATATTTAAATTTGCAAGAGCAGTTGACTGATGTTGAAAAATTGCAAGGCAAATTACTAGAAGAGAGTGCCTACCTGGAAGGAGCAGAAGCAGCGGATCACCCATGTCACACACTGCAGAACAGGTACGAGAAATCTCACTTTAGTTTAGATATTCAAATGCTTTATGGAAATTCAAAACTGCATATGTTTCTCTAGAATTTGGAGTTTTTAAAAAAATCACTTAATGTGGCTTCTTCCTTTTTAACACAGATATTCTGAACACACTCAGCTGCAATCTCAGCAGAGAGCAGTACAAGAAGCAATCCAGGTGAAACTGAATGAATTTGAGCAGTGGATATCTCATTACCAAGCTGCTTTCAATAATCTGGAAGCAACTCAGCTCGCAAGTCTCCTTCAGGAAATCAGTACCCAAATGGATCTTGGTAATGAAACAAATTAGGTGGTCTCCTTCCCCCCACCCCGCCCCATTGTTCGTATTGTGAAGCAGAGCAAGGTGGCAGATTAAGGGGAAGTAAAATGGTGTTGGGGGGTGTTTTTGTTTTTACTACAAGGAGTTAACATTTTTATATGTTCAGAATACTTCTTGTTACAATACTGTACTAGGCAGTCAGCTGCTGAATGTCTGCTTCCTTTGGAATGTATTGCATTGGTATGCAATGGATATCAGGTTATTCTAGGCCAACCATAGGTAGAGGTAAAGGGACCCCTGCCCATTAGGTCCAGTCGCAGACGACTCTGGGGTTGCAGCGCTCATCTCGCTTTATTGACCGATGGAGCAGGCGTACAGCTTCTGGGTCATGTGGCCAGCATGACTAAGCCGCTTCTGGCAAACCAGAGGAGCACACTGAAACGCCATTTACCTTCCCGCCAGAGCGGTACCTATTTATCTACTTGCACTTTGACATGCTTCCGAACGGCTAGGTTGGCAGGAGCAGGGACCGAGCAACGGGAGCTCACCCCATCACGGGGATTCGAACTGCCAACCTTCTGATCAGCAAGCCCTAGGCTCTGTGGTTTAACCCATAGTCCCAACCATACTGTGTGCATATTCCTTTAGCTTCAACAAGGGTAGTCAACATGGTGCCCTCCAGATATTGTAGACTACCAGATGTTGTTGACTACCACTCCTATCTCCTCTGATCTGTGGCCTTGCTGACCGGGACTGATGGAAGTTATGGTCTAAAATATGTGCAAGGCTGTTGCTGAATATGTTTTGCCCCTGAACATTTTCCTCCCCTGTAGTTAGGTTTTAACATCCTTCCTTTTTTAATGGTTCATTTTGAAGGTCCTCCAAGTTATGTCCCTGCAACTACCTTCCTTCAGAATGCTGGACAAGCACACTTGATCAGCCAGTGTGAGCAGCTAGAGGGGGAGGTTGGTGCTTTCCTTCAGCAGAGGCGATCTGTTCTGCGTGGATGTCTTGAACAGCTGCACAACTATGCTACTGTAGCTCTTCAGTACCCCAAAACAGTGTTTCAGAAACACCGCATTGAGCAGTGGAAGACCTGGATGGAAGAACTGATTGTTAACATGACAATAGAACGCTGTCAGGATCTTTACCGGAAGTAAGTTGTCAGTTGTTTGCACCCACAGAAAGTGGGAGGGTTAAATTATTTCAAGTCTTTGGTAGTTAAATTTCTGCGGGAAAATAAATTCTCAGAATACACCATACTAATTTCTACAAAGTTGAGCTCAGTTAAGTGTTGTGTATGTGTCAACATGTAAAACGTTAAGTATTTCTCTGCCTCACGTATCTCAACAGAAAATGGTAGTGTTTAAGGGTAGAGCACAGATGATGCTAGGCATCACATTACAATATGCATGAAAGAATATATATATATTTAAATTATTTGTAATTTTATTGTTTGTCAGGTATGAAATTCAGTATGCTCCTCAGCCGCCTCCATCTGCGTGCCAGTTCATAACTACTACAGAAATGACTTTGCAGCGATATGCAGCAGACATCAACAGCAGGCTTATCCGACAAGTGGAACGTTTGAAGCAAGAAGCAGTCACTGTTCCTGTGTGTGAGGAACAGCTAAAAGAAATTGAGCGTTGCATTAAGGTCTTTCTTCATGAAAATGGAGAAGAGGGTTCATTGAGCTTAGCAAGTGTTATCATCTCGGCTCTCTGCACTCTTACCAGGTGAGATGCTTGCAAAATTTGTTTTGTTTTTTCACCCCTCCTTCAAAAATACATTTCCCAAGGATTTAAATACCTTTAATTTCATATGTATCAAATTTACTTAACCATAATTCATGCAAATGCTTTATCTAGAAATAGAATATACCACATTTTTCCATGTATAAGACAATTTTTTTTCTGGAAAAAAAATAGTGATTGGGGGTTGTCTTATACATGGGTTAATACGGTAAGTAAGCAAGGGCTGGAGCCCCCAGTGGTAGTTATGGCACCACTTCCGTCAGCTAGAGCAGGGGATCGTTGAAAAACAGCTCAACAACTTTCTAAACTTTTAAATTTCTTAATTTTGGGCTCCTACAAATAGGGCTCATCTTATACATGGGGTTGTGTTATACAGTGGTACCTCGGGTTAAGTACTTAATTCGTTCCGGAGGTCCGTACTTAACCTGAAACTGTTCTTAACCTGAAGCACCACTTTAGCTAATGGGGCCTCTCGCTGCTGCTGCGCTGCTGGAGCACAATTTTTGTTCTCATCCTGAAGCAAAGTTCTTAACCTGAAGCACTATTTCTGGGTTAGCAGAGTCTGTAACCTGAAGCGTATGTAACCCGAGGTACCACTGTACAGGGAAAAATACGATAGTATTCTTTTTAATGGGTTTTAAAAGATTAAGATGCATAAATTGGAACAAAAACTTCTGTTTATTTACAAACTTATCTTTTTCATTTAGACGTAATCTAATGATGGAAGGTGCTGCATCCAGCGCTGGAGAACAGCTGGTGGACCTGACTTCAAGAGATGGAGCCTGGTTCTTGGAGGAGCTGTGTAGCATGAGTGGGAACGTTACATGTCTTGTGCAGTTACTGAAGCAGTGTCATCTGGTCCCACAGGATTTAGATATTCCTAATCCAGTTGAAGCATCAGAAGCTATTCACCTAGCTAATGGAGTTTACATCTCACTTCAGGTGAAATATATCTACAACGTGTGTTTGTAGCAGCTCATGTTAATGTACAAACCCCTTTGTAGTGAGCAGTAGTAAGTTGGAGTAAAGTTGGAATAAATTGGAATAAATCTACAATCCTAAATAGGTTTATCTGGGAGTAAGACCCACTGAGAATAGGGGATTGACTTCTGAGTATACATGCATTGTTTAAATTGAGAGCATATTCTAAACACTTACATTTTTTCTCCTTATTAACCAGCAACACATTATACTTCGAAAACTCTTAGATACTTTGCTGTTATCTTCTTGTTTTCATGCATTTGTTGTTGTTGTTCTGCCAGGAGCTGAATTCAAATTTCCGTCAGATTATTTTCCCAGAAGCACTTAGGTGCTTAATGAAAGGAGAATATACTTTGGAGAGCATGCTGAATGAGCTGGATAACCTGATCGAACAAGTTACTGATGTTCCTTTGCCAACTCTGGTTGAGTCTCTTCAAGCTTACCTAAGAAATGCAGCAATGGGGCTTGAAGAAGAAACCCATACTCATTGTATTGATGTTGCAAGGTAAATCATTGGGTTTGTTGTATCTGGTGCAAATGCTTGCTTTAAGAGTTAGCTTGAAACAGCCCACAGTCATGGGTCATAAGACAACATGCCATATGGTGGCTTGTTTGTGCCCTGTGTGACACCCACAAGACACCCACATTCACAACTTAGCCATGGTTTAAAAAAAGCTACAGCTTAGCATGATCTGAAATGTGTTGAAGGATTAGTCAGTTATTTGACATTTCTTTAACCAAATGACAGTCCTGCTATAGTGTTTTTCCTTAAAACCATTTGGATATTCAGGTCCTAACTACCCTTTTTGCTTCTGTCTTTAGGATGCTTCACGCCCAGTATGGTGAACTGATTCAGCCAAGGAATGGCTCAGTTGATGAAACGCCCAAAATGTCAGCAGGCCAGATGCTGTTGGTAGCATTTGATGGAATGTTTGCCCAAGTGGAAACAGCATTTGGCTTATTAGTTGAAAAGGTAAGGTTACTACTAAAAAGATTACTTACTAAAGCTAACTTTGGAAATAAGGTCCAGGCAACTCCCAGTTCACATGGGGGTTGCGTCCTGAGTCATTGCGTGCCATGCAAAGCTCACTTAAGTCCGCCCTTCCCACTTTTCCAGCCACTTGCAGTTTGCTGTGATGTGCGCATGCACGCATCATTTGGTCTTTGTCTGTATTTGGCAGATGACCTAACATTTTTCTTATTTTCCTTCAGTTAAACAAGATGGAAATACCTGTTGCCTGGCGTAAGATTGACATCATCAGGGAAGCTCGCAGCACCCAAACTAACTTTTTTGATGATGATAACAACCGGCAGGTTTTAGAAGAGATTTTCTTTTTAAAACGACTGCAGACAATAAAGGATTTTTTCAGACTCTGTGGCACTTTTTCTAAAACTCTTTCAGGTAAGTGCATACAACATTCCTAGTTTACGTCTCATTAGGTAAAGTTAAGCACTGTTGTCTGCCTTGAATCTTAAAGTGAAATTACAAATAACGGTATCTATGTGTTAAACGAAATAAAACATTGGGCTCCACAGATTCTCATCTTGTATTACCTGCAAGTTTTAAAGCTGTGATGTAATGACTACAGTAGCAGCATTCTCAAAATACATGGGTTATACAGTGCCATGAACAACTTCTAGCAGTACCATAAGTATTAAGCTGTTACAAAAAAAAAAACTGGTTAAAAGGTGCAGAAGACAGCCAGTAAGCACAGGAAATTTATTTCCATGCTTGCTCAAGCTTTCTTTGTGAAGAGCAAACCCAGAGTTTTCATGTTTCCTCTGTGATGTTTCAACACTTGCTTTATTATTGAACCAGTATATATTACTGAATGTATTGACTGTTGAATTATTTTGGCATTATTTGGAAGGCAGCGAAACGGAATAGATGTTTGCTTCCATGTTTTCATTTTCCCCTAGAAAAGAACCAAGAACATTTTTAATTAATTCAGGAATGCTGTTGTGGAGTTAGCCAAATCAGTGTGCCTTAAAGCATGTACCAGCCTGTTAAAATGCGGTTTATATTTATCTCAGTCAGCTTGGACCTTGCCCATTTGCATTTCATAAGAGTGCCATTGTAATCTTGGCTGCAGTTAATTTATGTTGTCAGCTCTCTAGAGCAGAAATTCAATCTAGATTGCTGGTTGGTAGGTATTTGTTCAATGGCTGTTTCTTTTTTTCCCTTTTTTTGTAAGGTGTAAGTTCAATTGAAGATCAAAGCTCTATGAATGGACCAGTGCCAATGGTAAACGTGAAAACCTTGTATCGGAATTCTTGCTTTAGTGAAGACCAAATGGCCAAACCAATCAAAGCCTTCACAGCTGACTTTGTCCGGCAGCTTTTAATCGGCCTTCCCAATCAAGCCTTGGGACTTACATTGTGCAGTTTTATTAGTGCTCTGGGTGTAGATATAATTGCTCAAGTAGAAGCAAAGGATTTTGGGGCTGAAAGCAAAGTCTCAGTGGATGACTTGTGTAAGAAAGCTGTAGAACACAATATCCAAATTGGAAAATATTCACAGTTGGTTATGAACAGAGCAACAGTGCTGGCCAGTTCATACGACACTGCATGGAAGAAGCACGATCTGGTGCGGAGACTTGAAACCAGTATTTCTTCTTGTAAGACTAGCCTTCAGAGAGTGCAACTACACATTGCTATGTTCCAGGTGAGTCTTCAGACTTGTATTTCCTTTCAGAATATTTGCTGCAGATGTGGAAAGTTGCATAATAAACTAATCGCCTTTGGCGCCATACCTAAGTTGTGGAGAGAAGGTACCTCTTCAGATTTTAAACAGTACCATACATTTAGAAGTAGCTTCATACTGTTTTCCACGTTATTGATCTGTGGAGCAGCCCTCTTCGTCATGTGAGGTGAACTTCATGGCTGCATGAGGATTTGAGAGTCCTTATTTCACCAACTTTGTCCATTTGCCCCTTGTAACCTCTCTCTTCTTGAAAGCCTGCAGGGTGGATTTCCTGCAGGCCTCTTGACAATGCTTTGAAGCAGATCCTGTTCTCTGGTTCTGAGGGCACTTTGGATTTCCTTTTTTCTAGGCAGAAACCCTCTATCTTTGTTAGTCATGAAGTTTATAGCTACTGTTGTAGCTGTTGGGTACAGCTGAATTGTCATGCTGGTGTGGAGCAAAATTATTAAGTAACATCATCATATTTCTCTCAGCAGATCAATGTACAATTTGGATTTTCTGCAAAGCAGAGTCAGAATTCTGACAACTTTCCTTTTAAAAAAAGCAAAGCAAAGGGGAATGACAATCAGAACCTTTGGTGCACTTAAGGATTTTAGAAGCAGGATAGCTGCAATTTTTCAAAAGAGCTGTCACTTGACATTTACAGACAGTGTGAACATAAACACTTTTTATGTTGGTTATGTTCGTTGCTTATTGCTCTGTAAATGTTCCTGGTTATTGACTTATGCATCTTGATTAGGCTCTTGGGGCCGTATCTCACTGAACTTCTCAGTCTTACCATTTATATAGCATTAACATAACGTTGAATAGAAACATCTTTTTCTCTTGCCTTTCAAAAGTGGCAGCATGAAGATCTCCTCATCAATCGCCCACAAGCCATGACAGTCTCTCCTCCACCTCGGTCCGCAATCTTAGCCAGTATGAAAAAGAAACTTCATACTCTTGGCCAGATTGAAGCTTCAATTGCAGCAGTTCAGGTAAGTTTCTTCACTGCTCCATGGGGGAAGCAGTGGAGGACTGTTGAGGAAAAATATGGAAGCAAAATAACTGGTCTTTCATCAGTATTTGGGAATATTGGTCTTCCAGCTCCATTGTTACAATAAATATACTGAAACTGCAAGAATGGTAATGGATGTTTGAAGTGCCTTGTTTTCAAGTCATACAAATTTCCCCAGTTACAACAGTGTTCAATCCTACTTTACTGTGGGGCATGTTCAGGGTTTTGAATTAAAGTCAAATCTTTAATAACAGTTTTTACAAGATTGAACTCTTTAGACTCTTAGATTAAGCTGAAAATCTGTAGTGACTGTTGATGTAATTTTTGATAGCCCTCCACAATTTGATCACTTTGGAAGCTGGTCATAAGAATCTGAGCCAATGTCATCCTGCAGTGTGTACCCTAGATTTGATAGCTGAATCTAGGGACCTGTGGCAGGGGTGCAGTGCACGAGTGTCTTAGGTTGACTCTTATCAAATCAGTATCTTATGTACCGCTTTTGGAGAGTCTCCAGAATTTTGTATATTTTTGTTGTCCCAGGTTGCAGTGTCATCCAGTCAGCTAGTGGCTGGGTATGTGGAAATGTGTATATGTCGCAACCCTTCTCTCTTCAATACATGGATACTGATACTGCATAGAGGCATATTTTGAAAATATAATTTTGTTGGTTGGGATATATACTGTTCTAGTTTGCCCTGCTGGTTGCCAGAACTGAATATGTTGGATTCCTTGCCCTTGTTATAATAGTAGTTAAGTAATTGCATCTGTTCAGGCCCCAGGTATAAGCAAAAATTGTAAGATTTAATGCTTTTGATTTTCATTCTATCAACAATCTCAGGAAAAGCTGGCAGCACTTGAAGCAAGTATTGAGCAGCGTTTGAAGTGGGCAGGAGGCGCTAATCCAGCATTAGCACCAGTTCTTCAAGATTTTGATGCCACAATATCTGAAAGAAGAAATCTTGTCCTTAAGGAAAGTCAGAGAGCCAGCCAGGTACTACAAATAGCATGATGTGATGAGTTTGAGTTTATTTTCACTAACAAACTGTGTATAAGAGAGCAAAAAACTTTTATCAGATGGGATCAGGCTTAAGGAGAAAAGCATTTGCCATATGTAGGGAGCTGTTTTGGAGTGAATACTAATGAGGTCCAAAATACAAAGGGCTGTTTGGGATTTAGTTATTTGTGTGTGTCGTAACTATCTAGCAGTACATATTGTCACATTTCTTTCTTTGTGATACTTTGAATTGAGTTGCATTTTAATCACATTTGACATCATTATCTTAGTTATTTGGCTTTGACTTTAATTTGTGGTGTAACTACATCTCTTGATAGTATAATATATATCATAACTCCTTCGTGATTCTTGATCATTTCAGTTTAGGCCTTGTTTAATCTTTGGTCCCGTAATTTCTCAGCCCATTGTAATAATATAAAAATTATACAAGACAGCTTAAAACCTAGATTTTAAATCAAGTCTCAGACCTCAAAATATTTTGTTGGTGCTGGTGGGCTAAATTTTGAACGATTCAACAAAAATTGTAATTCAAGGTGTGGGTGTGTATATGCATATATATAAAAAATTGGGTGTGACTGCAGAAAAGCACTAGAATATATATGTTTTAAATAAAGTAGTCAGTTTCCTCTCTGGCAGCCTTTCAGTGCATTTTTTGAAAATAAAATCTAGAAGCTTAAGCTGTGTGTGAATGTTATGAGCCTTTTCTCTCTGTGCCTTGTCTTTCAGGTTACTTTCCTCTGTAGCAACATCATTCATTTTGAAAGCTTGCGTACCAGAACAGCGGAAGCCTTAAACCTAGACACTGCCTTGTTTGAACTTGTCAAACGTTGCCAGCAAATGTGTTCCTTTGCTTCACAGTTTAACAGCTCAGTTTCTGAACTGGAACTTCGTTTACTTCACAGAGTGGTGAGTGTAAGACACACACACACAATGGGTGGGGTGCAGTGGGCAGGGAAAAGGTGCATTGGCTTCTTTTACATATAATACCAAATCATGTTAGGCTGCAAGAACTGTGCACTGAGGTCACTCTCCCCCTTCTCCTTGAGGGTTCTGATTCTCCCTCTCATTTCCTAGTTCAGGCAAACTGGTTTATGAAAGCCATAGCTTCCTTCCAAATGAGAACTGGAAAATTCTGACTTCTCACAAAACATAGTTTTGTTGCAAAAAACAACGACAACCATCAAATTGCCTGAATGAGGAAAGCAAGGAGGGAGTACATGAGTATTAAAAAAATGGTTGGACTAATGTGTGTTAACAGGATCATCTGTCTCAACTCCGACATGCCAAACCATGTTGTGTTGTTTAATCATGCTGCCAAACCATGTTGTGTGTAGAATCCAGATCATGGTCTTGAGCTTGCAAGTTTACAGGCAATCAGTGGTTGTTTACTGCTCAGTGGTGTTCGTTTTCTGTCTGCTCATCACTCCCATCTCTAGGCACAGTGATCTCTGGGAGTGAAGCAAATACTGTTACTATAGCTTGTCAGTACAGATACCATGCTAAACTTGTTGTACACCTTGATTTGTAAATAGTTTCTGGTGCTGACTTGCCAGACAATGTATCAATTCAGCCTTCATGATAAATCATGGCATTATTTTAGTCACTGTTTGCTTTGAAGTCTGAACTGAACCATTGCAAATTATAGTAACAACACACACCTCAAAATGCCTGTGCTCGTTTAAGATTATAATTGAGGTGGGGGTTGGCAGCAAGTGTCTTGCAATCTGACTTTAATACATATATTGATTTTATTTGCCTCATTAAGCAAAGAGGCTCAGGGTACTATGCACTAAACTATCTTTCTTAGCTTCAGAAGAACACTGAGAGTTTAGACTGGCAAATAGTAATTTGCTCAAAGCCTCTAAGTTTCATAGCTCAATGGGGAACTGATCTGGCCTTGCTTGGAGATGAGTTTCAGTAGCTTGACTGGCATTTGGAAACTTGTTTTGTTACAGGGCACCAATCTCGACCATCCTATTGGTAGCACAGAATGGCTTCTTTTGGCTCATAAGCAACTGACGCAGGACACGTCTACCCAGAGGACCGTGCAAATAGAGAGAGAGCAACAAATAGAAACTGTGTGCGAAACCATTCAGAATCTGGTTGATAGTATTAAAACTGTGCTCACTGGACACAACAGGCAACTTGGGGATGTCAAGCACTTGCTGAAAGCCATGGCAAAGGTAATGCCCAATTATTCATTGGTGGGGGAATAGAACAGAAAACATTTTGATGTTCATGGAATACTTTCTGAAGTTATGGGGAGGTGGATAGTGGATAAAAACTATCATTTTTCCAAGCTTCTGTTTCCAATAGTGAAGTCATAATAAATATTACTTTATTACAGGATGAAGAAGCAGCGCTGGCAGATGGTGAAGATGTTCCCTATGAGAATAGTGTTAGACAGTTCTTGGGTGAATATAAGTTATGGCAAGACAATATTCAGACAGTTCTGTTTACATTAGTTCAGGCCATGGGTCAGGTTCGCAGTCAAGAACATACTGAAATGCTGCAAGAAATTACTCCCACCCTGAAAGAACTGAGAACCCAGAGTCAAAGGTAAGCAGACATTCTCTGAATTCTTGTAAATTTGTGTATTTGGCTAAAAACAAAGAATATAATGCAGGCATAGGCAAACTCAGCCCTCCAGATGTTTTGGGTCTACAATTCCAGTCATCCCTAGCTAACAGGACCAGTGGTCAGGGATGGTGGGAGTTGTAGTCCCAGAACATTTGGAGGGCCGAGTTTGCCTATGCCTGATATAATGGATAGATTATAGTTATTAGAAGCACAGAAATGACATTCTTATGACACTTGGAATCAAAGGGTCTATTGTTAGGAGGGAGGGATTTAGTTATGTTTCAGTCAGTTTGTTTATTTGTTATGTGGTTCTGAGTATGTTTGTTTGCTGGCTGAGGAAAGTATAATAGTGTGATACAATTGTATCAGCATACTTTATTCAACACATAACTTCCTCAGCTTATGTATTTTCTTATTCTCGAAAACCTACTAATTATTTTTTTTAGCCTCACAAAAACTGACAGGATCCCCTAATATTGTAATGCATCATCTACAGAGTCTAAACATCTAAACTTTCTCAAACTGTGCCAAAATACTTTTGAATTATCTAACATTCTTACACAGGCTTTCTGTTTTTTGATTTCCAGATAGGTCATGTGTCAAGATTAATATTGATCATTTTCCTTTTTTCCCCTAGTGTCTACAATAATCTAGTGAGTTTTGCATCTCCCTTAATCACGGATACGCCAAATGAATGCTCAAGTCCAACATCTGTTGCTACATGTCAACCAACATTTGCTGCAGGTAAAATATGGAATACATTGAATCTAATTTCCCTGCCACTGAGCTTGAATGTAGATGTTGTCATCGTTCTTCTAGATGTAGTAGAGCAGTCTACTTGCTAAATTTCTTCATTGTCTTCAAGAAGACAAATGTCAAGGAGTTAAACCACCTGTCTTCATGCAGACTTACCAGAGAACCTGACTAAACTCTGCTTACCAAAGAGTACTACTCATTTCCGTTAGCATGTTCATCATTCTGAGATAGGGACTCCTTGGGGAAATGACTTAATGACTGCCTCCTACTTGAAGATCTTCCAAGTCTACTAGGAACTACCCACCCACGAGCAGAAGTAATATTTACACTATTAATATGTTTTCCATATAAGGCTCTTGCAGAATTTTACTAGCTTAAGGCATCTAACCAACAAGTGAATTTTATTGGTAAGGTAGATAAATTGATACCCATGGCAAGCCCAATGCAAGATGCTGAAGCAGATTCTAAAACTCTGTTTACAGGACTTCCATCCATATTCAGGTACCATATGGATACTTGTCAAGAAAGGGAGGGCTCTCCATAAACATTTGGTTTGCTGAGCATCTCTGAAATGACACATCTTGCATATAGGGGGAAACCTGGTATCCCAACCTTGTTAGCGAAGTAGGTTCCACTGCAGCTTAGGTTGTTAAGAACTACAGTACATATGAGTGACATACATACTCTCATTTCAGCAAGGAATGGAAACGTAAAAACTGAATTCTTCATGCAGCTTGCTTGACCTGTTGAAAGGCTTTTTTATTTTAAAAAAAACCTATTTGAATTATCTTGATCCATTTCAGTCAGGCTTCAATTTTAGATTGCTTTGGTTGATGGAAGAGAGACAGGGCAGGTCCAACCTTGTTGGTTCTTTTTAATCTCTGGGTTTTGATACCATCAATTATTGTATCCTCTTGGAATTGTTTGGTGGATTGGGGCCATGGTGATACAGTGGTTCTGCTCATAGCTGCAGGCAGTGTCCAAAGAGTAGCATTGGGTGACTTCTTTTCAGCCTTGAGGTAGTTGAGATTCAGGGCCCTGTGCAGTTCCATTTTGCCCCCAATCAGTGGCTGGCCGTGGCTCTCCAGGACTTCTGGATATGGGGTCTTTCCTATTCCTACCTGGAGATACTAGGGATGGAACCTTTAACCTTTTGTATCTATTCAGCCATTGAGCTTTGTCCCTTCCCTTAGCCTGGTCCCAGTTTTGCATGGTCATGTGACATCAGGCTCAGGAAGGAGGGGTGTGGTTAGGCCAAAACAGCCTGGTGAGCCAGCCTCTGAGGCTTGGTGGGCCTAATTTGGCTTGCAGGCTGATGGTTCCCCTCCACTGTCCTAGAAGCACAGATGACCATGTTTTTCAGCTTCTGTCACCTGCTTACAACAACTTGTTAATCCAGGCTTCTGGTGGACTTGGTAAAGCCTGCTGTGGATTGCAGTTTTGTTTTGTACTATACTGTTGTTGTTGAATCTAAGATAATTTTAATTGTGTTTTATTGCTTTACATACTGTGTTTTATTTTTTGTGTTGGCAACAACATTTTGACCACACAATGGAAAAGTGGTCTACAATTGTTGGAAATGAAATCAAACCATGACATCATATATTGACTTTATTTTGAAGCCATAAATCATAGCTTTTGGTGCTGAAATCTGACTTGTTCTGCCATTCATGTAAAGGCAGCAGATAAACTACTACAGTAAGCTTGCAACTCATGTGGGAGCTACGTTCCAGGGATCGCACCGAAAGCCAAAATCGCATATAGTCAAAACCCATTGGGCTCAGTGGTGGGCAGTGTTGCCAAAATCATTTCCCCCAGAACCCTGTCCCCTTTTAATTTTTTTGCTCTGCATGTAAGGGTGAATATGCGCAAGTTAAATGTGCATAAGTTGCAGGTTTACTGCATAAGGGAGCTCCATGGACCCACATGTAGGTCATGCAAATCTTATTAAGCCAATCTTTGGCTTAACTTTGCCTGTGCACCCAATCACTGTGTGGGCTGGAGGCCTGAAATCAGTGTCTTTGCCAATGCATTATATGTTTTGTAGGCATGTTTGGTTTTGTTGTAAAACAAAACATTTTTCTTTTTGATTATGAATAAAACTTACTTGGTTCCTTTTTATAGCGTTTTAAATATTTCTTTTTCATTTGTTGACAGCGGTCCGCAGCAATACGGGGCAGAAAACTCAGCCAGAGGTCATGTCGCAGAATACAAGAAAGTTAATTCAGAAAACCCTTGCACCATCAGCAGATACTCCACCGGGGGTAATTACAGGCGCTGGAAAGAGTGTTGTTTCTAGTCCTAAAAAAGCCATCAGGGACCCCAAAACAGGAAAAGGTAAGTAGCAATATTAAATTTATGTAGAAAGATAGGCTTTGTAATGAGCAACACATTAAGATTTGCATGGACTTGGTGTTTTTGTTTTTGTTTTTGAAGCTGTGCAAGAGCGGAATTCATATGCAGTAAGTGTGTGGAAACGTGTCAAAGCCAAGTTAGAGGGCCGGGACTTGGATCCCAACAGGAGAATGTCCGTTGCTGAACAGGTAATTTGAGGAGCAAAACTTGTTCCCTTCCCTTCAGATGATTTTAACATTTAAGTTTATGGAGTTTGTGTGGGTGTGTGTGAGAGAGAATGAGAATATTTTTAAATGTGCTCTGATATGTTCCTGGATGTTCAGTGGAAAAAGTTTATTCGTATAAGCATCATTTTCCTTTGAAACTTCACTCCTACATACCTTAAATTACCTGGCAGACTAGTGTGCCCTCTTGCTTCCTTTCTGCTTAGCCCATGCCATTTGAAGACAACCATATGCAAGTCATGTCATGGCTGGCAATACATTAAACATTTCATTGCTAAACTGTCTTTTGGCTTGCAAAAATAATGGGAATTTTTCATAACCTATGGAGACTTGCTGGCTTGTTTTAGACATGTAAAAATGGTTGGTTGTTACATATTTTAACCATAGCTGGTTGTATCCAAACAAGGTATGTGTGTTTTGTTTAAATCAGTCTAACAAGGCAGGATATCAAGCTGGGATCCAGGTTGGATATTCTGGCTTGTTAAACAAAAACGTATGGTTTTAACAAAATACCACTTGCCGAGTTCAGGCACAATAATGGCAGCCTTAAATCTTATTTCTTTGCACATGCACAATAATATAATCGTACAGTTGGAAGGGACCCCAAGGGTCATCTAGTCCAAATCCCCCTGCAGTGCAAAAATCTTTTACCCAATGTGGGGCTTGAACTCACAACCCTGAGATTAAGGGTTATATGTTCTACCCACTGAGCTATCCTAGGTCCTGAGGCTCTTGCCATCTCATTCATGTAAACAACACATGGTTTGGTCCTAGGTCTGAACCTGGCCACTTACAGTTTTTAGTAGTGTCTGCTGTGTACATGGACTATAAATGTTAAAAGGAGTAAACCGTGGTCTTCCTAGAACTCTAACGTAAACTTTTCATAACTAATGGTGAACAAACTTGCTGCTGAACATGCTAATAAAGGTGGTCTTGAAGTTCTCTGAATGTACAAAATCCAAATCCCTAACTTATTTTACATTGCAATTTCTTAGGTTGACTATGTGATTAAGGAAGCAACTAATCTAGATAACTTGGCTCAGCTGTATGAAGGTTGGACAGCCTGGGTATGAACAGGAAGATAGCAGGTCAGTCTGGTTCAGCGAGGTCAGACATCCAGCAGAATCAACTCGGCCTCAGGCATCCATAGCAGCACCACAGTCGGTGGTGATGCCTTTCTGGGGCTTAATGTGAGGAAACCTAGGCAATCTCGGTGCACTGGGAAGTGAGTCCTGCAGAGTAGCTGCACTCAGGGATACGCTAAACACAATGGCCTGGAACCCCCAGGGTCAAGGGTGAAAGCTCACCGCCTGAACAACACGGCTGTCTTTCTGCTACAGAAGAACTGCAATCGTGTCGGGGGGAAACATAGCTGCAGAAAGGAAATTGGGAATGCTACATACCGCAGAGTGATTTGGAACCCAGTTCCACCTGACCCTGTGAACAATCCAGGAGAAACCGAAACCGAAAAAAGGGGGCCGTGAAGAAATCGCAGCAAAGGAAGATTTGAGAGATTGAGTTTCTTGAGTCGCTCTTGTTGCTTGGCAACAGTGCTGGTTGAGTTGACCAGTTTGTGCAAAAAATGAATAAATAAATGCTACATGAGAATGAACTTCAGAAATGGACTGAAAATGCAAAGAGCTGCATGTCAGCTGTGTTGGAAGAACCTCTTTGAGAAGAGAGAGCCTTTGTGTCTTTTTTTTTTTTAAGTTCTTTCCCACTTCTGGTTTATTCTTGTTCTTTAGATGTATTTCTAATATGTTTTTATTTCAATCCTTGTAATTTCACTGTTCAGTCAAATTAATCATTTCTTCTTTGTTTTTTGCAAACCAAATTTTCCAAAAGCACAGGGAACGCTGAACATTTAAGCAAATCTTTTGTGTTGGCTGATCAAACGCAAATGGTTGGAGTTTTGGTTCTTTTAAAGTGGTTTTTTGTGATTCTATCATGTACAGTTTCCCCAAATTCACTGTGCATTTCAAAGTAATGAATCTAACAGACATTTGGTTTTCATGTGCACCTCCCTCTGCTTGCAGTGTACACTCCTTTTTGTAATTCAAACCTTTTCCTCCAAAACACATTCTACTGTGATTTTGCTGTAGTTTCTTTTGTAAATGTAGGTACTCCAATGTAATCTTTACCTTAAAAATGATTAGAATATCTAAGTAGACTCTTTTACATTGTTGATGACAGAAAATCAATAAAGTCAAGTTCTAGTGGAGGTAGTTTTATGCTGTTTGATTCATTTCAAATTTTGATTTACACTTGTAAATGTATACTGTTTCAGTTCAATCTGGGAATTTAAAGATAGACATAAATACAAAGCTAAAGTGGACTATCTCTTTTTGTTCAAGCGAAATTGTACAAAGATTTGTGTGAAGTTACATTTCCATATGACTTCCAATAGGTGGTGTTCAGTTGTGAATTTCTCAGCAAGTTTTCCTAAACCTACCTTGCACTTTTGAACTATGGGTGTGACAAAAGTTGCTATTAAAACGGCACTTTAAATCAGTCTGTTTCCATATGTCCTCAGTGTTTTACTTGCCTGCTCACTAAAATCATTACATTAGGAACTTGTTTTAACTTTGCTTTAGGAAAGAACAGGCTGCTTCTTAACTCAGTTATCACTAATCGGTGTCATGTTTTGATAGGCACCACTTCCAAATTGAACTTGTGGGGCTATGTGAACTTATTTAATTTGCTTTGAAAGCTGTTAAATGAGGACAAATCAAATGTTCCCATCACTTCCTCTTTAGTCTCTTAAGGATTTTAAAAACCTTTCCAACAGTTAATTTTTTTAATTGATGCAGCCTATTTATTGGAGTTTGAGCTTTGGCCTTTGTTTTGAAGAGTTGCTATCAAATATATATTAAGGTCCAGCACAAGAAGAAGCTAATTATTCCAGCGTTTTTATAATGTGGAAAAATTGTTTTGACTTCCTCAGAATATCTGATACAGAAGTGACTTGATACTGGTATCAGTCTTCCACATAGGCGCTAGCTATCTCACCTTTTAATTACCTGCCCTAGACATGTCATGTGCACTGCCTACATATTTACTAATGCTTGTGAGTAAATGCATTCCAACTCAGTACTCTGGAACTTCGCTCTTAGCATTGCAAGAGTGAGAGGTTTGCTTTTCAGTAAAATTCAGTTAAGGCAAAATCCAAGCATTTGGTGAGTGTACCTTTATTTTCCTTGTACGAAACATCCTTAATGAGCAGTCTGTATCCAAATACGATTGGGATAAGATGGTAACATGTTTTTCTTTCCTTTGGGAACCAGGGGTCAGGGCAGGCTGCTGCGCTTGTGATTCATGTATTATTATACCACACTATCCAGAAATGTGTATGGAGACGGGGGTCTTTACTGCATAATGTAATAAAGCTCAAAAATCTATTTGTATTCTTCATTCCCTGTGTGGCATTCTTTTCTTTACTGCAGTAACATTCAAAGTTCTAGATCTCTAACTTGCAGTTAGCAGTGATCACAGTACCAAGCATGTGTAACCTCTGCAATTGTGGAAAAGGTTACCACCTCTTTCACAGAGGGGAATCAGCACAAGGAATAGATTTGAAAGCTGCAGCTAGTTGCCTGTCATGCATATAATCCACACAAATGTGTCTGAAGCAAAAGTTATTGTTTCACATTTAAGCAACCATTGTGCAACGACATCTGGAGGGCACCATGTTATTGGCAGCAAATCGCTGACAGCACAAAGTGGAAAAAATGAAGTGCATACCAAAGCAGGGGCTTCCCATGGTTTGCTTTGACTGAAGCAGGCAGGGAATATATTTTAGTAGGTTGCTTCTGTGTGTAATGAAACGTTTTTAATATATACTTTGATGCATTTTGAGCATGAGATCTTCAAGGGGATGCACGGAGAATTAACCACTGCAACATCCTGCAGAATCTAATTGGACGTTATTGTGGTAGTTCACATTGATTCATTGGACTTAGGAATTCCTAACCACGCAAGATTTGCTCCTCTCTGCCGCTCCCCCCCCCCAATGGGAACATCAGAACCTGCCCCTTTTCATCTTCAGCCTTCACTATATTTGAAACTTCAGTGAGTTATTCAGAGGAGTGTTGGAAGCTGTTGGGGGAGAAATGAGTTTTAAATCACCTTTGTTAGGATGCAGGTTTTTGCATTAGTTGGACTCCCAGATAAATGCACCTAGACTTTGCAGTCTGTCTCCTGCTGTTGTTCAAGCTTGCCCCTTTTATCCAGAAAATGTAGGGCTTTTGAATCAAACAAGTTGAATGTACTATATTATTCCTGGTCTTTTTTTCTTTTCTTTTTTTAATTATGGCAATTCAGTTTACCAACATATGGTAGGTTACAGAAGTTGGGAAAGCATAGGTTTAGGATCAAACTAATATATTCAACACAGAAACAAATGGTAGTATATAAAATATGTGTGTGAGAGAAAGAGAATATTCTGGAAAGGCATTCTAGAGGCTCACCACAACTGCAAGCACTGGATGGTTGCTACACCTTTCATTTGTGGGACCCTTCCCTCCCAGCTGTCACCTGGATCTCGCTCCATCACTTCCTTCTCTCTGGCCTGTAGTGGTAAAGACTACCAGCCCTTTCCACATCCCTTCTAACTCTCCTCCGGTCACTTCCAAACTGCAAGCCTCGTTTGATTCACAAAGGTACTTCCTGGCTCTGCTCCGACTTGCCAAACCCCTTGCTCAGCTGTGGAACTCACTGGGTGACCTCAGGCCAGTCATTGCTTCTTCGCCTGGCCTACCTACCTCACAGGGTTGTTGTAAATAGGGAGAGGGAAAACCCACATAGGCCACCTTGAGCTCCTTTGAGGAAAAATAAGAAATGTAATCAGTAATGCATAAAAGCTCCTTTGAGGAAAAATAAGAAATGTAATCAGTAATGCATAAAATAGACACTCATGGCAAAGACTCATTTATCCAGCTGGGAAAACCTGTGGGAACAACTCCCACAATCCCCCCATAAGGGGCCAGTTTGTTTCTATTTGGAAAGGCGCTAAGCAGTCCTTCCCCACCCCACTCCGGAATCCCCTCCAAAAACCCGTTAAACGGTTTCTGCTGCGGGACGTCAAAGGAACAACGCGACGTTTCTCCCCCTCACGCGCCCGAAGTCACGACGAGAAGGAGGAGGGCGCTGATTGGTCCAAATTAAAAGGCGAACGGGCAGGGGGGCAGATGACAGGGCGCTGGTTAGGGGAGTGAGATGGTCCTTATCCAATGGAAAGCGTCGGGGAGGCGGGATGGGCGGGGCCGCCGAGCTCATAAAAGGGGAAGGAGGGCGAGGCGGTGAAGGGTTTTTGTTCGCGAGGCCGACGGGGAAGCAGAAAAGAGGTGTCGCTTCGGAAGGGGGGCGTGGCCTGGAAGGCTAGGCGGAGGAGGCGGGGCTTAACCCGTGACGGTTTGCGAGGGGTGGGAGAGAAGGAGTCTGCAGAAAGCAGCTGTCTGGGCCGCACAAAATGGCGGAGGGCGACAATAGGAGCACCAACCAGCTGGTGGGTGAGCGCTGATGCGAAGCACATTGGGTGGGCGGGGGGCGAGTTGAGGCCCTCACTTCCCTCAAGAAGTGGGAAGGAAGGAAGCGGGGGTGCTTCCTTGGGCTGTATCCTGCGAGGAGCATCTGCGGAGGGGCGCTTGTTTTTACGCAGGAAGAGGGAGGGGCTGGCTCTTCTGTGCATGGAGATGCACGTCTTGCAAGGCTGCCATAGCGGCCTCTTCACCCCCACTCCCAGCCCCGCCATTCCTATTCTGCGTTATTTTAAAGTGGGGTGGGGGTGGGAGGTTTGCGCCATTTGTGTAGCTCTTCCTTTGAGGGGTGGAGGCAGCGAACTGCTTCATAGAGTAGAGGGGGCTGCAAGGGGCGAAGTGAGGAAACTTCGAAAGTATAACAGGCACACCAAATAATCTTATGGCGCTTTTCAAGACTTAGCTTACTGCAATGCAGGGGGTTGGGCTGGATGACCCTCGGGCCCCTTCCGACGCCACAATTCTGCGATTCTAAGACCCGCAGATTTTTGATGGCAGAAGCTTTTGTGGACTGAAGGCTGCTTCGTCGGATGCACGAAATGGTTGTTTGATGGTGTGTGTATTAATGTCTTCTTTCACACACACGTTACCTATCAGTATGTGTATATTTGTATTAACACTCACCTGTGTTTAAATAGATATGTGTGTGTGTCTATATATACACACACATATGGATGGATAATAACATTTAGTGCGTTTGATTAATGGGGTTTTAGCCTGTGAAGCTTCTGCCACCATAAGCCTTAAAGGTGCCCCAAGGTTGTTTGTGTGTTGGCTGTATGAAACTGTCCTTCTGGAACTTAAATAACACCCCACGGTCTAGTCATGTTTACTCAGAATGAAGGCCTGAGTAAATTGGGTTTATTCTAAGGTAAATATGCCACCTCAAATTTCGCCTTTTGAGAGTTGTGGAAGGATCCAAAATCAGGAGAGAACCCATTATATTTTGCTGATGCACAAGGTTTTAGAAGCTGGCAGAGGCAGCAGTAGTGTTTTGTAGGAACATGGGATCAGAATTGCAGAGCTGAAAGGCAAAATAGCCTTCTTACAAATGGGTAGGGATGGAGGCTTTTCTTCCCACCAAATAATACATTAAAAAATATTCTAGGCAAGCCATCTTGAAAAAGATCAGGTTTCATTTTCCGGTTTCTCCAGTAGGACTCTGCTATGTCATCTGCCTTTGTAGTATTAGAGACACACCTGGCCAGCCTGCTTATGCTAATAGGAGCAGAAATAAGCAGGGTGCTTTGTTTAGGCTGTCAAAGGAGCTGCAGCGCTTCAGGGATAGGTGGTTGAAAGTCAGGTGCACAGCACTGAGCATTATGGTTGATGAACAGAGGAGCGCAGATACTGTGTGTGCCTTTTCTTTGAGTTTGAAATGCAGATCATTTGTATCCACAGTGTTATCTGCTACATTTTTCACTATGTCATATGCTTAGTACACCCTGCTTTTTGAGTTGAAGACAGTGCACTTGAGTCTCCCCCTGTTTTATAATGGCCCTAGGCAGCCACTGAGGCTGTGTGCGCATAGATGGCCCAATATAACTTGAGTGAACTTGATGGGAAGGAGAGACTTTAACCCAGGCAGAACAACAGTTTAGTTTGTCTTGTGACTGAATCATTTCAAAGACGTGAGTTAAGGGTATGTGTGTGTGTGATGGAATATTCACAGATCTAAGCTTCAAGGGAAGAGAGAAATGTTTAGAAACAAAATTTATTGGCTAGAACTCCCTATATCTTGCTGATCTAGAAGGCCATGTTAGGAAATGGACAGAAATTGAAGAACAGAAATTAGAATTCAAAATAAGGAAGCATTCAGTGTGTGTAGACCTCAGTGGCAGGTCTCTCCACCCCCCCCCCCATGGTTCATTATGAAAGTTTCACCTACGTACTATTCACAAATCTTCAGTTTATGGTCCTGGGCTGAGACAGCAACCAGTACAAAACACAGCTGTGTAGGATGTCCAAAGTAACAGTTATTCAGAGTTGATTAAAATTTTGGTAAATCCAATTTTGCACACAGAACCTTGCATAACATTTAACACTGTTAGGATAATAAATAATGTAAAAACAGTTTAATTTCAAATATATATTGCTAGCAAAAAAAAGAAATTAAATATTTTGTTTATATTGAGTTACTTTCTCATGCTGCCCAAGTTCAAGATCATAAGATTTGGGTTCTCCATAAGCCAGATAAATTTTATCCTAATATCCAAGCTGGAATCAGAACAAGTCTCAAAATAAGGTCCTGGAGCACAGTTTTCACAGAATGGTGCCATAACAATAAAGGGCAGGTAGAATAGCTCTTTGTTATGAAAAATCCTAACTACTGGATCTAGAGTTATCATTGTGGTTCTAGAAGAGGCTCCCGCTTGAGGAATGTGGGAAAGACAATTTCTGCCAATTTCCCCTTTCCCCTCTGACCTTAAGGAATCCCCAAACCTCTAGAGCAGCTTTTCATTGGCTGCAGGAGGAAGGAAGAATTGGTGTAAATTGCATCCACAACCCTTTTGCTCTAGCCAGAGCATCCTGTTCTGCTCATGGGAACTCTGGATTGAAGTTTCAGTATGTAGAAATATATTCTAGGAATATGGCACTGTTCTCCTAGTTCGGAGTAACCAGATATTTTGTTGCATGATAGACATAAAGCTTCAAATTAAAAGGACCAGTTAAGAGGATGCAGACATAAAAAACTGAGTTATATTCTGTAAAGCAAAGTAAGGATAAAGCTGTTATATTGTCTAACATAAGATAGCCTACATGTCCAATGAAGCATATGCATTGTGTAAGCATTTTTCTGCCTGGGGCAATTACATATGTTAAAATGCTTTTATTCACAGGCTGCAGAGACAGCTAGCTTGGAAGAGCAGTTGCAAGGATGGGGTGAAGTGATTCTGGTGACAGACAAAATCCTTCGTTGGGAAAAACCATGGTTTCCACCTGCTATGATTGCTGTAGTTTCCTTCATCTTTCTGTAAGTTATTGGAGAGAATGTTACAAAAAATAATAATGCTAAAGACAGTTAAGCTAGTAGTTACTTTCCTGAAATTCTCAGTACTGCTTTGCTGTATAAAAAGTACATGGGAAGTTTTATGCAGCTGGAAAAACAATCCTGCTATAAACAAACCAAATATATGTTCAAACTTGGGGGCATTCCTAGTCATTTTATTTCATAGAAGGGCCTATTAATTGGAAATGATAGGGAAGAGCAACAACTTTTTATTCCTTCCAAACTTCCATTTTCTCTCTCCTTCCAACCTACTCTCCCATTGGTGATTATGCCATTGCAGAAACTAAATTGCGGCATTATTTCTCAACCACTGGCTATGTTGGCTGGGGCTGATGGGAGTTGGGTACTTCAAAATAAAATTTGGAGGCTACTTCTTCTCCACACCTCCTTTAATCACATTGTTAAATGTTTTGCCACTAGATAACAACATTTTTCTTGCCCCAACAGGATGATCTACTACTTGGACCCATCTGTTCTTTCAGGTGTTTCTTGCTTTGTTATGCTGCTTTGTTTGGCTGACTACCTTGTACCTGCTCTTGCTCCTAGAATTTTTGGCTCCAGTAAATGGTATGTTGTTTGACAGTCCCTTAAGTATAACATTTAGCAAGAATAGAATTGAACCAACATATATTCAGTGCATCAGTCCTGAACAAAAATCGTTCTACCTAGTGTTCTGACATACCTAGTGTTGTTCTACTACCTAGAGCAGGCATAGACAAACTCGGCCCTCCAGATGTTTTGGGACTACAGTTCCCATCATCCCTGACCACTGGTCCTTTTAGCTAGGGATGATGAGAGTTGTAGTCCCAAAACATCTGGAGGGCCGTTTGCCTATGCCTGACCTAGAGCAACAATATCTGTGTATATTAAAGGTTCGGTTGTCTCTTTTTTCTGTTTGATACCTTTGCTTGTATAATTATGTTTAGAATGCAAGGTCATTGAGGCAGGAACCTATCTTTTCCTCCTGTTCCCATCCCCCTTATGTTACTCTCTACAGCGCCATGCACATTGATAGTAGACTAAAAACAGAGCTGTAGTCTTTAAACCACTGGCTGTCATGGATTCTTGGGGTGTAAATATATATAAAGATGTTGCCATCTAACTGAAAGTTTTGAGACAGCTGAAGAACCTCTTTGCTGGAAATGGTGATTTGCTGAAAAGGACACAGATTTGCAGTTAATGGTAAATTCTTCATAATATCTGGTCATTCAGAACACATTTCAACTGCAAATTAATGCAAGTTTTAGTCCATTAAAATATATACGATCTTCTTATTGATCACCCTAACAGTGAATAGTTATAGTAGAGAATCAAAGAAATATATATTGTACATATATGAACGGGACATTAAAATGGCATCAAATTTTGAACTGGGTGGCGGGAGGTCGAGATGTTAATGGTTGCTCATGTGCAGTTTCTAAAGTGGAGGTGAGACCATAATATCAAGAGTTTTGTTCAAAATAATTTCTTTAAAGGACTACTGAACAACAGCAGCGGTTCCATGAAATTTGTAGCAACCTGGTAAAAACACGGCGCGGAATTGTTGGTTGGTGGAAACGTCTTTTCACATTTAAGGAGGAAAAGCCTAAAATGGTAATATATGTGCTTCTCTGAAAATGTTTCATCCTTTTTGCAAATTGGATGTTGCTTTATAAATCCATTCTGCATTACATATACAAAAACAAATGCTTTTGGTGACTGGCATGTATATTTGTTTTTTAAATGAAAATCCCCTTTTCTTACCTAAAATGTAAGTGCACACACCATCTGATCAGAGCTTTTTATGGTATCTTGATTTGAGTATTTGACACTTTCCCCCTCCTCCACTTTTGTTTCAGGCACTTTTTGGTTGTTGTTTTTTGCTTCATAGTCTCTAGGACAGTTATTGTAGTGGTATGCAAATATATTCCTGTCTTCAATTTATAACATCGTCATAATGCATTCAGCAAGCCAATAACAATCTAAGCTAAGCTCCTAAAACCTACCTGCTTGAAATAAATTTCCACTGAAGTGAATGAGATATACTGCTAAGTGTGTTTGCTTGTTCACTCATCCATGCTAAATCAATAATGCTGCTTTTAATAGCAGCAGGGAAAGTACTTAGAGAGGTAACTATCATGCCTTCTTAACTTACTTTTAAGGACTACTACCATTCTTATTTCTCTTCTAGTACTTCATGACAATGCTCTGTTCCTTAGCTGTGATTGCTTGGATAGGACAGCAAGTTCATAACCTCTTCCTCACCTACCTTATTGGTAAGTGGTGCAGAATAATATATTGCTGTGTTTTTCCACAATAGAGAATGGGGGAGATATTTGTAGTTGGGATGCCTATAATGAAGCAATTGCAACATAAATTAGATGAGTCGGTATGGGGGATGAATTTGCAAATGAACATAGTTGGTGATAACTTCTTCTTTACTCCCCTAGTGAGCTGCTTCTTGTTGTTTCCTGGGTTAAACAAGCACGGAATAATTTCAAAATATGCTGGAATGGCAAAAAGGGAGGTCAACAAACTTCTGAAGCAAAAGGAGAAGAAAAACGAATGAAACATTGCTTGCTAATTCACTCTATAGTATAATTGTGTTCTGGGAACAATTCAATGAATTATTGTGTGTTTAATAGTATAGAAGTGCTTATTTCAGTCATCGCTTTTTTATTTTAATAAGGGCCCTTCTTGTGCTGTTTAAACAGGAACTGTATGGTCCCTCAGTCACACACTAATAGTCTTCTAACATGGACAGTTATTCTTACAGTAAGTGTGACTAGCAGCTTCAATACTGTAATAAGACTGATCAGTAACAACTGGTGGTGGTGAACTGGGTAACATTTTCCATTCCTCTTGAGCATTTTAAGGACCCTCTGGACTGTCTAGATTTACTTCAAAATGCCCTCTAGATTAAATTGCTAAACGTACAATGTTGTAGGTGACAGGTGATTTGAATAAACAAAGCTCCTAAACTCTGAATCCCAGTTGTAGTTGTAGCTCTGCAATGCAACTTAATTGCACTGAAACTGAATGAAAAACTTAAGTCAGGATGCACAGACAACTTCATTGCTTCTATTATTTAAATAGCTCTAGTTTTGGTGTTGTGAAACATGTCTGTAGTTTTTAAAAAATATGGTCTTATATAAAATCATGTTGAAAATACGTGATGCGTCTGTCTTGCCAACAAGTCTCTGGAGTTATTTGTGTTTTCTTAATGCTATTTTGTTTTTACTACACATTTCTTAAGTAAAAGTTTGTAACCTGTTAAAATGATAGGCATCTTAAATTTCCGTTTAACAGGCAAATTTCTGTCTTAATTGTAAATTGATGAACAGTGTTATCTTACGTTTGAAAATATAGACTTGAGAAATCTTGAAACTTTTTTTGTTTCATTATTATCTTTTTGACAAAATGAGATCCGCTGCTTACATTACTGCCTTACAGATGGTAGCTGCTTTTCATTCTAAGTTCCCAACCTTTCAGTTTTCTCTGAAACACTGTAATTCAGTACACATTTTTTGTAAATGTGTCTCAAAAGGACAAAGTTTTTAAGTTGCTCTTGTGATATATTGCCTATAGTGAAGCCCGAAAGGCCATAACTGTGTTGGCAGCATTGGCAGCAAGGGATAGAAAGTCTTCTAACTAACACAAATATTATTTTTATCATCACTCTCTGTTACTAATTGGCTCTCAACAATAAAAAGCAGTCTTTCTCTCTTCTCGCACATCTAACATTTTTGAATGCTAGGGGTGGGATGTGGCTCATTTTTTACTGCCATACTAGTATGTAACATGGTGCAGATAACTTATCTGCATAAGGACACTAGGGTGGTGTTCAACACTTAAACATGCCTATGTTGGATCTCTTGTGACATGTGAATCTTAGTCAAGGCATTCTGTTTTTCCAAACAAATGAAAAACCATTTTTGGACTCATTAGAGCAACCTCATAAGATCTCTGCCTTAGGAGAAGAAACAAAGCCTCTTACTAAGGCTAGTGAAAAGAGAAATTCCTGAAGCAGGCTTTCTTCAGGAGGTGAAAGGAGCAACATTACCTATTACTGCTCCTTGGGTTGAAATATTTCGGTATGCCAACTTAGTTATCATTGTAGTAAGTATTTTCCCATTCATGAATACCATATTTGACATTATAACTTCAGTTTGGACATTAGAAGCAGCACACAAATCCTGAGAAAGTGAGAACTTATAGTTGCAAAATGAATTATATTTAGTCATTGGAAGTCTGTGATGGCAGTTCCTGTATCTAGCAGTTATGGGCACTAGCAACAAGATGGTGAAATATAAAACTATTTTGGAATGATTTAGTGATAGCATAAGTGACAGGAACAGGTTTCTTTCAAAAACACCACACTTTCCCATAAGTCTTTGTGTGTTTGTTTTAGACAGGATAACTAAACCAATTTTACCTAGTTTGGGTAGGAGGGCAGTGTTTTATGTGAAGGGAAAGCAATGTTGTAATATGATTTAGGAGGGAGCCATGTAGGGTGGGAAGGTAGACTTGGAGGAAGGGGAAATAAGTTCCATGTACCAGCCTTTTTTTGGTTAATGTTGCTGCTTTACTTTTGATTGCGTTGATACGTAATGTAGATGGATAATAAATGTATTATCTAGAGAGCTAAAAGTTGAATAAAAATGTTAGTAGAAGAAAAAAATGGCAATTGTTGAATGTGTATGTAAGGCCCCCGTTTGCTTTTCTCAATTCATCTAACCAGGAAAATAAAGTCATAGCAAAATTGGAGCTAACTTATTGATGTCTTAAGACACAAGTGGGCAGAATTAAGTTTTGAACTTTCAAACAGAGCCAGATGCAAAATAGTGGCTCAGGAATGCAGATGTAGAATAGCATAACAGCCTTCAGCACATACTCAGTTTAAATTTATTTTCCTTACCAGATCTAGACCCCCCTTTTTTTAAAAGACAAATCTTCAGTCTTCCCAGGCTTTCTTGATTTGAGCTAGCTAGTTTAAGAGGAGAGAAGACTTTTGGTTAATGGTGATGCTCCTTTGCAAGCACAAACCATTTATGAGCTAACTGCCAATCATCACCAGAGATCTACTAGTAGATTCTACTCTACCATCTGACTACCCCTGCCTCAAAAGGCTGCTGCTGAGGCCTTTAGGTTCCCCTCAAGTTTTCCTCCACTCTGTTGCATAATGTCATCCTTTCGGTGTTGGTAAAACAGTCTGTTTAGGAAATGCCTCATGCCTCAACCTTGTGAGGCCGAAAATATTTCCACATCTGCTTGAGACTTCCTTTTATCCCTTCCTAAGAAAGTGGTTTGGCACCTTCTGAGGATTTTCCTTGGTAACATCTATATAATGTCATAGGGCCTAGCAAGCTGGGGAATCTCAGGCCAAGCGGCCAAATGCTATCTCCCTGGACTTTGAACCGCCCCCCCGCCACACCCTCTCCCCTGGCACTGCTTCACACCCCAGTTATTTTTGCCTGTCTCAGATGTGTCACTGAACTTTCATAATGCCTCTTCCTTCTCTGGATGGAAGATGGAGAAAGATTTGTGAAGTGCATAGAAGCTACTGTACAGTACAAAGGTAAACTTTGGTTGTCGATTTTTGCAAGCCCCTCTTAGGAGACTTTATGCCTAAAGGGCCACATATAAATGCTGTTAATAAATAATGTTAACCTTTACATTTGTTCCTGTGCTCATTTCTGCCTTCAGAAGGTTGCCCAGAAAGGAATACAACCCTCTGGCTGAGAAAGATTCCCCATGCTAGGCCTAACTGGAGACAGACAGAGGAGCTGCCTGGGTGGGGAGCCCTTCATGCTTCTTAAATAAAGGACTGAGAAGGTGTCACATTTTCCATTGGGGCGACTGCACTAGAATAATTGCAGAGCTCTTGCCGGAACCTGCCCTCACTTCTTGGGTGGCGGCAGTGGGTGGGGCGCCACCTGAGGATTCTGCCACCTGAGGCGTTTGCTTCAGCTTGCTTCTGGATGGTACCAAAACTTGGGGCACAGCACTAGATCTGCCTCATTGCCCTCAAGAAGGCAACATGAATCATGTAAGAGGCAGGTTCAAATCATTGACGAAACTGGCCAGGCAACCTGGTCTCTGTTACCCTATTCTAGCCCAGTTTTCTTCAACCTTAGGTCTCCAGACGTCCTTGGACTACAACTCCCATCATCCCCAGCCAGCTTATCCAACAGTCAAGGTGGTGGGCGTTGTACAGTGGTACCTCGGGTTACAGACGCTTCAGGTTACAGACTCTGCTAACCCAGATATAGTACCTTGGGTTAAGAGCTTTACTTCAGGATGAGAACAGAAATCGCGTGCCGGCGGTGCAGCGGGAGGCCCCATTAGCTAAAGTGGTACCCCAGGTTGAGAACAATTTCACATTAAGAACGGACTAATTTCTTAAGCAGAGGTACCACTGCACCTGAGGAACCCAGGCTGGAGGACTCTGCCCTAGCCTATCTCACTTAAGGTGGCTGTGAGAGTAAAATGGAGGATAGGGAAGATCCCTATATGGTGCCTTGGAGCAACTCGCGTGTGTGTGGCCTGGAGGAAACGGGATAAAACGTGTAGTGCATATAGTACAGTAGAATGAGTTCATGCGACGGAGTCCTGCCGCGCAGTGACAGAAACAGGCTGAGCACCTACAAAACCGTCGCCTGGCCCCGCCCCTTTTCCGGAAGCGTCCTTGGTTGCTACTGGATACCAAAACCGAAAGGGCCGCTGGGAGTCCGCTCTCTGCCAACTCCGGCCGAGCTGTTTGAAGACGCCTTGCCTTCAGGCCACAGAGATAGGAAAATGTAGTGTCGGTAACTTCCGGGTAGCTGCCGTTGAGAAATCATGGCGGAAGTACTCTTTCTAACTCATATAATCTCCCATGTTAAAATTATTGAGAGATCAAGCCTGAATCCAGCGGTCCGCTGAACACAGAAGCCTTGCGCTTCATTGACTTGCGTGCAGACATGTTGCACTTTAAAATGTTTTCTGCTTCCAAAATTTTATTTTTAAGAATCCCCTCAACTATGGCATGCATAGGTTTGCGGATTCTTTCTGAGTGGAGACGCTGCTGCCAAAAAAATATAAAAAATCCTGGGAAAACCAGCTCAAAGACATTCTGAGCACTGCAGCTATCGACTCAAAGCGACGTCCCAGTGATTTCAACAGGTTTGCTCCCAAATGAGTACGCAGAAGATCGCGTCCTAAAAGATCAGAAAACTGAGCCCTGTGTGTCGATTCAGCCTTAACTCAAGATATCTCTACATTTTGTTCTCTACGGTCCAAAGCGAAGCCGTTGACGAGCACTGGCTGAGCGGAAATCTCCCCGATGCATTTTAACCCGGGAACAAGGTAATCTCGCGAGAGAAACCCCCACCACTTCCTTGTTATCCTGCCGCCTCGATTTCCCATAACACCCCGCGCTCGCTCGGCCGCCTTCCTTTTTCCGCCATATTGCTGCACTGGTGAGTAGCGGGCGATGGCCGTTCCTGGGTGGCATCCGTCGTATATCGAACCCATCCTGTCTCCTTGGGCCCCTGCCGACCCGGTTCCTGGAAGCTGGGGCTCCGCTCGACCTGCGCAGCTTATTTGGAGATGACCGCGCTTCTCCTGGGCCTCGCGGCGGCCGCCTAAACGGAGCGGGGGGGGGGAAGAGCGGTTGGGAGAGGAATGCCTTGGTCTGGGGCTTTGAGTGAAGGAAGGGCTGGGCTGGCGGGCTGTGCCTGACTGGGGAGGCCTTGACCAGCGGGCAGGCAGAAGGTGCCTTGCTGGACGAAGAACGCCGGGCACGGCTGCGTGTTCACGCGTTCGGGCTGCAACTTACTTTACATGCGTGTAAGCCCCAGGGCACGTAGTGGAGCTTCCATGTGCCTCATGTGGTTGCATTTTGCGTCCTCGCGAGACATGGGCGCCTGCACCAGCTTGGGCGGGGGTGGCTTGCAGGCTGCTGCTATAGAGAAGACCGACATGGGTGGCATTCAGCTCCGGGTCGCCCCTTAACATCCCGGGATCGCTGGATGCTTCACTGGGGCAGCACAGTTTGGGGCCCTCAGCTTCTCATGCATCCCAGTTCCTGGAGCGGGTAGTTTGCCTTACCAAGTGCTTACAATAGAACTCTTTACTTTGGGGGATCGTTGGCTTCGGGAAAGTATTGCACTCACGAGCTAGTGTTAAAACTTGTAAGTGGTGTGGGGACGACGACACAAAAGCCCATCTCTTGTGGCAGTCTTACTGCAAATATATCAGAGCAGTTGTGTTAATATTTCAAAGGGTTGCTGTGTTGGTCTGCAGCTGTAAAAACGATGAGAAGTCTTGCTTGATCACACCAAAGTTGTGAAGTCCAGTGTCCTGTTTCCCAGAGATGCTTCTGGGATGGTCACAAGCAGGTCTTGAGGGCAATGGGCACTCCTCATTTTGACTCCCCAGCAACTGGCATTCAATAGTGCCCCTGAACATTGTTGCTCCCTGTCCTTAACATGAATATATGACTTTGTTCAAGGTGTCAAAATATGATACTGTTTTAACCCAAATTAAGGAATCCTTGCAATGTCTGTGTTTTTCTGGCTAAGGAATATAATTCTTCAGGGCTTTGCTTGGACTAGAACCCCAGAGACAGTAGAAGAATTCTTTTATGAAAATACAAAGTATAATATATGCGTCCCTTTGAGTACAAAGGGACTCTCCTCTTCACCCCCATGTAGTCAGGGCAACTACATAATCTGTTGAAGGTCTTTCTAGGGGGGAAATGTGACTTAAAAAAGAATGACAACACAGACTTTGAAGATATCCCCAATCTAGTCTCTGTGTCTTGATGCAGGGTAGCTTAATGTAGTCCCAATGAGTGCCTGATAATTGCACACAAAAAGCTATTACAGTCTCCCAAAACCATCTTGTTTCATGCATAAGCTGCTCTTAAATTTTGAAGTGTTTGTGTGTGCTGCACTGGGGGGCATGTGTGTATGAACAGCACTGGGCAAATACTCTCCTGATTGCAAGTCCTAAGTAAGAATAGCCTTCAGAGCATCCAAACTGGGCAGTTCTTATGAATTGGATAATACATGCCATTAGAAAGTGTGTTTTGATTACTCTTTTAATTAGCTCCCTATGTTTTGTGCTGCTTCCAACATCCCGACGCAATCCAGTGAGCCACCATTTGAAGAAAGGAAACTGATACATGTTAGCAATTAGGCTTATCATTTAAATTTGTGTATTTTATCCATGCAGGCATCATGGTGCGCATGAACGTTCTGGCAGATGCTCTAAAAAGCATCAACAATGCTGAGAAGCGTGGAAAACGTCAAGTACTCATCAGACCATGCTCGAAAGTTATCGTCCGGTTCTTAACTGTGATGATGAAGCATGGTAAGTCCACAGAATATACGTAAAACAGCCCAGGAAAGATTCAGATTTTTGGCCTTTTAAACTCCAGTATCACCTTGGCTGGGAAAGCTGCCAGTGAATATATTATATTCAAAGTTAGATGTGGGTATAGGTTGAAACTGGGCTTAATTACTTAAAAGTTCTTTTTGAAGATGACTGTGGTTGAAGCAGTGTACTTGGGGTTGGGGGCAGTGAAAATGGTCAGCTCACCATAAGCCAAGTAACTTGCTCCTTCAGATGGTACAGTGCTAGTATTTTAAATTATTTATCACACCTGTGCTTCGTCCTTCCTCCAGAGGGTTCAGGGACCATCCATTTTTGTTCTCATCATTAGTTGATTGTTTAGCCAAGAAGGCTCTGTCCTTAGATGTACATACTCTGTAAAACAAAACAAGCAGCAATACAGTGGTACCTCGTGTTACGTACCATCCCCCTTACGAATGCTGCGGGTTATGCACTCCGCTAACCCAGAAGTCGATGCCCCTTGTTGCGACCTTTGCTCCGGGATGTGAGCGGAGGTTGCGCTCCGGCGGCGCGGCAGCAGCGGGAGGTGCCATTAAAGAAAGTGCGCCTCATGTTATGAGCAGTTTCCTGTTATGAACAGACCTCCGGAACAGATTAAGTATGTAACGCGAGGTACCACTGTACTAAATGAAATAGCGAAGTATGCTGATATATATGATAGCGTGCACAATAGCCTGAAAAACCTATGGTAATCCTTGTATTAACATGCAGTATTCAATTTTATAAAATTGCTTCCAGTTTTGTTTTTGCAAATTGAATCACTTTGAATGCCACAGGCTGTGTGAAATAGTAACTTGCCAAATGCAAGCCAAGTCTCCATGGCACAGCAAGAATTTGTACCCCTGCAATCCTAGTTCTAGTCAAATAGTATCTGCTATGCCATACTGGCTCATATATCCCACCCTCATAGTCAAGCAGTTCAGTTAACGGGGAGGAATGGGTTGCGTTAGTTCTATTTCAATGGTGCAAAGGTTTGAATATGCTGAGTGCTTTTCTTTGGTTCACAGGTTACATAGGTGAATTTGAGATCATTGACGATCACAGAGCTGGGAAGATTGTCGTTAATCTCACAGGCAGACTCAACAAGGTAGGACCTGACTTCCATTTAAGCCCCACTGGACTTAATGCCAGAATTACATCTTGGAAGATACACTTGTTGGGTGCATCTAAGTTCACCTCACTTCACAGGAAAATTCACCCTTTGTGGGTTGGAATAAAGGGAAGGTGGGTTATGTATTTAGGCAAAAATTCCTTTAGTCCTAGGGCCAGTTCAGACAATGTGTTTTGTTCCTATAATTGTATGCCTGACCAAATGGGAACTTTTGGTATAAGCAAATGGCTTTAAGAGGTCCTTGATGGGAATGGCTTGAAAAGAAGCAGCTGTGAATCCTGGAGGTTTAAGGAATATCATTTAAAGGTCCTCTGGTCCTTTGAATGTTCTACAACAGCCGCTGTGCTGGTTCACTTGAGTTGACAACATTGTGCCTTAAAACTGGCAAATCGGAAGACATCTACTCTGCTTGTCTTAAAAACCCTTGGAGAACAGCCTTTAGGGTGCCACCTAAGCGCCTGTCATCAATGGATCCTCTTTCTCCTTGACCTCTTTGAAATCAGTCTTGGGAAGCCTCTTCCGATCGACCTATGGTTCCTGGTTCACTTTCTGGCATCTCTGGGTGCAGTTGGCAAGGGCTCCTTGCCTGAAACTCTAGAGAGCTGGTGCTAGTCAGTGGAGGGACTTTTGAACTCCTTGAACCCAGACATCTGATAAAGGCAGATTCTTATTTTACTATTTGTATAATTTTGTTTCTAACTTGATTTCTATGTTATTGAATTGAGATGTGCATTTATGCATTCACATGATTCTTGGGCTTTTATTTTCTCAGTTTTTAGTTTTTCCTGAGATTGGAGTTTATTTTCTTCTTCTTACCTAGCACTGTGACTGCTTGGACAAATGTTCATAGGCCCAGAACTGAAAATAGCTGGTAAACTGATATATTCAGATCTGTTAGGGCATAGCAGCTTACAGCTGCACCTTTGAAATTAGTTGTATTTATATTTTCTTCTCCATGCCACTTTTAGATACCAAATTTTAAATGTGTGTGTTGTGTTCTGGATATTGCAAGTTTTAAGAGTATTGTTACAGGGCTGTATATATTGTTATACTCTTAAAAGAGTATTGTGATAGTTTTCCAAATATGTTTTTTCTTTCTTTGTGTTTGACTTGATTGTTACAGTTACAGGCTGATATTACAAATTCAGGATGAAACTATAACTATTCATACCCAAGTTCTGAATCATTTCTTACTGAAAAGTTTAAGTTAGCTGTGCTGGCTCATAGGAGACATTACAAAACCATGGTTAGAACAGAATATCACAAAATTGTATGTGTGCTTTTGAGGCCTCCAGAGCCTGTCTTCTTTCCTGTTGAAATAAATGATTTCAAATTTCTTATTAGAAGTAATAAGAAAAATGGCGGTAGCTGTTTGACTTCATTTAGAAAATTCACAAGACCTTCATTGGGACCAACTGAAAATCACAAAATAGGCAAAATAAAGCAGAAATGGAGTAGCCCTATGCCAGCAACATTTTCCTCTTCCCACCTTCTCCTTTTTTGCTTTCTTTAACATCTTGTCAGAGGAAGAATTTGGTCCCACAGAACTCAAAAGTGCACCATTTTTGTGACTTGTCAGTTGGTCCTAATGCAAGCACAACACAACTTCAGTAATCAAGTGGAAAGCTATAGTGGGGCAGGAGAGCTGAAAATAATGATAATATTCACATCTGGCAACCAATGCAGCCCTCTGGTTTCAGATAGTACATGGGTAGACAAGTCGGAAAAGCCTGGGAAACAAATTTTCACAGTCCTCTAGCAGCTATGGTGGCTCATTTAACATAAGTAATGTATTTAGTGTTAACTCTACAGTGGTACCTCAGGTTACGAACTTAATTCATTCCGGAGGTCCATTCTTAACCTGAAACTGTTCTTAACCTGAGGCTCATGGGGCCTGCTGCGCTGCTAGTGTGCAATTTCCATTTTCATCCTGGGGCAGAGTTCTCAACCCAAGGTACTACTTCCGTGTTAGCAGAGCTTGTAACCCGAAGCGTTTGTAACCCGAAGTGTTTGTAACCTGAGGTACCACTGTACTATATTCTGACCAAACTAAGCCTCATAGGATGCGGCTGTCTGGCCCTTGCTGCTAGTACAGCAGCCAAACATCTCCCTTCCATCCTCCTCAAATTTGGCAATAGGGAGAAGGCAAAATCACTTCTTAGCTGCCGCAACAGTCCTTGCCCATCTCTTCTGCTTCAAAAGTTGGGAAGAAGGCTAGTTGCTTGTCACACTCCACAGAAGGCAATTTGCATATAATACGAACCCTAGTGTAGTTGAAGACTGGCATGCACCTCTGCCTCTTGGCAGAAAGGTTGGCATTTCTGTCAGCCCTGTCAAAGCAGCATAATGCCAAGGTTTCTGTTGTGCCCTGCAGCTTGTGACAAAGCCAGTGTTTGCATTTGACATGTGCTTGTTCAACTCCTGTACGTTGGTGTGAGGCAGCACTTCAATTTATTTATTTTGTTATCTGTATTTATAATCCACCCTTCGCCAAGTGGTTGCTGGGTGGGCTGCAAAATATAACAATTAAGAACAGTCTGTAATTAAAATCGTAAAATAAAACACAGTTATCAGAATAACAAAAGTAGCACAGAACTGCAGCACACAGCAGAGTAGGAGGAGGGAAGATATGCACTCATCCAAAGGCCTAGGTAAAGAAATGTGTCTCAGTCTATCATCAAAATGCATTGTTCCGTGAACCGCCCTGAGACCTTCAGGTATAGGGCGGTATATAAATTTAATTGATGATGGTGATGGTGATAATGTTCACAATATGGGCTTCAGAAGGGAGGTCATTTCATTAGCTGGGGGCCACCACAGAGAAGAGCCTTTTGCCACCATCACCCCTCGGCCATCTATGCTGCCTTCCATCATGCAACTCAGATGTGTTCTAGGGAGGGTTCCCAGTTTGTCTCCCATTCAGACACTGCTTAACTCAAGCAAGATGGTTTCATCCTGTTCCTAACTGACAGTGCCATCTGGATCCTGTTCAGGATTGTTTGAACTGGCTATAAATCACAGCCCCTGAACCCACAAACATTTCTTGTTGTTCCCAGGCACTTTTCCCTGGTTCTACTTCCTGTTGAATTGGGTAGCACAGCTGTGTTCCATCTATCAAATTTATTGAAAATACTTTAATGCCACATCCTTCAGTTCAATGACTTCTGGTCTTTGCAAGTAATACATTAGAAATATGGTTAAGTCTTTTCCCCTTTGTTTGGCTTGATAGTGTGGTGTGATCAGCCCCAGATTTGATGTCCAACTGAAGGATTTGGAAAAGTGGCAGAACAACCTGCTACCTTCACGTCAGTTTGGGTAAGTATCAGCTATGTAGAACTGGATTGCCGAAGCTTGTGATTAGGGCTGCTTCATTGCTGTGAGTTTTGCCATAGCTATTGCTCCTTGGTGCTAGATTCATATTGCAAGGTAAGCACACATTGAATAGCGTTGAGTCTATTCATCATTTTGGATCAGAAGCCAGAACTACTACTAGCACTTAACCTGCTAACTGGCACATTAGCTATTGCTTTCTGTAGAATCAGTGGGTTGTATGCAACTAATTGTGCAAGGTTCCCGTCACTCTTCTCACCCATAGCAGCTCTAGGAGTTCCCCCTAACCCTCTGGAGCAGATTATTTGTTAGGAAAGAGGGAGGAGAAGTTCCCTGGTGCTTATGGAAGTTGTTTTGCATGCACAGCGATCTAGCTGGATGCAAACCAGTATGGTAGTGATCTACATAAGAATCTAATTGTATACGTGTCAAGCAATTTTGCATTTAGTTTTTGTGGTAGTACATTTTTCTAATGCGCTGCCTGTTAAAGATGAGGTTAAATTCTTCTTTCTGCTTTTGCAAATGGGTAAGAAATCAAGCATAAAGCATAACAGGTATTTTCCTCACCCTTTTAATAGGTACATTGTGCTGACAACTTCAGCCGGCATCATGGACCACGAGGAAGCTAGGCGAAAACACACAGGAGGAAAAATCCTGGGATTCTTTTTCTAAACTTGTAAAAACAGGCAAACTAATAAATTGTTCAAATAGACTCTTTTCAGCTTGCATGTTAAAGTCAATCCTTGTTCCATCGCCCTAGTGTATAATGCTATTCAGGTAATAGTATATTTTACATTGTTGTGTAAAGTGAGCAACAGCCTCAGGTGCGGGCACCTTTGCTGGCTCAGGTTATCTTCTCGGTCTTGCTGCTTTATATAGGATAAACTGAACACATATGTCTATGCACACATATAACTATGCACCAGAAATTAACAGAAGAGTAGTGTACAATGCAGAAGTAAATGTGAGACTTGGTTTCTATAAATTTGGGGCAGTTGCTGGTCTTAATCCATCAACAGCAGTTACAAGAGAGCAGGATGTTACTAGTAAGGAGTGGAGCACAGAAGCACATCAGCAGTCATTATTGTATGCTGAGCAATTGCTTATGTGCACACTGGCAGATGGTTTTCTGTATGGACCTGTAGTCATTGGCATTAATGCAGTGCTCAAAAGATGAGGGCTTTGACCAGATGTATAAAGGACAGGACAGGCAGGCTAAAGTAATGAAAACCACATACCTTGAGAGCAGTTCACACAGTGACCTGTAGTGCAGACTGTAGGTTTATGGGATGCATATGTGAATCTTGGGGCTTAGGCATATTTTGCTTCCACCCTCAAATAGTGGGAGAGACGCTTAAAATTCCCTGTTCATGCTTACAGAAGTTTCAAAACGGATAAAAGAATTTAAATAAGAAACTTAATATATTTTACATAAGAAACCAACTGTTTAAATCTGAAAGGGCAGGAGAGTTTCTCCAGTTTAGTGGCCCCATGTAGGTTGGATGTACTCTCACTAATCAATAACTTCGGAAGCACTGTGTTGTGGTGGATAACGAAATTAAGCAAATCTTCCCTTTGTGTTGTATAGAGGCAAATTCATTAAGTCTTAAAAAGTAATCCTATGGGGGTTTTCTGAATAGCTGACAGCCATTCAGACAACTAGCCTTGTCTTCGCTTTGGACATTTGCAGCTTCCCGTTTTTCAGGGAACCTTATTTTGTACATGCATGATCAGCAGCGAAGACACTGTGTGCTTGCAGAACGTTGGTAAACTGAAGTCATCCCCCATCCTTTTCCCCATTTCTTCCCATTTTTTAAAAGGGTTGGATTTTGTTGGCCAGCCAAGGACTCCCAGATCTCATTCATTTGATGCATCCATATCACAGGACTTCATGTTTATCCGCCTCTAATGAATATGGAAAGAATTGTGCGGTTGGCCAATTTTACAGTAGAGTTGCCAGTCATGCCTATTATTGTTCCTTATCACACTCCCTCTGCCTCTCCTATGTTGGAACGCAGCCCACTACCTTCAGAGTATCTTCTTGCCCTTGAGTCTTCAAGCTTTTGGAAAGCCTCTGGCTGGCTGCCCATTCTCCTGGTCCCATTCTCTCTTTCTGACTCCTAAAAACCCCCAACTGATTATCCGCCAGAATTTCTTGCTTTGCATCTAGGAGCAAAAAACCCAGAGTTCCACCTTAAACAGTGAGCAAATGGATTATGGTGCAGTCATTTGGGAACTAGGGCCCAGTCCATCAGATGCACAAAGCCTTTTATGGTTTTAATTCTGCGTTTTGCACTTCCCTGAAGCGTTTTATTGTAGTGTGTGTGTCACTTAGAAGGCAATTGATATCAGTTTTGTTAGAGATGCTTATTAGTACTGTCATCATTACTGGGAGGGCAGAGAGGCTATCAAAATTGAAATGATGTTAACATAAGAAGAGACCTGCTGGATGAGGGCAATGGCCCATTTAGTCCAGCATCCTGTTGCTGCAATGGCCAACCTGATTTGTGCAGGAAACTCACAAGATGGACCTGAGCAGAAGAATACTACTACTGCAGTTTAGAGCAACTGTGGCTCCTAGAAGCTGTCTGCGTGTGACAGCAGCCATGGACCACAAAACAGCTTCAAATGGATGGTTAAACCAGGTGAGGGTAGCCGATGGGTCTCAGTCCTTCCATGAGTTAGGGACTTCCCCTGCATGTGAAGGCAGACTGATGGATTGAGCAGATGAGATGAATGGTAGATCCAACGGTCAAAAAGGCAGTTTCTGCACATGCTGTAGAGGGAAGTGAGGGGCAGATGGGGCTTTGTCAACCTGGGAAGAAAAAGGAGAAGCAAACACTGATCCTAAAGCCTTTAAGCTGTACTGATTTTTGAGAAAGCCTTCAGCAGTAAACCCTGAGGAAAACTCCATGCTGCCTTGTGAGACATCTTTGGGAGAAGATGTTTGTTGCTTGGTCCCAACCTTCCGTGCCTGACACAAAAGGAAAATGGTTTGGAAGGGAGGAGGAAATAAGCAAAACTCAGCCATATAATATTTAAGTGCACAATTGAACAAAAATAAATTGTCAGATTAACCTGGAAATGGGAGAAGCCAATTTATGGGTGCACACATTCAAAAATGACAGACTAATTTGCCTGTCCCTACACTGAATCGCTAATAAATTTCCTTTCTCAAATATATACTTCATGTGAGCTTTTAATTAAATGACTCTACTCCATTTTGATTAGACTTGTCCAGAGAGATAAATCATTCACCAAAGTATTTGCCCTGAAAGAGTTTGCTCATTTGCCCTGAATTCTGTACCTACTACAGAAAATCCCTGTCTGTTCCCCCTCTCCTTTAAAATCATTCTCTTAATTGAACTCCTGGCTGTTAAATTACTGGTGACTGAAGACATGGCCCATAATTTAAATTTTCTTTATGCTTGCATCAGTAAAAGGACTGGTGTGCCTTACTTCTTCATGGAATTCTTGTGTTGAAAATGCATAAAATGGAAAACAAGTGAGTTAATGAGTTAATATGTGCCTTCTACTCAGAAGCAAGTCCCATAGAGCGCATCAGGCCTCTCTATTATGCACCCTTATTTAGGGTTGTGCAGTTTTAAGAACTAAACACGGAACCTTCCCTGGAGTTCAAATGAGGTTTGGCATTTCCATTTTGTCTTTGGCACAGTTTAATCTCCGCCTCTGTTCCTCATTTAAGCAAGGCATGGGAACGAGCAAAGGAAAGGCAATATGCAAATATTGCTGGCATCAAAAATGTCTTGAAAATGCTATCTTGCAAATGAGCCATGGTTTGGAAATTGACATCAAGTTAGGTGCATTGAGCCTATGGCTATTTCTGAGTACCCTTGGATGGAGCAGAGGACTGGCAAATGCGCTTCTTTCTTGAAACACAGTACAAAGGGAAAAGGAGATGCGCTATCTCTTATTCCAAATGGCGGAAATGGTAGAGGAATGGATCTAAAACCCAAATGAATTTGCATTTTCCTCTCTTCTGCATTTCAACAAGCATGGATATTGAAGTTCAGCTCTTTATTTTTCTGCAGTTGTACTGGAACGACCAAAATTCTGATCAGTATCCCCCAAAATGACTGAAAATCAAAGTTGTTTGCAGATGAGGGCTGATCCACGATTCATTGTCTGCCAGTCCATAGAGACTCCACCACAGCCCAGGTTGGGTAGGATGCTTCATGGACCAAATATGGCGCCAGTCCCTGGCACATTGGGTTTTTTTTGTTTTTTTTTTAAAATGCCAGTCCACCACATCAAGTAGCTTGAGAAACAATGACCTAAAAATATGACACATGGGTCAGGATTTTAAAAATGATTGAAAAATAACGTGCAGGTCAGGATCCTGAAAAATAACTGAAAATGTGGCATGCGAGCTAGGATTCTAGAAAAAAATCACCAAAAATTTGACCTGTAGGTGAGGATTCCCTAAAATGACTCAAAACAACAATCACAGGATAGGATCACAGTTACCAAAAAAATGATCGAGAAGACAGGCAAAAACCACCTGAGTGCATTTTGAGGGAGCTTAAGCCACGGATCATTTTATCAGATCCTGACTTGAAAAACTGGTGGTTTTTCAACTTTTTGATCTGTGAGTCCTCATGAATTTCAGCAACTCATCCAGCAGGTGGAGGAGGCTGGAGAGAAAACCGAATTAGTTGGCAGTTCTTCTTACTGGCTTTGGATCCAACTGATTTTGGTCTCCCTGCCTTCTGGACCACCAGCCCAAAAGGGCACCAACTATCATTCAGCTTAATCTCGTACTTCTGAAGATGCCACAAGACACTTTTTGGATTGGGCACTTTGATTCAAGCCTGACTCTCCTCTATACCAGCTCCCTCTTGCACCAGTCAGCCATCATGTGTGTTAGATGAGCATGAGCAAGTAGCTGGGTTTCTGGTAAGATGGCAGATATGTAAGAACTGAGCTCTAAACTTCTAAGGATCTCCTGGCCAGCAACCACTTTGTCTTTCTTGTGGGGTGGAAAGAGACAAGACTAGGTTGGCTGCCCTAAATGCACTGGAGAGAAAGAGTAGAAAAAGAATCTATTTAATATCTTCCTCTTGTCAGTGGTGGACCTACATTTTGGAGGCCCTGAATCTCAGAACTGTCACGGGGGCCCTTTGCAACCAGCAACAAGGTATTGGTAGCCACTGATACATTTTTCAATGAGGTAGTTCCGTGACAGATCACACCTTTACAACATCTGTGTTACTGACTCTCAAGTTTGGGGATGGTTGAAATGTATACAACAAAAAATTAATCACTCAACTCAGATTTGCTCTACTAGACCCAACATTTTAAAGCAATGTCTAAATTTGTTTGTGGGGCCGCTCTGGGATTAGTTTCATAGTAGATCATCCCTGACTCCCATACATTTTTTAAATTTATAGTTCTATAACAGTGACAGTTTGTGGCTGGAGGAGAGGGAGGCTGGGCTAGGATCTTTAACATGAGGCTTCAGAGCTGAGCAGGGAGTCCCCAATCTCACCTCTACCTCAGTACACTAACATGGGCTTAACTTTTTGTGGCAGCCACCAGCAGCCCTATTTATTCCCTGCCGTTTGAAAATCATGTTTCTATACTTGGTACTTGAAAGACGGTGATCTCAGCCTCAAAAAGAAGGATGAAATGAAGAGACTTGTCAGTTTGATTGATATGGGAGTAATCTGTGTGGAAGTTTCCATTTCAGCAGAGGGCACTCTTGGCTTATATAATGCATCCAAGGCAAGCAAAGACATCATCTTCCCTACCAGAGGTGACCTCAGAAGACTTTCCAGCTGCTTCCCTGGATTCAGCAATGTTGTGTCTTTGAATCAAACCCACCATTCAATGGAAACAGCAACAAAGTAATGCTACTGCAGAATTAGAATTCAAATACTGAAATCGCAGGGTTCCCATGGTCTGCCTGGTGTTGGGTCTCTAGATCACACTCTGTTATCGTTCCCTTAATTACACATGTACGAGTGTACTTACATTATTCTTATTATTTTATCAACAGCTTCCTATGAAATATCTCAATTAACTTCAACAATACCAGGAATATAAAAATGTTCACATAAAAAAAAATCAATTACACCAATTTCCATCTGCTGGAAAACTCAGACTTGCTCTGAAGCTTGCAAGCTACCTTCAGTCTTCAACAGTGTCATGATAGACCAAACAATGAATGTGTGAATCAATGCAGGAGAGATACCTGTCAATGTTGCATGAATGTTGTCATTGTGTATGTATGTATTAATCTTTTGTCAGAAGCAAGGAGTAATTTTCATGGAGGTGTTTTTGGGGGTTCCTGCGTTTCTGCATTTCATGGAGGTGTTTTTGTGCGTTTCTGCAGAACTTCGCTCCCCCCCCCCCAACACTGCCAATATCTCCATCTTCTTCATGGGTTGTGCCATTTTGGCAATACAAGAAATGGCACTCATAATTGGACATTAGAAATAGAGGGAATATTCATTTCTGCATCATCTTCCTTGTGTTCCATTTTTGTGCTGTTAGCTGCTTTGAGAAGAAGAAGAAGAAGAAGAAGAAGAAGAAGAAGAAGAAGAAGAAGAAGAAAATAATGATCTCTCCTCCCCTCCTTTGCAGCACACAAATGGGAGCACCCAACAACTCCAAACATACCTGGTAGTGCAAAATTGTCTGGCTTTGTGTGTTATTGCTTGATATAAACAAGGAGTGGGGAATCTCTGTCCTGCTTGATCAGGCATCCCCAACCTTCAGCTGCCTTCAGATGTCTTTTAAAAAGAAGATAGCTGTTTAATTCCTTCATATCTGAAGGGAGGGTGTTCCACAGGGTGGGCGCCACTACCGAGAAGGCCCTCTGCCTGGTTCCCTGTAGCTTTGCTTCTCGCAGTGAGGGAACCTCCAGAAGGCCCTTGGAGCTGGACCTCAGTGTCCTGGCTGAATGATGGGGGTGGAGACGCTCCTTCAGGTATACAGGACCAAGGCCGTTTAGGGCTTTAAAGGTCAGCACCAACACTTTGAATTGTGCTCGGAAACGTACTGGGAGCCAATGCAGATCTCTCAGGACCGGTGTTATGTGGTCCCGGCGGCCACTCCCAGTCACCAGTCTAGCTGCCGCATTCTGGATTAATTGCAGTTTCCGGGTCACCTTCAAAGGTAGCCCCACGTAGAGCGCATTGCAGTAGTCCAAGCGGGAGATAACTAGAGCATGCACCACTCTGGCAAGACAGTCCGCAGGCTGGTAGGGTCTCAGCCTGCGTACCAGATGGAGCTGGTAGACAGCCGCCTTGGACAGAATTAACCTGCGCCTCCATGGACAGCTGTGAGTCCAAAATGACTCCCAGGCTGCGCACCTGATCCTTCAGGGGCACAGTTACCCCATTCAGGACCAGGGAGTCCCCCACACCCACCCGCCCCCTGTCCCCCCAAAACAGTACTTCTGTCTTGTCAGGATTCAACCTCAATCTGTTAGCTAGGGATCATGGGAGTTGTAGGCCAAAATATCTGGAGGGCCGCAGGTTGGGGGTGCCTGTGCTAGATCTTATTGGACTCCAACTCACATCAGCCCTGACCATTAGGCATGCTGGCAGGAGGGAGAGCTGGAGTTTGACAACATCTGGAGGGCCACAGACACCAAACACCAGATACAGAGGGAAGGGAAGGCTTGGCTTATCTTCATCAAGGGAGGACTCGTGCAATCTTTTGTAGTATAGTGCCCTGTGCGAAGCCAAAATTTGGCACCCCAAAATGGCTCCTATGGACCTTCTCAGTTTTGTGCCCCCTTGGCTTAGCTCCCTGTGTGGGGGAAGCTCTTGCACCACCCTAAATCTGGCACTGACTCCATCATGGGCTGAGCGAGGCTCATTCTCTTGCCTTGGACGTCCTCAGTCAAAACGGTTCTTTAGTAAATGGGGGGGGGGGGAGGGAATCAAAGGATGAGGACAGAAAATGTCACCTGAATAATCCTGGCACCACAACAACATAGTCTGTGAATGAGGGAGTCTCAAATCCAGGCTTGCCACATGATATTCTAGTTTTCTTGGGGGAGGGAAGGTTGTTATTTTCCACACTGGCCCCCTAGCCTATAACAATATATAGACATGATTGTAGTTGCATATATATGTGTGTGTATATATATGATTGTTTTTGTTTGTCTTTCTTTTTAAATGTAATTTATATATGTAATTGGTCTGTGCATGTTTCCATTGAACTGTAAATCACCTTGAGATGCCTCATACATTTAATTATACACGCACACCGTCTGTCTCATCTGCCTTTACTCTAACCAGAAGTTGGGTAGTAAAGATATTTACTACTAAGCCCTTTAGGAAGATTGGGTTTTATCCAGTGCTATTTTTCTAGAAAAAGAGATACTGGAACTCAACATGAACACCTCCCTTGTTCTCTTATACAGTAATGGCAATGGCGGCCACCTGAGAGGTGTCGGAACTGAGTTCCGGCGAGTTCCGGCTGGGGTGTGTGTGGAAAACCCTGGTTGTATCTGATTTAATTCTACTCAGAGTAGCTCGAATGGAACTTAATTGATCTAAATTAGTCATAATTTAAATGAGTGTATAGTCTTGTAGAATTTAGTTGAATACAATGCCAGTCTGTCTGCCCATATTGGAATGTTCAAGATGGTGGAGACATCCTAAGAGGGACACATTGTGGATTGTACAGTTACAAGAGGCAAAGTGACCATTGATGGCAGTAGCTTTCGTCTCTTAGAAAGTAATAAATATCACTCCATGCAACAATAATGCCATTTTCATCAAAACACTGGGTTTCCCTTGACGCATCCCCCCCCCATTTCACTGGCTTGCACCCCCCTCTCTCCCCCCATCTGCTTCTAATACAGGCTCAATTAATTATCAGTAGCATTGCTGAGATGAAGGAGTCATAACTTCCTAACTCTCTTTTTATTCACGTAGAGGGCTGAACTGCAATCATTGCAGAAATCAAATGCTGCCCAGATTTCTGAACAGCTATAACTCAATGTGAAGCTTTTATAGAACTGCAAATAGTTAAAAGAGAGGGAGTTAAGCAAATTCACATGGCTATAAAGTGGAAAACACTCTTTGAAAGACAGACAGTCCCCTCCCACTTTTTATTTCATACACTCACCACCATGCAGGGTACCTGAATAAACAGATATCCAAAATCAATGCAGGAAAAAATCCATTCAGTTTCACAATTCACAAATTCATATGAAGGATTATATATATGCACATACATATGGGGTGAATGGGTGGGGTAGTATGTCTGGGGGGAGCATCTCCTGCTTGGGTAGTTTGCCCTCTTTTGGTCCCCACCCTGCACTCAGCTCTCACCTGGGGCTCCTAGAAGCTGTCAGCATGTGACACAAGCCGCAGTCCAGGAATGGCTTTGACTGGCCAGCTAAACCAGGTGAGGGTAGCTGATGGGTCTCAAACCCTCAGTGAGTTAGGGACTTCCCCTGCATGCAAAGACAGACTCCAGCAGATGAGATCAATAGTGGATCCAATGGTTAAGAAGGCAGTTTTTGCACATGCTGTGGAAGTGAGGGGCAGATGGGGCTTGTCAGCCTGGGAAGGTAACACATCTAGGAGGAGCAAAATTATTGTCTGGGCAGCCCAGGACCTCCATACACACTGCCCAAGCTTGAGCCCTGGAGAAGTCATGTTGGTGCTGCTAATGCCGTGGTTTGACTTCACCCCTGGAGGCGAACTCCATTGTCACTTGAGACAGATGGATGCCAGCAACAATGTTGTGTGTTTGTGTGATCACCTATGACAAAGCTCAAAACTTACTTCTACTTAATCAAAACTGCTTGGAACAGATTTTTCTGTTCCAGCAGAAAAATAATAATTAAAAGGTCCTTTTGCCAAAGCACATGGCAAGGAGTCTGATGCTCCGGTCAGGCTTTGGTCTGCTGAGCAAGCTCTTTTCAAAAGTTCAAAATATTATTTGGAGGGCGGGAGGAGGAACAGATGGAGCATGCAACCCTCAGATCACCTCACTGGTACTTTAAAGTGTGTTTTTAAACCCTCGGATCACCTCATAATGGACTGCAGATCCACTCAGATTGGATCTGGCAAGTCCACTTTGAGATCCAAGTAGGGCAGGCTACTCCTCCATTCCTCGGGGTGATGGCATGATTGGCAGGACGGTTAACACATTGAGAGTAGGATGCTTGGCTGTGCAGGAGACAGGGCTGGCCACCAGCTTCAAGAGAGGATTAGACACGTTAATGGAGGACATAGCTATCAATGGCTACTAGCCACCATAGTTGTGCCCTACCTTTTCTGTCAGAGGCATTATGGCCCTGAAAAGCAGTTTCTGGGAATCACAGGTAGGCAGAGTGCTGCGTCCAGCTTGCAGGCGTCTCACAGGCATCTGCTGGCCGCTGTGAGAACACCATGCTGGACTAGATGGGCCTTTGGTCTGATCCAGCAGGCCCGCCTTATGTTCTTAACTGGCCTCTAGCCAGAGGGTAAATGTTACTAGATCTATATTCTGGTCAGTGCCCTTCAGATGCTGCCAAAGGAAGATCAAGAGCTTGACCTTTGGACTCACTGAAGTAAATGACAAAAGCCACCATTGATTTCCCCCCTCCGCAGCCAAGGCTCCTCATCTTGGGAGAACAACATGTCAAGATGAAAAGCATTTATCCTTCTTGCATGTCTAATTTGTTCTTTGGAACATTATGCCTTTCTTCGTATCTTGGGTTTATTTTTACCCTTTTGGTTCAGAAGACACCAATTACAAAAAAAATCTTTTGAAAGCCCTTTTTCTTTAACACAAGTTTCCTTTATTCTTTGCAAACAAGGGAGATGTTACATGCTTCAGATGGGATGAATCCTCTTCGTATTAAAGGCCAGAATGACTTCATTGAAGGAGACAATATGCCAGTGAGCTGGTCCGCAGGGGGCTCCTTGTATCTGGTCGGTGGCCTCTAGCAGTAACACTTCAACAGGGCCAGTTCCAGGTGTGAGAGGGCTCTAGATTAAGCCCCCTCTGCTGGTTACTGTCCTTGCCTGTGGACCCAGAGAAGCTTGCCTGGTGGTGGCAAGTGGCTGGCCCATCCACTAGGGGTGGCTGTGTCTAGGTGCC